AAAAAGAGCGTACATATTTACAGTCTCTGCAGCAGCACATGAGTGCCTAGCTTCTCATATTCTTCCTAGAACTGGGTGTCATGATTAGTGTCCTTCTTATAGCTTTTTATTTTTTTCTGTGGTATTGGGGTTTGAACTCAGGGCCTCATGCTTGCGGGGAAGACGCTGTACCACTTGAAGCCACTCCACCAGCCCCCAGTTTCCTTCTTTTAGGGTTGTAATGTTTTTGACTAGCGTGTTTGCTTAGTTCAGGATTGGGGCAGTTCAGTGGTGGAGGGCCTACCTAGAATGCATGAGATCCTAGGTTCAGTCCCCAGCATTGTGGGGAAAGAGAGAGTGAGAGGGAGAAAAAAAAAAAAAAAGAGGAGGAGGAAAAAGGAAAAAAGGAGGGAGAAAGAGGCAAGAGAGAGAAAGAAAAGGAAAGAAGGAAGGAGGGACAGAGGGAAGGAGGGAGGAAGGGAGGGAGAGAAGGAAGGAAGGAAGGAAGGAAGGAAGAAAGAAAGAAAAAAGAAAAGTAAGATATGCTGAGATTGACCTGTGCTTGTCTGTCTTCTCAGAAATTCTCAGCCCTCTCAGGAGGTGGGTATTCTTCTAGCCTCCTTAACCACTCTCCAGCTGCCTACTGGAGGCTCTTCCCAGGAGTCTCCTCTGACCAGTTATTTCCTAAACCTGGCAACCCTACCCCCAGATTCCCTTTCTACATAAAGATTTATTCTACATTACCTCTCAACTAGACCACAGCAATGACTTTTGAATCTTACCCTTACAGTCTATTCTCAGCATGTGTCTGGCCTCTGCTCAGAGCCTTGGTGCTACACTTAAAATCTGATGCAAACTCCATAGCCTGGCAGTCAAGGTCATCCCAGATCCAGGTCTGACCCTTCTTTCAGACCTCATCTAAGGCTATGGGTGTGACTTAAGTGGTAGAGTGCCTGCCTATCAACAGTGAGGTTTTGAGTTCAAACCCTGGTACTGCAAATAAATAAATAATTCAGTCTTCATCTAGTACTGCTGCCCAGCCCCTGCAGCCTCTTGGTTGGCCTGTCTGAGGCCTTTTCCAGCCTCAGAGTCTTTGCACTTGCTTCTGCTTTGAATGTTCTTCCCCTAAAGCAGCTCTGTTCAAATGTCACACTAGAAAGGCCTTCCCAAGACAAGCTCAGCCCCTGCCCCTTGACACCCCCAATTTTTTTTTGTGGTATTGGGGCTTGAACTCAGGGCCTCACACTTGCTAGGCAGACACTCTACCTCTTAAGTCACTCTGCCAGCCCTGTTGTGTGAATTTAATGAGTTCATGTGTTTAAAAGTAGAGGTTTATGTTTAGTGTTTTTTATTATTATGATTTTTTTTGAGACAGGTTCTTGCTATGCAGCCCAGGCTGGCCTCAAACTCAGGTTCCTTCTGCTTCAGCCTCCTGAATGCTGGGGTTACAGGTGAGCACCACCCTGTCCAGAACATTCTTATGCTTTTCTAATGAGTTTAACACAGACAAGTTATTGCTATCATGCACTCATGTAGGCATCAAACAAGTCATAGCTGCAGGTATTTTGTCATGTTCCTGGCACTCCCCCAATAAGCAAGAGACCTATACCAATGTGAAGGACACAGGTGAACTTGAAGGATTATTCCTGGTATTAAAGTTTGGAGAAGCACAAAAGATTAAAATGTTACAGGAGACATACCTGTAGTCTGAGGGCAGGGGAGGCTTCTGGAAGTAGTGATGTTATCCTGAGACCAAGGATATGTAGTTTTAACTAGGTGGATGGAAAGAATAGGCGTATGAGAAAGCCCAAAGTAGAGGGGGTGCCTCTGAAGAAACATGACGGACTATAGAGAGCCAGAGAAATGAGGCTGCAGCACTTGGTAGGAGCTCTTGGTGTGGGCTTTAGAGATCTCAGAAAGGGGTTTCATGGGAGCTAGGAAAGGACTCAGAGTGCTCTGTCACATTTGCAGTTAGAAAAGATTTCCCTGAATGTTGTATGGATCTTCTTCAGGTCTCTGTGTTCAAGAATTCCCCAAGGACTACTTTGTCTGCAGTGGCATCTTCCCTGTCTCTCTCCACCTGCTAACTCTATGTATCTATTGGGATTCTGGGGATCAAACTCAGGGTTTTGCACATCTCTAGCTCTTGGTTTTGTTTGTTTGTTTGTTTTGTGTGGTACTGGGGTTTGAATTCAGGGCTTTATGTTTACTAGGTAGGTGCTCTACCACTTGAGTCACTCCACCAGCCCTTTTTTGTGTTGGGTATTTTCAAGATAGGGTCTTGGGAACTATTTGCCCAGGCTGGTTTCAAACTGCAATCTTCCTGATCTCTGCCTCCTGAGTAGGTAGGATTACAGGATTGAGTCACTGGCAGTCAGCCCTTTGGTTTTTTTTGAGACAGAGTCTCAAAAATACCCAACAGAAAAATTGCTGCTTGGTTCAAGTGGTAGAGTGCCTATCTAGCAAGCATGATGCCAAGTTCAAACCCCAGTACCAAAGGGGAAGAAAAAAAAGAACTTGCCCAGCAAGTGTGAAGCTCCCTGGATTCTATCCCCAGCACTTACAAAACAAAACTCAACTGTCATACTAAAACAATAAATTTTGTTAAAATTTGACAAAGTCTTGTCTATTACATTCACACTGGCTGGATATCAGGTGGGAGGCAAAGGGAAGGTGTTGCTTACATTCCTAGCTTGAGCAATTGGATGGATGATGGTGCCATTTCCTCAGAGGGAAGTGGGAGTGAATTTTTTGTTTTGGATAATGGGTTCACTTTTGGATGTGTGAATTTGAGATTCATGTGGGGGGGTCTTGTGGGAGAAATATGGGAGTTAGACAGGGAAACCCAAATTTTTAAGATAGAGATAGTCTTGGGCTAAGAGATGGTAATTAGAAGCACAAGGATATAATGACAGATTACTGGAGCCTTAAGAGATCGATGCCTTTTTCTTTTGAGATCTTTTTAGGCAGATTACTGAAAATGCTTCCACGCAAAAGATTTCTGGTTACAATGTGGCTTCCCCACCTAGATGGTTCTATAAATCCCCAGCTACTTCTACAGTGTAGGGCTAAGCGAGGGGTTCTGGAAACTTAAGCTTCACTAGTTTCAGAATATCTGCCTTTATCCTTGAGAATTATTTTGAATGAGAGAAGGCACTTGAGAAAGAATCCTTACAAAACCCAACAACTGATAGAGGGGCCCAGGAGAAGTGTCCTGTAACAGAGACTAGTAAGAAACAGGCAGGATAGTAGAAAGAGCCTGAGGAAGGAGGGCTTCAACAGAAGGAAGGCAAGGGAAGCAGCTGTTTAGAGGATTACCACTGGCCTTGACCTGCCAAATTCTGCCAATTCTTCCTTCTCAGTTTGTCCCCCATCTCCACTGCCTTCATCGTCTAGCTAGTGGTTCCCATTACACATGGGTTACACTCATACATTTTCTGTCTCTGTTCATACAGTTATCCTTACAACCATCCCATGCATCTTGTTTGATCACTCTTTGTAAAGTGGAGCTGTAACTATGCCAACAATCCCGTTCAACAAAATTAGCCACACCTCCAGCCTATGCTGGTCATCTCTAAACTAATGGCCCATACCTAACCTTTGCATGCCAGTCTTTAGTCATTTGGGTCCAGGTGAATTCTCCAATAGTGTCTCTACCTGCTCCCTTGTAAAGGAGACAGCTGATCGGCAGGCATCTGTGTTTCACGCCTGTAATCCTAGCTACTCAGGAGGCAGAGATCAGGAGGATCTCAGTTTGAAGTGAGCCCTGGCAAACAGTTTGTGAGACCCTATCTCGAAAAAACCCAATACAAAAAAAGGCTGGTGGAGTGGCTCAAGGTGTAGGCCCTGGGTTCAAATCCTAGCACGAAAACAAAAAAAAAGACAGTTGATCTATCTGTTGTCCCACCTTTTAATAGTGTTGCAGCTGTGTTACCATCTTGGAGTGCTTATCCTCATGCCTAAAATACTCAAGGCCAGACACACTTGATGCCTCTTGGAAACCCTCCCCAGTACCCTCCTACGTATCCAGACCAATGCTGGTGAGCTGCCTGACTACTTAGCTAGGATTATAGGCATGAACCACAGGTGCCTGGCTTGGGTGGTCCTTTACAGCTTTCAAAGCAATTCTATTCCCCCCTTTTTTTTTTTTTTTGGGCAGTACTGGGGTTTAAACTCAGGGCCTCATGCTTGCTTGCTAGGCAGGTACTCTACCACTTGAGCCACTCCTTCAGTCCTGTTTTGGGTTGGGTATTTCCTGAGATAGGATCTTGCAAACTACTTGTCTGGGCTGGCTTCAAATTGTGATCCTCCTGATCTCTGCTTCCAAAGTAGCCATGATTACAGGTGTGAGTCACTAGTGCCCGGCTCTGTTCCCATCTTATAGATGAAGAAACGGAGGCTCATAAGAGTTGAATTGGATTGTTCAAGATTATATAGCAATGAATTACTAGCATGAGGCTAGGTCCAATCCACTCAGACTCTAATCTGATCTCCTTTTTTCTGAGGGTGATAGGAGGGTCTAAAACAATGGCCATTATTATTATCTTTTTTTTTTTTGCAGTGTTGGGACTCACTCAGGACCCTACTCATGCCAAGCAAGTGCTCTATCTTTGAGCTATACCCCAAGCCCATCATTCACTTTTCACTGAAGCAAAACTTCATCTGTAATGAGACTAACAGTTCCTTCGTCACAGGGAAAGAGAGAAACTGGTGAAGGTTAGGGAAGAAGAATGAGTTTTGGGACTTCCTAACCTGGCACTGCAGAGTGGGTTTTCTTCAGTGGTAAATTTTTGTGAGAGCAAGTGTATTCTGGCTTGACTATGAATACTGACTATGATTATTGGCTTTGGACACTGTCGTTGTGCTTAACCTCTTAAGCTTTAATTCGTTTGTAAAATGGAGAAATGTTTGGAACATTGTTAGGGTTAAAAGAGACAATCAAACACAAAACAGTCTTAATAGAAGGTAGCTGTCACTACTGTTCTATATGGGGTGATGGTATCAATTCCTCAAAGGGATTGTTAACCTAGAAAGGTTTTTGTTTGTTTGTTTCCTCTTTTTAACCTAGAAACTTTGCGAAGCGATGGCATAGGTGTTTGTGAGCTATTGGGAAACCATAATCATAAAAAGACAGTGTTACAAATGTGGGCTGCTATGGTAATTAGAAGGCCCAGTCTCCAGTGCTAATTTGCTTCATTTCTCCATGTAAGCTTAAAAAAAGAGATGTATGAAAAGGGGAAATGATAGTGGTCCCAGTAGGCAGTCGCAATGCAGCGCGAGATGGTTCCAGTGGCGAGGGTTAAAACGATCTGAGTGCAGGGCAAGCGCTGAGCCTCGGTGCGGACTACATCTCCCAGCTTGCTTTGCGCGCCAAGTAGGTCCCTACGCGAGCACGCCAATCTCCCCGCCCCCCCCACCTCCAGTTACTGTCTCTCGCGAGAGCACGGGCCGCGCCGGCGGTAGAGATAGCGAGTCGTGGTGGTTGTGGTGGTGGTGGCGGCCGAGACCGTGGCGGCCATTTTGGTGAGGCCTCGGGAGCGGTGGCGGCGGTTCGCTGGAAGTAACGTTTCCCTTTTCTCCAACCCACTGCTTGCATTCCCGCGCCGTCAGAAGAAGCAGTGGAAGAAAGGCGGTGGCAGTAGCCGTGGTCCCCAAGGGAATTTAAAGGCCGTGAACGCGACGGCCAAGAGGGGGCCCTCCCCCCTCCTTGGCGGGAGGGGGGTGGTGCGCACGCCCCCGAGGACGCAGGTAAGAAGAGGGAGACAAGATGGCGGACGCCCCACAGTGCCCCTCCCCCGACGGTGACTGCGCGCGCATCCCCGCCACCGCCTCCCTCCCACCTTCCCGGGGTGCTGCGCGCGCACCTTCAGCCGGGGCCCGGGGCCGGTGCGCGAGGCTGTCGGCGCGCGCCCATAGAGACAGGCTGAGGGGCCAGGCCGGCTGGTGCTGGGCCCGCGGCGCGTTTCCACTTCCTGCGCGCCTTTCTGCGCACGCGTGCCCGACAGAGCGAGCCCTGAGGACAGACCCAGGTGGGCTCCTGCCCGCCCACCAGCTCCATTCCCCGTCAGGGGCGCGCGGGAAGAGGAAGGGGAGCGTGGGGGGCGTAGTCTGGGCGCGCGCCCACCATGTCCAGTCTTAGCACCTGGACCTGGCGGCACGAACCCTCCTTTGCAGCCTTTCACGGGTGGTGATGGTTGGGGGGGGGTCGCCCTGGTGGGCGTGGACGAGGGGGCTGCCCGGTCCTGCGACCCTTGTGCGCGTGGGTCTCGGTCCTGGCGGGAGCCCCCGGGCTGTGCGCGCATCCGGCTGGCTCCGCCTCCAGCCGCGCACGCGCGGGCCCCTCCCCCAGGCTGGCGCGCACGTTGGGTGGGGTGGGAGTCCAGGAGGGGGCGGGACTATCTTAGGGCCAGTGGAACTTGGGCAGAGGTTAGGGGTCACGCCGGGTCAGTTGGCTGGGTAGAGGGGAGAAGCTACAGTAAGCTGGGGTCAAGAGTTCAGGTTTCTAGGTGTCTGGTTTGCTTGGGTCCTGAGAATCTGTTTCGAAAAGCGTGAATGCAGGCGGCACTGTGGTTAAGGAATTTCCTTAAACACTGGGAAAACACTTCCGGGCCTTGTGTGGGTTAACCCTGCTTGTTTCCGGCGCATGGTGCTTCTCTGTGCGGCCTTCTTCACACCTGCCTGCTCTTTAATACCTCTTGCTGAAGTTCTTCAGCTTGAGGAAGTGTCTTGCGGCGCAGGTATAGCATTCAAAGGGTCCTGTTCTGAATCCAGTGGAGAGTCTCTTGTGGCCAGCATGTTTGTTTACTCTTGTTGAGAATTACACTCTTATTTCTGCTAAGTTCTCACCAGAAAGGCAATCAGGCTGCTAGCATCTTCTTTGAGCTTCGGGATGTGACAGCTATTTCTGCTTTGGTTTTGTCCTTCATTATGTGGTTGGATCCTATTATACTTAAGCTTTTAAAACTTTTTCCTTTTTTCTTTTTCTTTTTTTTTTTTTCCCTGTTTGTGTGCATCATTTCTTTCCTCCAGCCAGGATTATATGTCCCTGTGGAATTTTCTTTTCACAAACATTTGCTTTTATTTTTCTGAAGCGTGAGCTTTTACGCTTGCTGTATGAACTGATACATTTAAGTTTAGAAAGCTGGAGTAAATAATAAGCTTAGATGTTGTCAAATGTGTATTGGTTCCTCACTCCTGTTTTCCTTCCCTTCTGTTTTAGGTGTGATTCTTCTCAGTACGGCGGCACCGTGGAAGTGCAGACTTTCACAGGGGGTGTGGTCTCAGCTCACACAGGTAAGGGTTGAGATACCATTTTGAGTGCTGATGCTAATGGGAGGAAAAGTTTCTGAGATAAAGAGAGAAATAATAGCTTAATACTTGTAGACTTTCACTCTAAAAAACCAGGGGAATATTTACATGTGAATTTTCTTTTTTTTTTTTTTTTTGGTAGTACTGGGGTTTGAACTCAGGACTTCATGCTTGCTAGGCAGGCACTCTACCACTTGCCACTCCGCCAGCTACATGTGAATTTTCTGTGGCGGGTTTATTGACAACAACTGGGGCTGTGGATGGAGGAAGACCTGGTTACCTTGGGTCTAATAGAGTAGCAAGTTCTCCAATGTTTTGGCATGAGACTACTTGGATTTGAAGTCCTACCACTTCCTTAGTATGTTACTTTATTCAAGTCATTTGATCTCTTTGTGTTCTCATTTCCTAACTTAATATAGAGATACTATTGGAATGTAAGCTTTGTTTAGGGCAGGAATATGTTCTGTATGGTTTTATTCTCAATGTGTAGAAAAGACTACATAACTTTTTTGGTGTGTGTGGTATTGAAGTTTTGAACTCAGGGCCTTAATTTTGCTAGGCAGGTGCTCTACCATTTGAGCCACTTTGTCAGCCCTTTCTTTGTGTTGTGTTCATTTTTTGAGATGTGATCTGGAGAGCTATCTATCCTGGCTGACGTCAAATTGTGATCATCCTGATCTCAGGCTCCTGAGCAGTATGATTACAGGTGTGAGCCACTGGTGCTCTATTTAAGCCTCCTGTGTAGAGGGGATTTTGGGAGCAGCACCACACCCAACATGATTGAGATGGTGGCCTCAAACTTAATACTCCAGTCTCTGTCTCCCTTCTTTTTTTTTTTTGGTGGTACTGGAATTTGAACTCAGGGCCTCATGCTTGTTAGGCAGGTGCTCTACCATCTGAGTCACTCCACCAGCTCTGCCTCCCATTTAGCTGGGATTACAGGCATGAGCCACCTCGCTTGGCCTGCATAAACATATTTTTATGGTGTGGAAGGTACTTGGTTCATAAGGTGTACTAAATCATAAGGATTTAGTTTATTTAAAAAAATTTATTTTGTTTTGAGATGTGTAGCCGAGGTTGGCTTTGAACTCATACAGACCATGCATGCCACAAACTTTTGATACTCCTGCCTCAACCTCCTAAATGCTGGGATTACAGGTGTGTGTCACCATGCCCAGCTTAAGAGGATTTTAGAACCTGTAAAGCAAGTACCCCACCACCAACCCCCAAGTGAAGTTTTACTATGTTCAGGGCTAGTCGAACTTCTGGCCTAAAGTGATCCTACCATCTCAGCCTCCCCAAATAGCTAGGACTACAGGTGTGTGCTGCCATGCCCCAGCTAAGCAAATACTTCTTTAAGTATCTGACATGTAGCAAATATTCAGGGAATGTAGGCTGGTAGCCCTGTGTTTTCCTCATTTTTTCGGTGGAGGGTTGGGGCTCATTGGGATTTGAACTCATGGTCTCATGCTTGCTAGGCAGGCTTTCTTACTGATTTCCTGTTTCCCTTATTTTTAAAAGTTTTAGACCCTGTTTTCTCTAATTTTTAAAAGTTTTGTGTGTGTGTGTGTGTATGTGTGTGTGTGTGTTTTGTCTTGTTTGGTGGTACTGGAGTTTGAATTCAGAGCCCTGAGTTTCTTAGGCAGGCATTCTATCACTTGAGATATACCCCCAGTCCTAAAAGGAATTTTTAGCCCCAGGACTTGGGAGACTGAAGCAAGAAGATCATAAATTTGAGGCCAGTCCTCGGCTACATAGTGAGACCGTCTCAAAAGACAAAAAGCTGAACAAACCCAAAAATCTCACAGTTTTAATTTCTTTAATTTCATTTTTATCCTACTTTAGGTGCTCCAGAGGCTGGTGGACCTGAGCGGAGGCTGGGACGCCCTAGTGGGCCCCGGGCCCTGGAAGGCGGGTCCCGGTGGCTGGTGGCCCAGAATGAGGCCAGCTCCCAGTATGCCCTGCAGCCGGACACCAGCCCCTCGGCCTGCAGCAGTGGTGATACCAACCCAGTTATTCTTCAGGCATCCAACAAGGAGCCTGGGAGTGGGACCATGCAGAGCAGCCCCTCCCCTGCTCATCCTCAGCTCCCAATCCTACAGACACAGGTTTGAAAGTGGGGAGGATTCCATCTCTATTTCTGCTTTGTGGACTGCTGGTTTTGAAGCAGAAGTGTGTGGCAAGTCTTACCTATCTCAGTAGCTGAGTCTAGAGAATCTTTGGTATACAGGTGGACTGGGGTGTAGTATATCAAGCCTATTAGATACTCACATTCTATTTGTCATTAGTGTAGTGATAATCTCCAAGTGTGCAGAAACTCCTTACTACCTGAAAAAGGTTTGAATTAGGCCAGATTGGAAATGGCCACTATGACTCTAACTTTAGAGTCAGGTAATGTATGTACCAAGAAAGTATATGGGGAAGAGAAAGAAGCCTGACTTTTGAAACTGGATCGATCTTAAGTTTTTTTTCCCTTTTGGCAGTTCTGGAGTTTGAACTCAGGCCTTACACTTGTTAGGTAGGTGCTCTACTACTTGAGCCACTTCACTAACCCTTTTTTGTGTTAAGTGTTTTTGAGATTGGGTCTCAAGAACTATTTGCCTAGGCTGGCCTTGAACCTCAGTCCTCCTGATCTCTGCCTCCCAAGTAGTTAGTAGTATAGGTATAAGCCATTGGTTGGTTCCCTGTCCTAAGTTTGTTTATAGTAAGTTTTTTTTTTCCCTTTTTCTTTTATTATTTATATGTGCATACAAGGCTTGGTTCATTTCTCCCCCCTGCCCCCTATAGTAAGCTTTTGATTGAAGTGTTGATTGAGCCCAGGGCCTCACATATGCTAGACAAATGCTCTTACCACTGAACTATGTTCACAGCCCCAATGGATGTGGTATTTTTAATTTTCCTTAGCAAATGGGAGAATTTGCATTTTGTCATTTAGCTGAATTAAGAATTTTAGTGGTACACTGTGAGGTTGTATGTTCAAGTGAATTTCATGAGTTCTTTGAGTATTCATATTTAAGTAGGACTTTGCTTTCTACTTACTGCTTGTGTGGCAATTTGTAAACTAATGTATGAGTATTTGAGAACAGTGTCCAGCTCTGCATTTAGGTAGCTTTTTTTCTGGTGTCCACTGGTAGCTTATTTATTGCATAGGTGAATCTTCCATAATTATGTGAGAAGCAGATTGGAGGTAAAATACTCTTTAAACTAAGAATTCATTATTTTTTGTTTAGTTTTTGGTTGTTGCTTGTTTGTTTTTGGTGGTACTGGGTGTTGAACTCAGGGCTGGAGCTAGATGGGTGTTCTAACATTTGAGCCATGCCCCCAGCCCTTTCTTGCTTAATTTTTTATATAGGGTCTCCTGTTTTTTTTCCAGACTATCCCAGCCCGAGATCCTTGTATTTAAGCCTCTCATGTAGTTGGGATGACAAATGTGTACCACCACACCCAGCTATTGAGATGGGGTCTTGATAACTTTTGCCTGCGCTGGCCCCAAACTTCGATCCTCTAGATCTTCACCTTCCAAGTAGCTGGGATTACAGGCATGAACCACCATTCTTGGCACCTTATGTTTATGTGAGTGAAATAATTGAGGCCCTGAAAAGATCATTAAAATTTAAAGTCATATACTATAGTAGTAGTCTTTTTTTGTTGTTTTTAGGTACTGGGTATGGAAACCAGGGCCTGTGTGTGCTAGGAAGTGCTGTACCACTAAGTTACCTTCCCAGCCTTGTGGTAGTAAGTCTTGAATTTTAGAAGGTATAGATGTCAGTACATAACAGTTTTTCTTTTCTTTTCTTTTTTTTTTAATGGCAGTATTAGTGTTTGACCTCGGCTTCATCTTTATTAGGCAGGTGCTCTAACACTTGAGTCACTCTGCCAGTTCTTTTTTGGTTGGGTATTTTTCGAGATAGGGTCTTGCAAACTGTTTGCCCTGACTGGCCTTGAACTCTAGTCTTCCTGATCTCTGCCTTCTGGACTGAGTAGGTAGGATTACAGGTGTGAGCAATCAGGGCCTGACTGAACAGAGTCTTGCTAGTCGCCCAGGCTGTCCTCAGACTTGTGATCCTCCTGCCTCAGCCTCCCAAGTGTTGAGTACATTATTTTGGTTTTTGGTTTTCTTGGGATACTGGAGTTTAAATTCAGGGCCTCATGCTATTGCTAGGCAGTTGGCAGTTGCTCTTACTGCTTGAGCCCTCTGTCAGCCATTTTTGTGATTTTTTTTTTTTTTTTGTTACTGGGGTTTGCACTCAGGGCCTATAACACCAGCTCTTTTTGTGAAGGATTTTTTTTTTTTAGATAGGGTCTCATAAACTATTTGTCCTGGCTGGCTTTGAACTGCAATTCTCCTGATCTCTGCTTTCTGAGTAGCTAGGATTACAGGCATGAGCCACCGGCACCCAACAGTACATAACTCTTGCATGTCAAATAGCTGGTGTAAATTTGATTCTACTTTTTTAAGCACCTTGTGAAAACTTTATTTCAAAGTTGGGTGTGGTGGTACATGCCTGTAATTCTAGCACCAGAGAGGCTGAGACAGGAGAATCAAAGAGTTCGAGGCAAGCCTATGCTATATAGTGAGACCCTGTCTCTAATGAAAAGAAAAAACTGCAAGTGTTTGTTTATAAAATGGTATTGATACCTTATTTTAGTTTTTTTCTTATGAAAATGGAACAGAATAATGTACTTAAAACACTTAGCACATGCTAAGCCTTTGTTTTCTGCATCATTTTCTCCTTTTCTAGATGGTGTCGGACGGCATGACAGGCAGCAATCCTGTGTCCCCTGCCTCATCTAGTTCTCCAGCCTCTAGTGGGGCAGGTGGCATCTCCCCCCAGCACATCACTCAAGATTCCTCTCTGGATGGACCTCCAGGCCCCCCAGATGGTGCCACAGTGCCCCCGGAGGGGCTCAGCTTATCTCAGGCTGCTGATTTGGTTAACAAGGGCCCAAAGTGGGAGAAGAGTCATGCAGAAATTGCAGAGCAAGCCAAGCATGTATGTATTGGGACGGTCCATGAGGACTCTTGGGCTCATCTTCTCTCTCTTTTTTTTTTTTTGTGGGACTGAGGTTCACTCTGGGCTTCGCACTTGTAAAACAGGCACTTTACCACTTGAACTGTGCCTCCTGTCCATTTTTGTTCCGGTTATTTTGGAGATGGGGTTTGGTGAACTATTTTGCCTGTGTTGGGCTTGAACTATGATTCTCCCAATCTCAGCCTTCCAAGTAGCTAGGATTACAAGCATGAGGCATCAGGGGAACAGCAGAAGTCATCTTCTTTTAACTCCCATGTCTTTGTTTCTTGTTGCGGATTTAGGTTATTGACTCTTTCTTAACTTAGATCATCTTTGTCCATATTGCTTGAACTCTTAGACTCATCCCCACCCCCACCCTCCCAAATGCTAAGGACTGAATCCAGGGACTCATGCATGGTGGACAAACACTTTGCCATTGAGCTACACCCCATCCCTCATTTTTCTTTCTTTTTTTTTTTTCCCTTGGTGGGACTGGGGTTTGAGCTCAGGGCTTTGCACTTGCAAAACAGGCACTCTACCATTTGAGCCACACCTCCATCTCCTCCTTTTTCTTTGTTAGGATAGTGATGTGCCAGGCCCCTGTGGCTCATGCCTGTAATCCTAGCTATTCGGGGCAGAGATCAGGAGGATTGAGGTTTGAAGCCAGTCCGGGCAAATAGTTCGAGAGACTCTATCTTGAAAATACCCATCACTTTTAAAAAAGGGCTGGTAGAGTGGCTCAAAGTGTAGGCCCTGAGTTCAAGCCCCAGTACTGCAAAAAAAAAAAAAAGATAATTAAGAGGTTTAGTCTGAAACTTCAAACTTTGGTTTTTTTTCCCCCTCTGATTAACTGGGAATTGAACCAAAAGCTTCATGCATATGTTAGTTAAGACCCCCAGCTCTGTGAACTTTAAATTAGAGGAAAAATTAGATATAAATGTGCTTTGTAAACTTTGATGCTCTTAAGATTTATTGATCTCTACTTATTCTGCAGCCTTTTAAATTTGTCCAGTGCTAAGTGTGTTCCCATGGCTAGCAGCATCCCCATCACCTGGGAATTTGTTACAAATGCACATTACTGGTATTACTTTCACACCCAGTTAAAACTCTTAGGTGGCACCCAGCAATGTTTTTTTAAACTCACCAGTTGATTTTGATGCATGCTTAAATTTGAGAGCCACTTGTCTGTGTTGATACTTCTTTCATCATCAGGCTAGTTTCTTTAGTTCCTTGTCTCATCTCTGGCTATCATTTTCTCTGCTTTATCTGGAGAGGACAGAAATAACTTCAGTTGTGTGGAGGATTTATCCCCCATTTCCCAGACTGGCCTCAAACTTGCAATCCTCCTGCCTGAGACTCTTACTGTTGTGTACCAGCACACTTGGCATTGTCTTAAGGTTTTTTTTTTTTTTTCTTTTTGTGGTGCAGTTCTGGGGTCTGAAGTCAGAGCCTCATGCTTGTTAGGCAAGTGCACTACCACTTAAGCTATGTTATGGCCCTAGCCCTTTATTGCCTGGGCTGGCCTTGAATCCTGATCCTCCCTATCTTTGCCTCCCAAGTTGCTAGGATTACAGGTGTGAGCCACTGGCACCTGCCTTTTTTCTTTTAACTTTTATGTAGGGATAAATTGGGGGAGGAGGATTGCAGGAAGACATTTCCTGCTTCCCACACAGGAAATGGAAGTAAGGACTCAACATAGTACTTAGTAACTATAGTTTTTATACTTTTGTAGCTAACCATAGGACTGGAGTTTGAACTCAGGGCTTTGCACCTATGAAACAGGCTTTCTATCATTTGAGAGCCACAACTTCAGTCCATTTTGCTCTGGTTATTTTGAAGATGGAGTCTCTGGAAGTATTCGCCCTGGCTGGCCTAGAACTGTCATTTTCCCTATTTCAACCTCTCAAGTAGCTAGGATTAGAGGTATAAGTGACCAGCATCTGGCCCCTGTCCTAGGTGTTTTTTTTTTTTTTCCAGCAACTCTGTCAATACTGTTTTGTGTTGAGTATTTCCAAGATAGGGTCTCTCAAACTATTTGCCCACACTGGATTTGAACCACGATCCCCCTAATTTCTTGCCTCCTGAGTAGCTAGGACTACAGGCTTGAGTCACCTGCACCCAACTGTATTCTGAGTTTTCAAAAGCTTTTCTGGGCACCAGTGACTCATGCCTGGAATCCTAGCTACTTTGGGTGGCTAAGATTGGAAGAATCACAAGTGTAAATCCCAAGGCTTTACACTTGCAAGGTGGGCACTCTACTGCTTGAGGCACAACTCCAGTGTAGTTTTTCTGGTTATTTTGGAGATGGGATCTTGAGAACTATTTGCCAGGTCTGGCCTTGAGCCTTAATCTTTCTCATATCAGCCTCCAAGGATTACAGGAGTGATCTACTGGCATCTGCTGCCTGATTGTATGGCACATTTCTTCCTTAGTACTGTGGTTTGAACTCAGGGCCTCTTGCTTGCTAGGCAGATGCTCTACCACTTGAGCCACTCCACCAGCCCTTTTTTGTGATGGGTATTTTCAAGATAGGGTCTCACAAATTATTTGCCCAGGCTGGCTTTGAACTGTGATTCTCCCTCTCTCTACCTCTTGAGTATCTAGGATTACAGGCATGAGCCACCAGCACTCAGCTGTATAGCGTATTTCTAAGCTTAATACAGTTTGAACATACTTGGAGGAAATAGAATCCTGCTACGGTAAAGAGCCCTTGTATCTAGAGTTAAGAAGGAAGCTATAATCCTAGCTGCTGAGGAGGTTGAGATCGGGAAGATTGCCATTCAAGCCTGGGCAAAAAGTTCTTGAGACCTTGTCTTAATGGGGGAAAAACCTGGCATAGTGGCTTATGCCTGTCATCCCAGTACAGTGAGAAGTGTAAAATAGGGAGTTTTGGGGTCCACGCTGGCCTGGGCAAAAGTGATATCTTAACTCAAAAATAAGAAAAAGGGACTGGAGGTGTGGCTCAAGCAATAAAATGCCTATCTTCAAAGGTAAAGCCTGAGTCCTCACTCCAGTACCACCCAAAAAATTAAACCAACATACATTCCCTGCTTCTCTAGGAATCTCTCCTTGGGATATTTTTTGTAAGTCTCACCTATGTCCATTAGTTATGGAGATTGTATGAATAAAATAAAGAAATATGTGAATTCTGGTGTCTGGAGTCCTTAGACCTTTTTCTGATTCCCAGTTCTTGCTACTTCCTAGCTGGATGATCTCGAACAAGTCACTTAATTCCATCATCTTTTTTCCCCTTGTCTGAAGAGAATATGATAACCTTCTTGTAGGAGTGATAGGAGAATGAAACACTCAGCCCAGTCAGTGCTCAGAAAATCAGCTAAGGTAGTGAGGTGGCATTTATGTCCATTAACTGTTGATTAACTTCATTGTTGCCTCATTAGGAAGCTGAGATTGAGACTCGAATTGCTGAGCTACGGAAGGAAGGATTCTGGTCATTGAAGAGGCTTCCTAAGGTGCCAGAGCCTCCCCGCCCCAAAGGCCACTGGGATTATCTGTGCGAGGAGATGCAGTGGCTCTCTGCTGACTTTGCTCAGGAGCGCCGATGGAAACGGGGTGTGGCCCGTAAGGTATATCCTCAGCATGGTCTACCTTCCATTTATTGTTAAGGTGTGCTTCCCTTTAAGGGTTGGGATAGTTGGAAGGGAACCAAACAGAATGATGTAGTTCTCTTAGCATTAAGTGGCAAACTAACATTCCAGATTTCTTCCCTTAATTGTCTTTGCTTTTGGTTGGGTGGATGGGGAGATTGGGTTCGAGTGTTTTCATGTTGGGTCTTTTTCCTGTAGGTGGTGCGAATGGTGATCCGACACCACGAGGAGCAGCGGCAGAAAGAGGAACGGGCTCGGAGGGAGGAGCAGGCCAAGCTGCGCCGAATTGCTTCTGCCATGGCAAAGGATGTCAGGCAGTTTTGGAGCAATGTGGAGAAGGTAAACAGTGAAGACCAGAATAGGGAAATGGCCTTTGGTTAGGTCAGAGGGGCTGGTATGTTAGTAGGAGTGACCCCAACTTCTTGAGGGAATGAATATTATAATTTAAAGCAATTGTAAAGATTTTTCTGTTGTGCATTGGACCTTTCCAGCATTGAGTGCTGTGAAGAAGAAGGAAATCCTTTGTATTCTTTTCACCTACCCATTTACTACTGGGGCTTGGGGCCCAGCACTCTGTTTTGTTTTTACTTAGAAGTCTGTTTTGTAGTGGCAAATGTGGAGTCATGCCTTTGGGAATTGTTCACAGGACTTTTTTTTTTTTGCAGTACTGGGGGTTGAACTTGACCTTGAGCCACTCCACCAGCCCTATTTTTGTGAAGGGTTTTTTGAGATAGGGTCTTGAGAGCTAGTTGCCCAGCCTGGCTTCAAACCGCCATCCTCCTGATCTCTGCCTCTTGAGTGGCTAAGATTAAAGGCTTGAGCCACTGGCACCCAGCTGTAGCATGCTTCTTCTAAATTACATTTGTGCCATTTACTTTAAAGTTAAGTTGTAATTATTTCCTAAGCACTGTTGTCCCTCAAAATCCATGAGGGTTGGTTCTAAGACTTGCTGTGGGCACCAAAATCCGGGGATGCTCTAGACCTATATATATGCATAGTGTTTGCATGTAATCTACAAACATCCTATATACTTTAAATCATGTCTAGATAGCTTGTGATACCTAATATGATACAAATGTTACATAAATAGTTGTTATACTATATAATTTAGGGAATATTGTTGAAGAAAAAGCATATACACGTTCAGTCCAGATGGACTATTTTGGGTGAGGGAGGGGCGGTAATGGGGTTTGAACTCACGGCTTCATGCTTGGTAGTCAGGCACTCTACCACTTGAACTACCAGATTGAATTTTTTGAACAGGGTTTTGCTGTGTTACTCATTCTGGCCTTGAACTCGTCGTCTCAACTTCTCAAGTAGCTGGGACTAAAGGCGTGTACCCTAATGCCTAGCTTCAATTTTTCTTTTATTATATATGGTTCAGGGTCTTACTGTGTAGCCCAGTTTGTCCTGGAATTTGATCCTCCTGTCTCAGCTTCTGAGTGCTGGGATTACAGGTATATATCAGCATGTCCAGCTCTGTGATTGTTTTTTGAAAAAAAGATTTTTTTTTTTTTTTTTTTGGTGCTAGGGCTTGATCCATGGCCTTGTGCATGCTAAACTCTCACTCTATGACACTGAACTATTCCTCTGGCCCTTTTTTTTTTTTTAATGTTTTTGATCCGATGTTGGTGCATATTCCTGATCATTCATACATGGTCCTGCTGGGAATGCTTCTTTTTTCTGTGCTCCCCAGCACTGGGCTTTATGTATACGAGGCAAGCATTCTACACTAAGCTACACCTGTTAGGTAAAACTCCAGTTCCAGGTGCATTTGCAAGTCATCCCCAGAAGCTTGACACTAAACTGGCCACCTCTCTTTTGTGTTTCTTTCCTACTTACCTCAATTACCCTATTAAATCATGAGCACCTTAATGTTTGAACTCACGGCTTCACGCTTGCAAAGCAGGTTAGCCAAACCTCCAGTCTGTTTTGCTCTGGTTATTTTGAAGATGAGGTCTCTTGAATTATTTGCCCAGGCTTGCCTCAAACTTTAATCCTCCTCATCTCAGTCTCCCAAGTAGCTAGGATTACAGGTGTGAGTCACTGGCACCCAGCAGGTTTTTCTTTAAGTCTTTCTTGAATTGTGACCTAGAGCCTGGTGTGGAGGCCTCCCTAAACGTTGAGTAAAAGAGTGAGTAAATAAATGGGTTTGTCAGTGACTGGTCCATTTCATGATTATGGCAGGTGGTGCAATTCAAGCAGCAGTCCCGGCTTGAGGAAAAGCGCAAAAAAGCCTTAGACCTGCACCTGGACTTCATTGTGGGACAAACTGAAAAGTACTCAGACCTTCTGTCTCAGAGCCTTAACCAGCCGCTAGCTTCCAGCAAAGCTGGCTCTTCCCCTTGCCTTGGCTCTTCCTCAGCTGCCTCTAGTCCTCCACCTGTTGCTTCCCGGCTGGATGATGAAGGTGTGTATGCTCTTTGGCCCTGTTACTCTTCCCTATGTACCCTTTCCAGAGCTGAAAGACCCACCCTGTGGCTTGCAGGGCCCGTGGACTTTGTGACCTTGTTCTCCTGCTATAGATGGGGACTTCCAGCCCCAAGAGGAGGAGGAAGAGGATGATGAGGAGACCATTGAGGTTGAAGAACAGCAGGAAGGCAATGATGCAGAGACCCAGAGGCGTGAGATCGAGCTACTTCGACATGAGGGAGAACTGCCACTGGAAGAGTTGCTCCGTTCCCTACCCCCTCAGTTGCTAGGAGGACCTTCCAGCCCCTCTCAAACTCCCTCATCTCATGATAGTGACACCCGAGATGAACCTGAAGAAAGTGTTGAAGAGGAGCCCTCTCAAGTGTTGGAGGTACAGGTAGAGGAGGTGGAGGGAGGAAGGTTCATGTTTGAGTCATGGGCTATGATTGTGGTTTTTGAGATCCTCCATGATTAAGGATATTTGGACTCTCATTTCGGGATAACTGGGGAGGAATCTGGGTTTGGGGAAAGTTGTTCCCTGCAAGTTTGCAGAGTTTCTGATGCTGTAGTGAAAGAGTTCTGTCCTTTCTAAGTTGCTGTGATTATGATCTTGTTTTGGTTCTTATCTTCTACTTCTGTGAAATGACCCTAATACTCTCTTACTGGCTTATAAGTTGAGAGTTGGAGTGGTCACCTTGAAGTCTCTTCTGGACCTCTGTGCTCTGTCCTTATATTTGGGTTTTTGGGCCTTAATTTCTTACCTAGCACTTTCACAGATCTTCCCCTAGACAGTAGGGCCAGGATTTGGTAGCTGGTGCTTAGAGAAAACCCTTGATTGCATCTTTGCCCTGGTACTATACCAGTGGCAGGTGTCACTCACTGGAACAGAGATGATTTGTTGATGTTTTGTTCGACATTGTACCTTCCTCCTGTTCTAATCTTCTGCTTTTCATCCTTTGTCATACAGGTGAAGCCCGCACCTTCCTCCATCACACAATGCAGCAAGCAGCGTTGGCATCCGGATGAAGATGATGAAGAGTTTACTGCCAATGATGATGAAGGTTAGTCCTGTTCTCTTTATCTTGTTGCACCTTATTCCTCAAATTAATTTTTTAGCCCTAACCTTTTGGGCTTTCCCACCTTCTTTTCTTGGACTGTGTTCTATGTCTCTGTCCCCATTGATCCTCCTTCATTCTCTTTCCTAGCGGAGGATGAAGAGGACACCATAGCAGCTGAGGAGCAGTTGGAAGGAGAGGTGGATCATGCCATGGAGCTGAGCGAGTTGGCTCGAGAAGGTGACATTGACTAGATACTCTGTTGAGCATCCACTTGCTGTGTAGAATATCAGGGATAAAGTTATAATACAATAGGTACTTTTTATTCCTGCAGCTCAGGTGACTGGTTCCTGTGCATGTTTCTGGTAGAACTGCAGGTCTAATGACAAAGGCAGACTTATTAAGAAAAAAGTTTCTTAATAAGAAGTGCTCACAATGGAAATTTGGTTTTGGGGTTTATTTTTGGTTTTGGTAGTACTGGGGTTTGAACTCAGGGTCTTCTGTTTACTAGGCAGGCACACCTCTAACCCACAGTGGAAGTTTGAATTAAATTAGATGGGAGTGCAGTGGAGGGAAGAGCTACTGAAATAGAATATTGGCAGTATTTGACTTGAATCTTGATACAAAGGTTCACCAGACTGATAATGTGTTTCCCAGCAGAAGGCAACACTTCATATGGTTGTAGCCCAGGTTGTGTGGCTTGGCTTTAGTACCTGGTACTAAAAGTAAACTCTCTAGTTTGCCTTTAGACCTGGGTGTGGTAGTGTCTACGGAGACCTAAGTAACATGAGCTGGAACCTTTCAGAGTCCCCTTCTCCCCACCCCTCAAAGCAACCAAAAACTTACCCGTAATTTCCCCACTAGGTGAGCTGTCTGTGGAAGAGCTACTGCAGCAGTATGCAGGAGCCTATGCCTCTGATGCCTCTGCTCCAGGTTCTGGGAGTAGTGATGGGGAAGACGAAGATGAGGAGGTTGAGGCTAACAGCTCTGACTGTGAACAAGAGGAGGCAACAGAAGCTGAAGAAGCAGCTCAAGAGGATAGTAGCAGCCAGTCAGGTGAATGTCTGGTCCTGAGGCAGGAGCTGGGAAAGGCATGTGTTGGAGAAGCAGGTACTAAGCCTTGGTCTTGTGATCTAGACTCTGCTGAGGAGCAGAGTGAGGATGAAGAAGATGATCATTCAGAGGAGGAAGAAACAAGTGGCAGTTCAGAATCAGAAGAATCTGAGTCTGAGGAGTCTGAGGATGCTCGATCACAGAGCCAAGCAGATGAAGAAGACGAAGAGGAGGAAGATGATGATTTTGGGGTGGAGTACTTGCTTGCCCGGGATGAAGAACAGAGTGAGGCAGATGGGGGCAGTGGGCCTCCTACCCCAGGGCCCACCACCACTCTAGGTCCTAAGAAAGAAATTACTGACATTGCTGCAGCAGCTGAAAGTCTTCAGCCCAAGGGTTACACATTGGCGACTACCCAGGTATCTCCGGGCTGCAACTTCTGCTTTCTCATATCATGATTTTACTATTTCAGGTGACAGGTGCCTCAGTCCACTTTGCATGATAACTGTTTTGTTTCCTCCTTGTCAGGTAAAGACACCCATTCCCCTACTACTGCGGGGCCAGCTCCGGGAGTACCAACACATTGGGCTTGACTGGCTGGTTACTATGTATGAAAAGAAACTTAATGGCATTCTTGCAGATGAGATGGGGCTGGGGAAGACGATCCAGACCATCTCCTTACTTGCTCACTTGGCCTGTGAGAAAGGTGAGTAGGTAGGGCCCATCTTGGCCTCTTAACCAATTCTGGGGAACTGTTAGTGGTGACTCCACCTGCAGGAAGGTGAAATTCTTACTCTCGTTGCTTTCTTTGTAGCTTCATTGACTGGTCAGTAACTATAGGAAGGATAGAGAAGTGCTAGGATTCTTAGGAAGGGCCATCAGAAGGAGACAGTCAACAGGCTTATACCTAAGGAATCAGAACTGCAAGCTTTACATGGCCTTACTGTGTCTTATTCTTTTGCAAAACAGGTAATTGGGGTCCCCATTTAATCATTGTTCCCACCAGCGTGATGTTGAACTGGGAGATGGAATTGAAACGTTGGTGCCCCAGCTTTAAAATCCTCACTTACTATGGAGCCCAGAAAGAGAGGAAGCTCAAGCGGCAGGTTCGATCTTCCATGTGGTCACTTTCCCCCATTGATTTCTCCTTCATTTTTAGTCCCTTTGCTTAGATGAGTTCCCTTTCCCTCCTTTTCCTATTGCTCCATTTTCCTGGAATCTTTTAATTTCTTCTAGACTGATTTCTGTCCCTTGAAGACCTTAGCATATTTTCCCTTTGCCCTCTCCTTTTTTTTTTTTTTTTTTTTTTCTTACCCCCCACTATCTTCTGCTTTCTTTGACCCCGTTAGGGCTGGACTAAGCCCAATGCCTTCCATGTGTGTATCACATCTTACAAGCTGGTGCTGCAGGACCACCAGGCCTTCCGCCGCAAGAACTGGCGCTATCTTATTTTGGATGAGGCTCAGAACATCAAGAACTTCAAGTCTCAGCGCTGGCAGTCACTGCTTAACTTCAATAGGTAGAGATGGAGATGGAGATGTGTGGGAGGGTTGGCTTGGTCTGAGTGACTGACTGGCTTGCCTCAGTTGAGGATTATATCATGGATGCTCAGAAAGTTAGAATCTTGAAAAAAAAAGAAAGTAAGTTGGAATCTTGCTGACCATCTTCCTTCTGGTTCTCTCTCTTTGCAGCCAGAGACGGTTGCTCCTGACAGGAACTCCCTTACAGAACAGCCTCATGGAGCTGTGGTCCTTGATGCACTTTTTGATGCCTCATGTCTTCCAGTCTCATCGAGAGTTCAAGGAATGGTTCTCTAACCCCCTAACTGGCATGATTGAGGGCAGCCAAGAATATAATGAAGGTCTGGTCAAACGCCTGCACAAGGTAGGACCTGCAGTAGTTTGATATTGAGAATGTGAGGAACTGAGGGTAATAACTAGTAGCAGGGACCTCAAGTACTAGGCTGAACTTAATCAGTCGTTATGCTGCAGCATTCTAGTGACTCATTGCCAAATTGAGCAACATCATCTTAGTTATCCTGCTTGTTTTCTTTACTGGGGATGCTTTTGTCCTTACTTTCTTCGAATGGAATGGTACTGCTGATCAGTCCCTATTTGGATTTCTCTTTGTCTGGATTTAAGCTTGTGTTTTTGGTATTTTCTCTCTTTCTTTTTTTGTCTCTCTCTGTATGTTTTCGTCTCTTCATCCAGCTTTAAAACAGCAGTATCTTCCAACATCCTGATCTTTTTTTGTTTTTCTTTTCAATCTGTGTATCTCATTCATTCCCAAGACTTTTGCCTATGTGATAATGACACTTTAAATTGGTGTTTGTTTTGGTTTTTTTTAACCTCAACTTCAACATAGAATGACTTCTTAATTTTTGTTTGTAATCCTTTAAATATTTAGATCCCTTGACCTGAATTTTAATCAACCTGCTCGCTTTTTCCTTTCTTGTGTCTGCCTGTCTCTGTCAGTCTGTCTTTCTAACTTGTCTTGGGGTTTGAATTTGGGGCTTTGTGCTTGCTAGGCACTCTACCACTTGAACCACACCTCTAGCCTGGACTTTTGGTATCTTTTCTTTTTAAATGTATTAATTGTATAGGGCAGGTTTCATTGTGACATTTACATTTGTGTTTACAATGTATCTTAATTAGATTCACCTCCATCATTCTCTCATTCCCCTTCCCCTCTTAAGACTTGATATCTTTAATTGAAAGTTCCTTTTTTTTTTTTTTTTGCCATACTGGGGCTTGAACACAGGGCCTACACCTTGAGCCACTCCACCAGCCCTTTTTTGTGATGGGTTTTTCAAGATAGGGTCTCATGAACTGTTTGCCCATGCTGGCTTTGAACCATGATCCTCCTGATCTCTGTCTCCTAAGTAGCTATGATTACAGGCATGAGCCACTAGTTCCCAGCTTGAAAGTCCTTCTTGAATTCACTTTGTCCTCGGCCAAATATCTCTGTCTTTATAGCCTATTATTTCTCAGCCAAATTATCTCTGGTCTTATCACTCTTATCTTGTACATCATTTGGAAAAACCAAAATAGAAATCAGGACATCTTCCTTAACTATTACACTTCCTTCATATACCTCCTTTTCTTCACTTCCTTTCTATCCTTATAGATACTGAAGACTGTTAGGTTTTATATCCTGAGATAACAAGGCCACTTTTTTTTATTTTGGTGCTAGGGATTGAACCCAAGGCCTTATAAGCCTATGCTTTATTACTGAGTTACACCCCATCCCAGGGCCAATATTTTTCTCTGCTTCTCTCCTGGGTTTATTTTTGTAACTTTGTTTTTGAGACTGGGTCTGTGTTGCCCAGGTTAGTCTCAAACACCTTGACTCAAAGGGTGCTCCTTCCTCGGCCTCCCAAGTAACTGGGTAAAACTTAAGGCACAAGATCCACCATACCTGGCTTATTTTTGTAATCTTGTAAACTTATAGTGACTCCTCAAAATGCAGTTTGTCCAGAACGGAGGGATAGAGCAGCCCTCGGCAGCCCAGGTGGCTGTGCCTGGCTCGGGGCTGTGCGAGACACAGGTGGAAAAAGAAAAAAAATGCAGTTTGTTTCAGCTTTCCTGCAGAGTTAGTTGGTTTTCTTTCAGGGCTTGGTTGTATCGCTTTGTGTGTTCTAGTTTAGTTATCTTTATGTGTGTCTCCTTCAGCAGATAGTAAGTTCCTTGAGAGGAGGGCATGCATCTGACTCATGTTTGTGTGGTTTGTATCTGGCATGCCACATGACTTCATGACTGCTGATGAGTTAAGCCAATGCTTGGCCATTTGCCAGGCCAAGACCCAACTAGAGGGGCTAGGTTGGGACGTAGTGCCCTCTGTTCTCCTGTCATCCTCTTGCTTATTTATTTTTAGGTTTTGCGGCCTTTTTTGTTACGCCGAGTTAAGGTGGATGTTGAGAAGCAGATGCCCAAAAAGTATGAGCATGTTATCCGCTGCCGGCTCTCCAAGCGCCAACGCTGTCTCTATGATGACTTCATGGCACAGACCACGTAAGGGTGGACTGAGGGTGGGCCCTGGGACCCTGGATTAGAGAGCAGGTGGCTGTTAGGGTGTCCATTTATTTTTCTTCTCTCCCCAGAACTAAGGAGACACTAGCCACAGGCCATTTCATGAGTGTCATCAACATTTTAATGCAGCTACGAAAAGTCTGCAATCATCCAAATTTGTTTGACCCTCGACCTGTTACCTCTCCCTTCATCACCCCAGGCATCTGCTTCAGCACCGCCTCTCTGGTGCTAAGGGCCACTGATGTCCACCCACTGCAGGTAAGTAGCTGTCCTCAAGTTTAGTAGTTCTTACCCCAACATTTGGGGGTCTCACCTTTTCGTTTTTTTGATTTTTGGGGTTTTTTGGTGGTATTGGGGTTTAAACTCAGGGTTTCATGCTTGCTAGGCAGGTACGTAACCACTTGAACCAGCCCTGTTTTGTGTTGGGTATTTTCAAGATAGAGTCTCGTGAACTGTTTGTCCAGGCTGGTTTAGAGTCTCACCCTTTGCAGCCTTACTACTTCCCTTATTTTATCCATTCAGTACTATTCCTTTAGTTTCATCATTTTTTAGCAATGTGACTTGGTAGTTTATTAAACCTAGGTTTCCTTGCCCACCAAACAGCCATATTCTGTAATGTGTTTGAGAATTTTTGGATGTGCTGAGACCTATGCCTGCCCTATTTATAGATACTTTATAAATATCACTTGAGGGAAAACCCTCATTTTTTTATTGTGATAAAATACATTCTGGAGGATTACTGTTTTAACCATTTTAAGTGTACATTTTATCAGCATCAAGAACATTTATATTGTTGTGTAACCAACACAAGCATCCACCCTTCTCTTTTTTTTTTTTTCTTTCCTCTTTCTATTATTCTGAGTATTTGGTGTAAATGAAATCATAAAGTACCTATCCTTTTGTGAATGACATCTTTCATTTACCATAATATCTTTAAGGTTCATCCACATTGTATAGTATATTTGAGAAATTTCCTTCCTTTTTAAGATGGGAAAATATTTCATTGTGTGGGTAATGCCACATTTTGGTTATCCATTTATCTCAATGGACACTTGGGTTTTCTGGTTTTTGATATAGCATATCACTGTGTGGCCCAGGATGATAGGGAATTTGAGATCCTCCTGTTTCGGCTTTTTTGAGTGTTGGAATTATAGGCATGTACCACCATACCCATGTCATCTTTTGGCTATTGTGAATAATGCTGCAGTATTCATGGGTATAGAAATACCTGTTTGAGTCCTTGCTTTATGTTCTTTGGTTATATGTCCAAAGGTGGAATTGCTGTATCATATGGTAATTCTTTTTGTAATTTTTTGAGAAACAAGCTTTACTGTTTTTCCATAGCAGCTTCACATTTTACATTCCTACCAGCAATGTACAAGGGTTTCAATTTCCATACAACCTTTTCATAGGATTTTTTTTTTTAAATAGTGGCCATATTAATGTGTGTGAGGTGGTATTTCATTGTTTCAATTTGCATTTTCCTAATGATTAGTTGCATTCAGAATCTTTCATGTGCTTCTTAGCCATTTGTGTGCCTTCTTTGACAGAATCCTTTTTTTATTTATTTAGTGGTACTAGGGTTTGAACTGAGGTCCTTGTGCTTGCAAGGCAGACACTCTACGACTTGATCCATGCCTCCAGCCCTGTGTGTCTTCTTTGGAGACATAATGTATTCAAGACCTTTTCTGATTTTACTTATTTATTTTTTCTGGTACTGTGGTTTGAACTCAGGGCATCATGCTTGTTAGGCAGGTGCTCTTGCACTTGAGCTGTGCCTCCAGCTCGTTTTTCTTTAGAAATTTTTTGGATAGGGTCTCATGTTTTTTTGTCACAGCTGCCCTGTACCACAGTCCTCCCAATCTTTGTCTCCCGAGTAGCTAGGATTTACAGGTATGTGCCACTATGCTTGATCTGATTTCTTTTTCTTTTGTTAGAAGTGGGATTTGAACTCAGGGCTTCACATTTCTTAGGTGGCTACTCTACTGTTTGAGCCACACCTACAGCCCTTTTCACCCTGGTTACTTTTGAGACAGGGTCTCACTTTTTGCCCATTCCAACATGGACCGTGATCCTCCTATGTTACACATCTTGCCATAGCCATAGCTGGGGCAACAGGCATGTACCACTGCGCCCAACTACTGGTTGAGATGGGGGTCTTGAAAACTTTTGTGTGGGCTGGTCTTGACCCTTCCAATGTGAGCCTCCCAAATAGCTAAGATTACAGGTATGAAGCACCAGTGCAACTGGGATTTGAATTCAGGGCTTCGTGCTTGCAAAGCAGGCACTCATAAGGTAGGTACTTTTCTGCTTTAGCCATACCTGCAGTCCGTTTTTCTGTAGTTATTTCAGAAATGTGATCTCAAAAACTTATTTTCCTGGGCTAGCCTCAAACCGAAATTGTCCTGATCTCTGCCACCCAGATAGTTAGGATTATAGCTGTGAACCACTAGTGCCCAGCTTATTGCACTTTTTCTGAAAAGTGGGCTTTTTTTTTTGTCATTGGGTTGTAGTTCTTTGAATAAATCTTGTCAGATGTGTGATTTGCAAGTAATCTTTTTTTTTTTTTTTTTTTTTTGCTTTGTACTGGATTTGAACTCAGGGCGTTGTGCTTGCTAGGCAGGCGCTCTACCACTTGAGCCACTCACCTAGCACAAGTAATCTTGTTCTCTTCTGTGGGTTATCATTTTACTCTGTTGAAGGTATATATTGATGCACAAAAGTTTCAAATTTGGATATAGTCTAATTTATCAATTTTTTTCTTCAACTTTTTTATTAGCATGTATTAATTGTACAGTGAGATTTCATTGTGATATTTCTGTATATATGTATAATTACTTTGATCAAAGTTACCAGTTAATTTTTCTTTTGTTATTTGTGCTTTCGGTGTTATATTCAAGAAATCATGGCTAGATTAGTCCCTTTGACACTGTACTTTGTGTTCCTTCTTGTGGCAGCGGATAGACATGGGTCGGTTTGACCTTATTGGCCTAGAGGGTCGTGTCTCTCGATACGAGGCTGACACTTTCCTGCCCCGCCACCGCCTCTCCCGCCGGGTACTGCTAGAGGTGGCTACTGCTCCTGATCCCCCACCTCGTCCCAAGCCTGTCAAGATGAAGGTCAACAGGTACCAGGACTAAGGAAGAAGGGGATGTGTTCCTAGAAAATATTGGAGGGGTTATAGGTGGTGAGGAAAGAGTTGGAGACTAGGCTAGGCTCTTTATATGGATGGGTACAAAGTACTGTGGAGGGATTGAGGAAGAAAATAACTAGAGGAGGGTTTTGGAAGGGACTCCTCCTGTTTTTGTCACTATTTTGTTTCCCTACTTTGCTTGGTGCTTTCTAATTACCTGGGGGTTTTTTTCCCCTCTTTTCTCCTTTGGGTCTTTTTTTACTCTGCTCTTACAACCTTTCTACCATGTTCTCCTTCTTCCTTTCTTTTACTATTCCTTATTTTCCTTCCCTCTACCTATCCACTTGGTTTTTTTCCTTATAGGATGCTACAGCCAGTGTCCAAGCAAGAAGGCCGCACAGTGGTGGTGGTGAATAGCCCACGGACGCCTCTTGGCTCTGGCCCATTTCGACCTCCTCTAGGCCCTGAGCTGTCAGCCCAGCCTACCCTTAGTCCAACCTCCCCAATGCTGCCGGCACCACTGATGATGTCGGCCTCAACTGCTGGACCCCCGCTTGTTCCTGTATCCCGGCCTCCTGGATCTGTTCTTTTGCCTCCCTTGCAGTCAAACAGTGGTCCTCTATCCCAGGGTAAGTTGAAAAGGATCCAAAGGTAATGGTGTGCTTCTTTTATTACTAAGAAGTAATGAAATCAAAGGGTTTGAGGAGCTGGTTTGGGGAGAAGGGAGGTGAGGTGTTTGATGGGCTGGAAGATGTAGTATGGAGGTTTCTAGGACCAGGCTAAGGCTTTAGTCTGGTCATAATTTGACTGGTGTTTTGTTTGTGCGTACAGTGTTGCCATCCCCCCTGGGAGTCCTGAGTGGCACCTCACAGCCTCCCACACCAACCCTGTCCTTGAAGCCAGCTCCACCCGCCCCAGTTCGCTTGAGTCCAGCACCACCCCCAGGATCCTCTAGCCTGTTGAAGCCCCTGACAGTGCCACCAGGATATACCTTCTCTCCTGCTGCTGCTGCTACCACCACTTCTACCACCACAGCAACCACTACCACCACGGCAGTGCCAGCTCCAGCTCCTGCACCACAGCGTCTCATCCTGTCTCCTGAAATGCAGGCCCGCCTGCCCTGTAAGTTCCCAGGGTTCTACAGGGAGGAAGGTTTAAATGGTAGGGAGCTGAAGAACAAAAGGAACATGAGAGTATGAAGCCCTAGGCAGCTAATATTTAAATCATAATTGAGTAAGAGCCGTCGAGGGATTCACAGTCTAGAGGGAGAAATAACCCATAGATGGATAAATAGTGGTAAGCTTAGTAATAGAAAAGTATTTGGAGGCTGGGTATGTAGTTCAGTAATAGAGTACTTGCCTAGCCTATGTGAAGCCCTTCATGCAATCTCTGGCACTACAAAAAAAAAAAGAATAAAAATGCTGCATAGAGCAAGAGACAGTGATTGCTGTCTGGTAGCAGGCTATTAGAGACTATATAGATTTCTATGTAAATAAGAGGAATTGGACTGAGCCACATGTCAAAAGCCCAAAGATTGTGTGTAGAGGCTTAGTTTTTGAGCAGGGTAAATTGTGGGAAAGGTTTGGAGGAACTGGAGAATCAGGGAGACGTGTGCTTTGTGGGAGTCTGAGACATGTTGAACAGAGTGAACCCTGAATACAATAAGGCCTTTTCTGTTTGTAGCCGGCGAAGTGGTCAGCATTGGGCAGTTGGCCTCACTGGCACAACGTCCGGTGACTAGTGCTGGGGGAAGCAAACCTCTCACCTTCCAAATCCAGGGCAACAAACTGACTTTGACTGGTGCCCAGGTGCGCCAGCTTGCTGTGGGGCAGCCCCGCCCGCTGCAAAGTAGGTAAAACCCACCCCCTGTCCTGCCTATTTCCTTCTCTTTTCTGTCCTTGTTTTTTTGTGGTTCTTTTTGGATGTCACACTTTATGTTTCTTTTCCTAGGTTTTGGTGGGTAGGGCCAAGGGATATGGTTGGAAGGGGTCTTTTGATAAAAAGAGGAAAAGATCATTGTAGGGACATTACTCCCTCTCTCTCCTCTCTCTCGCTCTGCCTCTGCCCTCCTCCGGCTGATAGGTGCTTCTCTCTCTCTTCTCTCTTCCCTTCAACCAGGGAATGTGGTGCACCTGGTGTCAGCAGGGGGGCAGCACCACCTCATCAGCCAGCCTGCCCATGTGGCCCTCATCCAGGCCGTGGCCCCGACCCCTGGCCCTACCCCTGTCTCTGTGCTGCCTTCTTCGACCCCAAGCACCACCCCTGCCCCCACTGGCCTCAGCCTTCCGCTTGCTGCTAACCAGGGTGAGGCTCCTGGCCTTCCTACTTACTTAGCCCTTACCTGCCTTGGTCCTTCCAGGAATGCTCTGGGCTACTATTTGTCCAGCTTTCCCTCAGTGTTGTTTTCCCTTGCCAGTATCTCTAATATCTGTCTTCTACCCTTTCTTTTCCCTGGAATTTTTCCATCTTTTGGGTCTCTTGTTTCTTTTCTACCTTCCTCTCAATGTAGCTTCCTCTTTCAGTGCCACCATCCATGGTGAATAATACAGGCGTGGTGAAGATTGTAGTGAGACAGGCGCCTCGGGATGGACTGACTCCTGTTCCACCGCTGGCACCGGCACCACGGCCTCCAAGCTCTGGGCTTCCAGCTGTGTTGACTTCACGTCCCACATTAACCCCTGGTCGGCTACCCACACCTACTCTGGGTACTGCCCGGGCTCCTGTACCCACGCCCACTCTGGTGAGGCCCCTTCTCAAGCTGGTCCACAGTCCTGCGCCTGAAGTCAGTGGTAAGTCCATATGACTGAGGCCAGAAATTTTTACCAGGAATGGAAATATGTAATGGGGTAGCCTGAAAGGTTCCATAATCACAGCAGATTCCTTCATTATTAGCATACTGTTTTAACTTTGAGCCCCAGAAGTGGGCTGCCTAAATTCTGACCTAGTCTCAGTATATACTTGTTGGAATCTTGGAGGAGAGAGAATTGTTAAACTATCCTATTCCTTCAATTTTTGACATTGTGTGGTGGGAGTGAAGGCTTTTTGGGAAATAGTGAAGCTTGGGAATAAGAGGAAGGATAGGACATGATAGTAGAAGGATCAACTAAAAAATTATAAAGCTACCTCATCTTCTGTCTCCACAGCTTCAGCACCCGGAGCTGCTCCAATGACCATCTCCTCTTCTCTCCATGTGCCATCCTCACTTCCAGGGCCAGCCTCTTCTCCGATGCCAATTCCCAACTCCTCTCCCCTTGCCAGTCCTGTGTCCTCTACAGTTTCAGTCCCTGTGTCATCTTCACTTCCCATCTCTGTCCCTACCACACTTCCCACCCCAACTTCTGTTCCCTTAACTATCCCCATTTCAGCCCCCTTGCCTGTTTCGGCTTCAGGCTCAGCTTTGTTAACCAGTGTGACTCCAGCACTGGTACCTGCTATCTCAGCAGCTTCTGGACCTCCTCCTTTGGCATCAGCTGGTCCTTCCCCGTCAGTGTCAGCCTTGACTCTGGGTTTGGCCACAGCTCCGGCCCTGTCCCCACCTCAGACACCTGGTCACCCTCTTTTGTTGGCTCCCACTTCTTCCCATGTTCCAGGGTTGAACTCAGCTGTGGCTCCCACATGCTCACCTGTCCTGGTGCCAGCTTCAGCTCTGGCCAGTCCTTTCCCATCAGCACCAAATCCAGCTCCAGCTCAGGCTTCCCTTTTGGCTCCAGCGCCTTCTGCATCTCAGGCTTTAGCCACCTCACTGGCTCCATTGGCGACTCCACAGACAGCGATTCTGGGTCCTTCTCCAGCTCCTCCTCTGGCTCCTCTTCCTGTCCTGGCTTCATCACCAGGTCCTGCTCCTGTCCTAGCTCCATCGCAGACTCCGCTTCCAATTATGGCTCCATCATCAATGCCAGGAACCCCATTAGCCTCATCTTCACTGGTGCCATCTCCAACTCCTGTGTTGACTCCATCATCAACTCATACTATGGTACCAGCCCCAATTCCATCACCTCTCTCAAGCCTGGCTTCCGCTCAGACACTGGCCCTAGCCCCAACTTTAGCATCCACTCTTGGCGGCTCGTCTCCATCTCAGACACACTCTTTGGGAACAGGGAACCCTCAGGGGCCCTTTCCAACTCAGACATTATCATTGACTCCAGCATCATCCCTGGTACCAACTCCAGCCCAGACACTATCTTTGGGACCAGGAGCACCACTGGGTCCAATGCAGACGTTGTCTCTGGCTCCAGCTTCTCCAATAGGCCCTGTCCCAGCTCATACACTGACTTTGGCTCCAGCATCGTCATCTGCTTCGCTCCTAGCCACTGCGTCAGTGCAAGCACTGACCTTGAGCCCTGCCCCTGTTTCTGTGCCCACCCTGGGTCCAGTTGCAGCTCAGACCCTGGCACTGGCCCCAGCATCAACACAGGCCCCAGCTTCCCAGGCATCTTCCCTTGTGGTTTCGGCAACTGGTGCTGCTTCCTTGCCTGTCACCATGACAAACCGGCTGCCTGTTGCCAAGGATGAGCCTGAGACACTGACGTTGCGCTCTGGTCCCCCCAGCCCTCCTTCCACTGCTACCTCGTTCAGTGGCCCCCGGCCTCGACGCCAGCCCCCACCACCACCTCGTTCTCCTTTCTATCTGGTAAGTTATACTTCCTCAAAGGAACATAAACAAGAAATTGAGTTTCTTTGGAGTGTTGGTAGAGTAGATGGAACAGAATAATGTCACTTTTAACTTGTAAATTACAAAGCTTAGTGTTAAGGGCTAAGCATTTGAGTGACATTTGTGCAAGTTCCTTCTCTTTGGTGCCTCTATACCTTTATCTGGTATATTAATTTATGTCCTGCCTTTCTCAGAGGTAAAAATCAAATGTTATTTATTTTTTCTTTTTCAGTGTTGGGGATTGAACTCAATGCCTCGTGCTTGTGAGGGAAGCTGTACAACTTGAGCCATACCCCTAACCCCAGATGTGATTTATTTATTTATTTATTTATTTGGTGGTGGGGATTGAATCTAGGGCCTCAACCTATGTTAGGCACACACTACCACTGAGCTCTACTCTTGCCCTCAAATGTGCTCTTACTTTTTTTTTTTCCCTAGTGGTTCTTATTTTATTGACTTACACTAAATCATACATAGTATAATGATCATGGCATTTCCATACATACTTCAAACATGTTTTTATTTATGCATTTATTTATTAAGATGGGGTGTCAATGGCAACAAGTGGTCCTTCTACCTCAGCCTCGAGTAACTAAGACTACAAGTGTGTACACTATCTCAAATGTGGTTTTTGTTTTTCAAGGGTTTTTCTTTGGGGGGGTGCGATATTGGGATTTGAATCAAATGTGGTTTTGAAAATATTATGAGGAAACTAGCCCACTAAATGTGCTGACTCCATTGCTTTCTCCTCTTCCCCACATCAGTCTACAGAGATGACAAGATTGGTCTCAATTGTTAAAAAACCATCACATCACCATTATCATGCATTTGAACTTCTAAAAGCTGGATTTCCCCATAGAATATAATGCTCTATAGTTCATGAATCTCTGATAGTGATAAATAGGCAATAAAGGAAACTCTTCTTGCTATCTCTTCATGAGCTTTCTGATAGCCATCTTTTTCCACTTCCGTATACGTGTGGATGAGTTAAACTCATAGCTCGGTTTAAATAACCCAGAAACTAATAAGAAAGGTTGCTCTAGGGCCCCATGTCTTTCATTCACTCTGTATCTCAACTACTGTTCTTTTTCTCCTAAACCTCAACTCTCCACCTTTTGAACTTTTCCTAATGCTACCAGATTGGTCCTGGCTTGTTGAAAGTAGAAAGTATAGAGCTGGAGGTGTGGCTCAAGTAATAGACTACCTGCTTAGCAAGCATGAAGCCCTGAGTTCAAACCCCAGTCCCACCTAAAAAAGAAAACTAAAAGTGGTTGAACCAGAACTATTCCTATAAACCAAGAAAAATCCCACAATCAATGCTGAGAGCAAAACACTTCCTTACAGAGGAATGCATATCATTTATGGTAACAAATCACATCGTTTAGAGCTGGAGGAGTGGGTAGAGTGCCTGCCTAGCAGGCGTGAGGGTGACCTGCAAAAATAAAATAAATAAATAATTATTTTTTAAAAAAGTAAAGGGAAGAAAGCCTAATTTCTAACCCAAGGCTGGCAACCCATGGTCTGAATTTTGATCACTCTGCAAGTAAGATAGATTTTTATAGTTTTTTTCTTTAGTAATTTTTAGATACAACTCACAGTTCACCAGTTTAAAATGTACATTGTAGGGCATGAGGTGTGGTCCAGTGATACAATTCTTGCCTAACACACACATATATGTATATGTGCACACAATCTGATGACTTTAGCATATTCATTGAGTTGTACAACTGTACCTACAATCAATTTTAGAACTTTTCTATGGCCCCAAAAAACTTTTCCATAGCCTCTTAAATCTCAAACCTTCCATCACTCCTATCCCTAGACAGTCATCCCATCCTGTCCCCATCTGCCTCCTGTACTGGGGCTTGAACTCAGGCGCTTTGCACTTGCTAAGCAGGAACTTTACCTCTTGGGCCACTCTGAAATACGGGTTTTGTGAACTGTTTGCTCAGGGCTAACTTCAAATCAAGATCCTCCTGATCTTTGCCTCCAGAATAGCTACAGTTACAGGAGTGAGCCACCAGCGTCTGACTCATATACAAGTTTTTGTGTGGAAATATATTTTCAATTTCTTTGAGAATTTCTGAGTCATATGGTAACTGAGGAATTGCCAGACTTTTTCTCAAATTGAGTCTAACATTTAATAACATCCCCACTAGTAGTCTGTGAGGGTTTCAACTTCTCCACATTTTTGCCAAAACCTGTTCTTTTTTTCTTTTTGAGATAAGAGTTGCCCAGTCTGGTCTCAAATTCCTGGGCTCAGGAGATCCTTTTTGCCTCAGCCTTGCAAGTAGCTGGAACTACAGGCACATGGTGTGCCTGGCTTATTATTTATTGTGGATTTTTTTTGGGGTTGGGGGGTGGGTGGGTTACTGGTGTTTGAACTCAGGGCCTAAACCTGGAGCCACTCCACCAGCCCTTCATATTCCTGCTAAAAGTTCTTTGTCAAGTGTGTGATTTGCTTTTGCAGATGTTTTCTTTTGCTGTTACTGAGAGTTGGCCTGTATTGGTTTATCCCTCTACTTGGACATTGTCCTTCCTCATGTAGAGCATCTCAGGCCAAGAGATGAAGCTTAAGGTAGTAGTTGGAAAGGGAGATTTGGGGCACTGCTTTTTTTTTTTTTTTTTTTTTTAACAAGACAGATTCTTGTTTAGTCTCTCTTCTTTTTGTTTTCTCTCTCAGACTGTCTCTCTTTATCTTTCTCTCTCTCCCATGTATAATCTTCTGGGGATCAAATATAGGCCTTGAGCATGCAAGACAAGTGCTCTACCACTGAACGACATCCTTAACATTAACAGATAAATTTGTTGAGAACCTACTTTGTGCCAAATCCTCAACAGCTGTGGTGAACAACATCAAATGTTGATCATGTTATAATAGGGCTTATAGTTTAATGGGTAGAAGACAGGAAATAATTATGTGAATGTAAAACTAAACATGGTTAGGTACTTCTATAAAAAGAGAATTAGGTAGTGTTACAGATTGCAACTGGAATCACAGAGATTGGAAAGACTTTGATAAGGCCACACAGATTCCTGACTGCCAAGTTGGCTTTTTTTCTCTTGGATGCCTGGTTTGGTTAGCTGTTCCCATCCTACCTTACCCCATTTCATTCTGGCTCTTGGCAAAAATTTGACATGCAATTAGCTTCTCTATATCTTGATTGATGATTTGAGGAAGGCTTCTAATAACTTCTGGATCCACCAGAAGAAAATAAATAGATGTTCTGGAGTTGAATGTTAAATAATATAATTTCCATAAATCATCCATGCTATAAATTGTTGGATATGCAGATCTTAATTTTGAATATTTCAGGCATTCTATCTTGGCAGCAGCAAGGGATGATCACTTTTCTCTTGTAGAGTGATTCATTGTTGAAAGAACAGTTTTCTGTTACAGCTTTGGGACAAACTTGGTTTTAAGGTCTTTCCTCCCCTCACCTCTCCCTCCAAGTCGTACTGGGTTTGGGCTAGGTAGGTGCTTTACCACTTGTGCCACTCCGCCAGCCCTTTTTTGTGTTGGGTGCTTTTTTTTGTGTGGTGGTGGTAGTAACTGAAGTAACCTAGGACCTCACACTTGCTAGATAGGAACTCGACCATTGAGCCACTCCACCAGTCCTTGTGTGTGTTGGGTGTTTTTGAGATAGTTTCATGAACTGTTTGCCCAAGCTGGCTTCAAACTGTGATCTTCCTGATTTCTGCCTCCTGACTAGCTAGGATTACAGGCTTGAGCCACTAGCACCCTGAAAAGCATTTTTTTGTTTGTTTGTTTTTTCACTTGCTAGGCAGGCACTCTACCACTTGAGCCACTCCTCCAGCTGTTTTTGTGTTCAGTTTTTTCAAGATAGAGTCTGTTTGTCCAGGCTGACTTTAAACTGTGATCCTCCTGATCTCTAGGAATACAGGCGTGAGCCACCAGTACCCAGCTTCTTTAAGGTTTTGATGTGAACTTGAGTACACTGACTATTTTTTCTGTGTTTTGTTCTCTTATCTTTAGGACTCTCTGGAGGAAAAGCGGAAACGGCAGCGGTCTGAACGCCTAGAACGGATTTTCCAACTTAGTGAGGCTCATGGGGCCCTGGCACCCGTGTATGGGACTGAAGTCCTGGATTTCTGTACCTTGCCCCAACCTGTTGCCAGCCCCATCGGCCCTTGTTCTCCTGGCCCCAGGCACCCCACCTTTTGGACTTATACTGAGGCTGCCAACCAGGCTGTACTGTTTCCCCAGCAGCGACTAGACCAACTGTCAGAAATCATTGAGAGGTTGGCATGGCTAAGTGCTAATGGGGAGTGGGTTTTGTGGCCTTAGAGTAAATGTAGTGCTCAGGGCTGGTGAAGGTGCTAACTTCTGGTGTACTTTAGAGTCCTATCTTTCACACTGCTTGCCTTCTTTCTTTCACAGGTTCATCTTTGTCATGCCTCCCGTGGAGGCACCTCCCCCTTCCCTGCATGCCTGCCACCCACCTCCTTGGCTGGCTCCACGTCAGGCAGCCTTCCAGGAGCAACTGGCCTGTGAGCTCTGGCCTCGGGCTCGCCCTTTGCACCGAATTGTGTGTAACATGCGTACCCAGTTCCCTGACTTGAGACTCATCCAGTATGACTGCGGTGAGTTCCTTGGCCAGTGTAGGACTCTTTTTGTTTGTAGTGGTAAGACTGTTATGCAGAGGGAAGCATGTATTAGGTCTGTAGGGATTTCTGTAAAGCATTAGACAGATTTTTAGTTATGCTTATGGGCAAAATGGAGAAATGTAGGATTTGTTAACTTGACTTTCATGAAAGTTGAAAGTATATTCTGCTCATTCATTTATTCATTTAGTCATCATTTTGTGAACATCTGCCATATTTTGCTAGTAATTTGGAATACAATAGCAAGTGAGAGAGTACAACGGAGTTTGTAAATTCTTGTGCAAAGGTGTATGGTGGTATAAGACTATACAATTAATAGTAAATTTTCATTTGAGAAAAGGCAAGGACCCTTGTATTAGATAAAATGCATTTGACTACAAGTAACAAAACCAAAATAACAGTGGCTTAAACCACATGCACATCTATTGTTTACTTAGAAATTCTGAGAAGAGTAGCTTATGGCTGTTTCATTATAGATCAGAACCTTCTTATTTTTCTGCCTACCATACTTAGCTCTTACCTTTTTATTCTCCTGCTTATTTCTTCATGATGTTAACATGGCTGCCATATTTCCAGGGAGGACACCAGTCCTTTAAGCAGGAAGCAGTGAGTTGAAATAAAAACACTCCTTCCTGTGACTCTTTTTTTTCCCTGAGAAATTCATCTCCATTGACTCTGCTTCATAGTTCATTGGCCCAAACTGAGCCACATTTGCATCACTTAAGGCAATTGCTGACAAAGGGAAACAGTAAAGAGGAACTATGGTTTATTTAAATTCATCATGCTTTATTTCTTGGGGTTGAGTGAGGCCTTCCTTCCCTGGGAGCAAAGGATCTCTGCCAGATGTCCACAATATTAATCAGGTTCTATTATTTAAAAAAAAATGACTGTTGGTACTATAGTGACTAGTTTCTGCCATAATCCTGCAGACATTTCTGAATTAACATGTTTGAAGTTTTCTAAATTGTCCTTGAATATAAGAAAACAAGATTTTTAATTTATTTGTGCTCAATATTGTAGTAAAAAAAAGATTTATAACATTTTGAAACCATTCAGAATAGATGAATTGAAAGTCTTTGTTAAAAATGTTCAAACTCAGGGCTGAGAGGTATGACATAGTGGTAGAGCACTTGTCAAGCAGGCAAAGGCCCTGGATTCTGTCGCTAACACTACCAAAAATTGGGCATGATGGTACACACTTGAAGTCCTAGCTGGTCAGGAGGCTGGGCAGGAGCATCACTTGAGCTTAGGAGTTTGAGACAAAGATGGACAATATAGGGAGACCTATATTAATAAAATGTTCAAATTTACTTAGAAGAAATAATTAGAGGGCTAGTGGAATGGCTTAAGTGGTAGAGCACCTGCCTAGCAAGCATGAAGCCCTGAGTTCAAATCCCAGTACCACGACCCCCCCCCCCCAAAAAAAAAAGATGATTTAGAGGTTAACCCAGATAATGTCCTAAGATCCTATCTTATTTTATGGTTCTGATCTGTGACCTTACGTCTCTGTCTTTAAGCCAAGACCACAGATTTGTTGATGTCTATCCTGTGATTCTCTTGCTCATGAACCACTGAGGATTCATTTTTCCCTGATAGGCTGTTGATTTCTGTCTGTACCTCTAGTGAGACTTAGAGAACTCAGATCCCAGGTAGGAGCACTCTGAAGAGGGGAACATTTAAGGAAAGAAAATATATAGAGTTGATTCATTGGGCTAATTGAAACCTTGGTAAAGCCTTGATTACCTTTTAACTACAGCTTTCCAGTACTAAATATTCTCCCCATTCTAGCTTGGAGCTAGCTCTCCGTACCTCTTCATATCTCTTCAGGAAAATTGCAGACATTGGCAGTGCTGTTGAGGCAGCTCAAAGCGGAGGGTCACCGGGTGCTCATCTTCACCCAGATGACACGAATGCTGGATGTATTGGAACAGTTTCTCACTTACCATGGTCATCTCTACTTACGTCTCGATGGGTCTACTAGAGTTGAACAGAGACAGGTAACTAGGCATCTTCAACTAGGTCTTTTTTTCTGAAGCCTATGGCTTCCAGAGGAGCTGTACTTAAGTCTTGGGCCTTTTTTGTGTTTCTGAAAAACATCTCCTTTTCCTTTTCTTCCAGGCCTTGATGGAACGGTTCAATGCAGACAAACGCATTTTCTGCTTCATCCTTTCAACTCGAAGTGGGGGTGTAGGCGTGAACCTTACAGGAGCAGACACTGTTGTTTTTTATGACAGCGACTGGAATCCTACCATGGATGCTCAGGCCCAGGATCGCTGTCACCGAATTGGTCAGACTCGAGATGTCCACATCTATAGGTATTGCATGGTCTTTCCTCAGCTTACTTCCTTTTTACTGATAGGGTATCCTTGATATTTGGCACTCTTCACACCTCGCCTTCATATCATCCTAGGCTTATCAGTGAACGGACAGTGGAGGAGAACATCCTAAAAAAGGCAAATCAAAAGAGAATGTTGGGAGACATGGCCATTGAAGGAGGCAACTTCACCACAGCCTATTTTAAACAGGTACAAGATAAGATCTTTCAGTCTGGGCAGAAGAGAACTGTTGTGCCTGTAGGAGTTCCTCCTGCTTATTAAAGAGATGTTGCTTTGGTCTCCATGCTGACTTTTCAGCCAGCCGTACCTCTCATTTTTCTAGGCCTTACAGCTATAGGCATAGGAGTAGCATTCCATTGGCTGACCTTGCCTTCTGTTATACCCAATAGCAGACCATCCGAGAGCTGTTTGATATGCCATTGGAGGAGCCATCTGGGTCATCTGTACCCTCTGCCCCCGAAGAGGAGGAGGAGACTATGGCTAGCAAGCAGACCCATATTCTGGAGCAGGTGAAAAAAAGAATGGGCAGCCCTAAAGGAGAGCCGCTGCTTAACATCTATCTTGTCTTTCATTTGTCTGCTGAGTTTGAGGGAAAGAACAGTTGTAGCTGCTTCCCAGATAATAGACAACCTTGCCTAGTTTAAAGTACAGTACTTATAGGTTCACATGATTTAGTAGGAAAAAAACAGGATTTGGAGGTCTGAGTCTCAGTTTTCAATTCTAACAGTGCTCGAATTTTTGTTTTGTTTGTTTGTTTTAATCTCACTACATTACTCAGGCTGGTCTTGAATTGCTGGGCTCAAGCTGTACTCAACAGCAGTGTTTCTTAATAATTACATTAGTTAAGCAAGGTTACAGATTTTTACTCTGCTGAGCCTCGCTTTATACTTCTGAAATACTTAGACAAAGGAAATAGTAACTCTTAGGATTAAGTGATATAATGCATGAAAAAAAGTGCCTTGTCCATGATGTAAATGGTTTTCCAAACATTGAAGCATAACAGTCACTTGGAAAGATTTTTTTTTTTTTGGTACCTGGGCTCTCTTTTTTGTGGTACTGGAGTTTCAACTCAGGACTTCACACTTGCTTGACAGGTGCTCTACTACTAGAGGCATTATGCCAGCCCTAGGATTTCTTTTTTTCAATAACTGGGGCTTGAACTCAGAACCTTCACCTTGAGCCACTCTGTCAGCCCTATTTTTCGGAAGGAGTTTTTGAGATAGGGTCTCAAGCTATTTGCCCCAACTGGCTTCTAACTGTGATCCTCCTGAGTAGCTAGGATCACAGGCATGAGCCACCAGTGCCCGGCATCCCTGGGATATTTTTAAGATAGGGTGTCTTGCAAGCCATTTACATGGGCTGGCTTCGAACCATGATCCTACTGATCTCTGCCTCTGAAAAGCTAGGATTATAGGCATGAGCCACTGGTGCCTGGTTCTGGGCTCCATCTCAAAATCTACTAAATCATAACTTTTTGGGTGTTTATATTTTTCCATAGCTCTCTAAATGTAGACAAATGTTTTAAGAACCATTGATATAGAGTGTAATGGAGAGGTGTTTTTATCTACTGAGTGCCTTCTCATTCTTGGAGTGCTCTAGGCTACTTCTCTTAATGTTCTTTTCTTTTTTCTGTGGTGCTGGGGATTCAACCCAGGGCTTGCACATGCTAGGCAAGTGCTCTACCACTGAACTACACCCCAGCCCTTTCATTTTTTGGTGGTACTACTGTTTGAACTCTGGGCTTCAGACTTGATAGGAGTTCTACCATTTAAATCATATCTCCAGAGCCCTCCCTTCCCCCTTTAAAAAAAATTTTTTTTTAAATAAAGAAACTTCCAAGGCTGACTAAAAGAAAGGAAGTAGAGCTAGGAGTCTATAAAATAGTCATTTGTCCCTAAGTGAGAGTACTAATGAAAATCCATTCTATCCCTTGTGGACCCCTGTGTTGCTTTGGTAACCCCTGTTGTTGAGTTTTGTTGCAAACCTGGTTTGGTGTAAAATTGGCCTCAGATTTTTACCTTTTACCAGAATTAAATTGTGGGACAGAAAGTTATTTAATTCTGGGTTTTTTTCCCTTCTGTATGCCCTTGTAGGCTTTGTGCCGGGCAGAGGATGAAGAGGATATCCGTGCAGCTACCCAGGCCAAGGCTGAGCAAGTGGCTGAACTTGCAGAATTTAATGAGAATGATGGGTTTCCTGCTGGTGAGGGAGAGGAAGCTGGTCGGCCTGGAGCTGAAGATGAGGAGATGTCCCGTGCTGAGCAGGAAATTGCTGCCCTTGTAGAACAGGTTAAGGCTCAGGACGCTTTTTGTTTTTCCCTTCCTGATGATAATTAACAAGGGTGATGTGGCCCTGGGCACCAAATCACTGTTTTATCACTCTGCATATCCCTACAGCTGACCCCCATTGAACGCTATGCCATGAAATTCTTAGAAGCCTCATTGGAGGAAGTGAGCCGAGAGGAGCTCAAGCAGGCAGAAGTGAGTATTTGTGGGGAATGGGGCTTACAGTGGGAAGCTGCTGATTTTTACTACTCTTTGGTCTGCTTGCCTCCTGCTAACCATCTTGGGCTTTGTTGTTGGTAGGAACAAGTAGAAGCTGCCCGCAAAGACCTGGACCAAGCCAAGGAGGAGGTGTTCCGCCTACCACAAGAGGAGGATGAGGGGCCAGGGGCTGGGGATGAGATGTCCTGTGGGACTGGTGGAGGCAGCCACCGCCGCAGTAAGAAAGTCAAGGCTCCTGAGAGACCGGGAACCCGTGTCAGTGAGCGTCTTCGTGGAGCCCGGGCTGAGACTCAAGGGGCAAATCACACTCCTGTCACATCTACCCATCATACCCGCAGCACCTCTACACCCCCACGTTGTAGCCCTGCCAGAGAACGAGTTCCAAGGCCAGCACCTAAGCCTCGACCTACTCCAGTTTCAGCTCCTGCTGCAATTCCTGCCCTAGTCCCTGTCCCTGTCCCAGTCCCAATACCCATTTCAGCCCCAAATCCAATAACCATTCTTCCTGTACACATCTTGCCTTCTTCACCTCCTCCACAGATTCCTCCCTCCTGTTCTTCTCCTGCCTGTACCCCTCCTCCTACCTGTACACCTCCACCACCTCATACCCCACCACCAGCCCAAATCTCTCTGTCAACTCCTTCCTCACCTGTCCTGCTTGGTTCACCTTCTGTGCCCGTCTCTCCCCCAGTTATGACTCTCCCTTTGGGCGTGGGGCCTGAGGGAGTACTGTGTGCACAAGCATTGGCATCTATGGAGTCCCTGGAGCTGGGTGGCATGAACAGTTCTGAGGCTTCCCCACTTACTCTTGGGTCCCCGAAGGATCTGTTGCCAGTTGCTGTTGAGATCCTGCCTGTTTCAGAGAAGAACTTTCCTCTCATCCCTTCTGCTCCAAGTCCAATTTTGGAGGCTGGCAGTGTCCCCAACGGTCAAGAGCAGAAGGTCCCAGATTGTTCTGAGGGACCCATCCTCACAGTGCTGCCTGATGGAGAGTTGCACACGGGTCTGAGTGAGAGCAATGGGCTGGAGCTCCCACCTTCAGCATCTGATGAGCCACTTCAGGAGTCATTGGAAGCTGACAGGAACTTGGAAGAGCTGGTAGAGGTTCAGACCCCAACCTCCAGTCCAGAGAAGCCACAAGAACTTGTTGCAGCTGAGACCACAGCCCCTTCAACCTCTTCTTCAGCCACCTCATCTCCTGAGGGTTCTTCACCTGCCCGGCCCCCTCGGCGTCGCACCAGTGCTGATGTAGAGATTAGGGGTCAGGGGACTGGCCGGCCAGGGCAACCTCCAGGCCCTAAAGTGCTTCGAAAGCTACCAGGAAGGCTAGTAACTGTGGTGGAAGAAAAAGAACTTGTGAGGCGACGGCGACATCGGGGAACTACCAACACCCTAGTGCCTGGGGTCTCTGACACTAGTGCCAGCCCGGGAAGCCCTTCAACCCGCAGCCTGTCAGGGCCAGAGTCTTCACCTCCCACCAGCGGGCTTTGTGAAGCTATTTCCTCATCCTCACTACCCACTCCAACCCAGCAGCCCTTCATAGCTCGTCGTCACATTGAGTTGGGGGTGACTAGTGGGGGCAGCCCAGAGAATGGAGAAGGGGCGTTGCTTGCCATCACTCCACCAGCTGTGAAACGTCGGAGGGGGAGGCCCCCAAAGAAGAACAGATCTCCAGCGGATGTTGGGAGAGGGGTGGATGAGGCTTCCTCATCCACACTAAAGGGAAAAACCAATGGGGCTAATCCAGTCCTTGGAGCTGAGACCCTCATTGTTGCAGAGCCTGTCCTAGGGCCCCAGCTTATTCCTGGGCCCCAGCCTCTTGGACCCCAGCCAGATCACAGACCAGAGCCCATCATCCTCTCACCTGTGGAGAAAAGAAGGCGCGGTCGTCCCCCTAAAGCACGGGATTTGACCGTCCCTGGGAACATTTCCTCTCCAGGGGATGGCAATTTAGAGAGCCGGACACAGCCACTCCCACTTCCACCACCCCTGCCACCCCTCCCACCACTATTAGCCTGTCCCACTACTACTGTCACCAACACTGTCACCACAGTCACCATTTCAACATCCCCACCCAAGCGGAAGCGAGGCCGACCTCCCAAGAATCCACCATCACCTCGGCCTAGCCAGCTTCCTGTCTTGGACCGTGACAGCTCTTCAGTCCTTGAGAGCTGTGGATTGGGGAGGCGACGACAACCCCTGGGACAGGGGGAGAGTGAGGGTAGTTCCTCTGATGACGATGGAAGCCGCCCCCTCACCCGCCTGGCCCGCCTGCGGCTTGAAGCAGAGGGGATAAGGGGACGAAAGAGTGAAGGGTCCATGGTGGTGGCTGTAATTCAGGATGACCTGGATTTAGCAGATAGCGGGCCAGGCGGGTTAGAACTGACACCACCTATGGTCTCATTAGCCCCAAAATTGCGCTCGACCCGGCTGCGTCCAGGGTCTCTAGTCCCTCCACTAGAGACTGAGAAGGTGCCTCGCAAACGGTCAGGGGCTCTACTTGGTGGGGGTCCTGGGCCAGCAAAGCGGAGCCGTCTGCAGCCCCCAAGTCCCCTAGGGCCTGAGGGTTCAGTAGAGGAGTCTGAGGCTGAAGCCTCAGGTGAGGAAGAGGAAGCGGATGGAACCCCACGCCGCCGGCTTGGGCCCCGCAGGCTTGTTGGGACCACCAACCAAGGGGACCAGCGCATCCTGCGCAGCAGTGCACCTCCCCATCTGTCTGGCCCTACCATTAGTCACAGAGGCCGAAAGGCCAAGACGTGAGTGGGCTGCCCTCAACCTTGGCTTTCCACCACAACTGCTCTCCCTCCATGACCAGGCCTGACTCTTTTAACCACTACTTGAAGTCTTTTGAGGGGGAAAGCCTCCAGGGAGACAAAGGGGCCTTCTCCCTTCTTTCCACCAAAGTAGGGGGTAGGCAACTGATTGTCATGGAAATGGGGTTCATCACAATCCCCCTTCCTTCCCTCCCCATATGGCTGGGCAGTGTTAAGGGTGGCAAGATAGTCTCTGTCCCCACCCCCTTGTACTTGATTCTCCAGCTATCTTTCACAGCCCCCTGCCCTTATAGGAAAGGGGAGGGGCTTCTCTACAATGAGTTTTTTTCTTTTTTTTTTTTTTTTTTTTAAGAAGAAAAAAAATAATAAACTTAGTTTCTGTATGAGCATCCGCGTAAGGAGGCTTCTGATTTTCTGGTCTGGTGGAGGGCTGGGTGGGTACTTGGGCATCATTTTTCTCCTTTCCTTCTTGCAAAGACCTGATCTTCAACCCAGGATCCTATACCTTTGAGGCAGAATCCCACCTCCCCCACCCCCCGCCCTCCAAGAAGAGGGAAGATTGACAAATCTGATCTGATAGGATGTGTTTCCCTGAAGTTTTAAATCACACAGAAATGCTTATCCTCTCCCTTACTCCCTTCATTCCTGGACTTTTGTCAGAGCTCTTCCATGCCTCAGTCTGTCCTTTTAACTCTGGCTCAGGTGCTTCCTTTCCTTTTTCCAGAAGGCAGGCATCCTACCTCCACTTGTTTCATCCCAAGGCCCTCCCCTACTCTCCATCTAGCCAAACTGGTTTGAGTCAGCCACACCCCTTTCCCAGCTCCTTGGTCTCTTCAGATGGTGGCTGGCCACCCAACCCAGGCCCTGGGTGGGGCTTGGAGGCCTGAGTCAGCTCCATCTCCACCCAAGCCAAATCAAACCTGAGACAGGAGCCGAAACTCACAGTCCTCAAGGCCTGTAGCCAGGTAAGAGCCCCTGGTCATTTTATGTGTTTCTGATCACAACTCCCTAGGCCCCTCCATGGGTTCTTCCACTGCTTGACGTTGTGTCTACTTCGCTTGAGTTTCTTGTACCTATTCCCTCTGCAGCTTTGTGCACACAGCCTTTACTCTTTGCTTGTCTTGCCTCTTTCACCCTGTCTGTTATTTGTGTTTGAGGAACCTCGGCTGATTTCATTTTGTCTAGGCAGCAGGGAAATGGTTGGACATGAAGGTAGAAAAGTGGTTTGATGTAGAACAGAAGGCCTAAAAAACAAGGTGATGAGAAGTAGAGCATCATTATCCAGGTTTCTGTATGGATAATGAGATCATTTGAACTCTGTTAATTTGTATCATGTGGTCTGGCTTAAAATGGAAAGAGGAGGTGACAAGGAGGCAGCATGGCACCAGCTTATGGAAGGCAGTAAGATCTTTCTGATGTTTAGGTTCTTCAACTGTAAAAAGGACTTAGGTGTATACTTTTTCTCCATCTATAGAACTGTTTTCCTATGAAATGGCTGCTTGTGGGGTGCAGGACCTAGGGTCCTGCTCTCTTGATTCCTCAATATTCAGGGGCAGTGTTAGGGAACTTCAGGGAATTTTAAGGCCCTTTGATGTATGGTTTAAAATTACTTGTGGCTCAAGTGGTAGAGCACTTCCCCAGCAAGCCCAGGGTTCTGGGTTCATTCCCCAGTACTGCCAAAAAATATCAGTCATGAACTTTGGTGGTTTACATCTGTAATCCCAGTAATCCCAAGGGTGAGGCAAGAGGATTGCAAGTTCATGGCCAGCCTAAGCTAAAAAAATGAGACCTGGTCTCAACAAAAACCAAAAAAAAGTCACTTAAGCTTTTGAGATTCTGTATCTATTGCTTCTCAGTGTGTACCTGACAATTTGCTTTCCCCACTTGGAAACAGTAATATTCACACTTGCCTTCAAAGATTCAGGATTGATTTTTTTTTTTTTTTGATGGTACCAGGATTTGAATTCACCTCCAATTTGCTAGACAGGCAGTCTACCACTTGAACTACTCTACCTGCCCTTTTTTGTGTTGAGTATTTTTGAGATAAGGTCTCACAAGTATTTGCCTAGACTGGCCTCCATCTTCCTGAGCTCTGCCTCCCAAGAAGCTAGGATTATAAGGATGAGCCACTGGTGCCTGGTTAAGATTCAGAGTCTTAAGCTGAGGGAAAAAGATGCCAGCCACACATTTCCTCTCCTGGTCTTGAGTCACTAGAGGAATTCCCCAGTGAGGCAGCATTCCTAAGAGCTGGGCTAGGCCAACAGGACAGCTTGCCCTGAGAGGGGTGGAGTCAAAGCAAACCAGTCTAGGGGCTCATTTGTTGGGCTTACAAATGCCTTGACTGTATCGCCCACAGGTGATGGAGGACGAGGAGAAGGCAGTGGAGAGCTTGGTGAGCAACACGGAAGCTGCTCATTCTCCATCCCCCATCCGCTGCTGCTGGCTCCGCCTCCGCTGCTTGGCAGCTACTAGCATTATCTGTGGCTGCTCTTGCCTGGGAGTTATGGCTCTTGTGTTTGCTATCAAGGTGAGGAATGAACTACTGTGGGAGCAGGGGGTCTGTATAAGGCAATAGTTTTGTGTATCTGACCTGTCTGTGTTGATGAGGCAGTTACTAAATACCTATCATTGCTTGGCTCTGGGCCTAGTGCCAGAATAAGAATGTGATTCCTGTCATTAAAGGATCCCACGTATGGTCTAATGAAAGAGATGGCAGTGAAAAAGGTAACTAATAGAAAGCACTTCATCAGTACCATGATACAGGAAGCACAGAGTACTTTGGGAGCCAGGGAGGGATATATTTGTATTTGTGTATGTGTGTGTGTGTGAGAGAGAAGGAGGGAGGGAGAGGTAGGAGGAGGAAGAGCGTCAGCTGGTAAGGCATCACAGGAGGTGACAGGAACTAACTGTAAAGATGAGTGAATAAAGGTGAAAGGGCATTTGAGGTAAATAGAGCAGTATGAACTGTTGGTTCAGCATGGCTGGTTCAGTGAGAAGTAGTGAAAGATGAAGCCACAGGATCCAGATTCCTGAGGGCCTCCAATTGTGTGCTTATGAATTTTGACTATATCTTGAATACTGGTGAGCTGTTGCAGGAGAGAGTGACATAGTTAGATTTGTGTTTCAGAAAGGTCCACTCTCTGGATGCTTGTGACTTCTGCCTGTAATCCTAGCTACTTGGAAGACTGAGATGGAAGCCTTCCTGGGCAAATAGTTTGAAACCCCATCTCCAAAACAACCATGATAAAATGGTCTGGAGGTTTGGCTCAAGGGGTAGAGCACCTGCTTTTACAAGCAGGAAGCCCTGAGTTAAATCCAGTACCACCAAAAAAAACCCAAAAAACAAAAAGAACCTCTTAAGGTCTCCGTGAGGGTGAATTGCAAGAGGCAAGACTAGAGGAAGGGCTGGTTTGGCTCAAGTGGTTGAGTGCCTGTCTAGCAAGTGTGAGGCCCTGAGTTCAAACCCCAGTACCACCAAAAAAAGACTAGAGGATAAGCAATGGTGAAAGCAATCTCGGAGTCTGGAAGAAGCAATGAAGTTTTTGAGAGGGCTTCACCTGCCTTATTTTTTCTTTCTGTGTGTGTGTGTGTGTGTGTGTGTGTGTGTGTGTGTGTGTGTGTGTGTGTGTGTTCATGTGGATTTTGCTGGGAAATCTTAGTTCAAGATCCTCACCTATGCTAGGCAAGTGCTATACCACTGAGCTATACCCTCAACCTGCATATGTGCTTTTTGAAAGGCTACTCAGACTAACAAGTCTCATGCTGGAATTTTCTCACCCCTAGATATATATTAGCAGTCAGGAACTGTTTTGTTGTCATAGGCATATCTGGTTTTCATTAAGGTAAAACCATAAAAAGGATCCTTAATGATGATACCCATTGTTCTATGAGAATGGCATTTGACATGGGTCAAAAATCAGTCAAGAATTCCAAATTCTGAATGAATCTAGGATGGGTCGAAAAGAATGGGGAATAAGAGAGTTAAAAATTACTTTCCAAGGCCAGGTATAGTGGTGCAGTTTATAATCCCAGATAATTTGGGAGGCAGAGTTTGCGCCAGCCTGGGCAAAAGTAATGGGAGACTGCCTCAAAAACAAAATGAAAAAAGGCTGGAACCATAGCTCAAATAGTGAGAGGGAGTACTTTTCAGAATGGCTCAGTGGTACAGTACTTGGCTGAAGATGGCCAAGGCCCTAGGTTCTGTCCACAGCACCATACCCATGCACATAGATGCTTCCAAACACACACACACACACACACACACACACACACAACCCCTAAATGTACTTTCTCTTCCATGATTTTGTGACCTAACCATGCCCACATTGAAATGGAGGCAAAGCAGATACCTTATTTTGTAGATGAGACATAAGAGACAGAAACTGGAAAGGGAGGTAAAGTGATAGGGTGTGAGATTTTGAGTTATGACAGATGTGGGAGTGGAGTGGGGAAAAGGGCACTTTGGGGCAGAAGCAGAGGGAGAACCTAACCAAGAACCTGCCCCCACAGGCAGAAGAGCGGCATAAGGCAGGCCGGTTGGAGGAGGCAGTGTACTGGGGGGCCCGGGCTCGGAGGCTCATCCTGGCCAGCTTTGCTGTCTGGCTTGCTGTCCTTGTTCTGGGTCCCCTGCTGCTGTGGCTGCTGTCCTACACCATCGCTCAGGCTGAGTGACCTTGGGTGGCCTTTACTGAGAATCAGCTGAGATCTCCTGGATCCAATCCGACAGTGCGGCATTGCTCAGTTCTGGTGACAGCAGTGTTTGTTCCTGGCCAGAAAGATGGTGCCGCTCTCGTGGGCCTTGGAAAGAGCTCGTCTAGTCCTTTACAAAAGGAAGGCAGCAGCTGAGACCTGTGAGGGGAGGCCAGCCTACTTTTATTTCAATGTCCTCCAGCTTCTGTCTCTTGTGCCCCACTCCATCCTAGGGGCCTCCATCCAGAGGAGTGGTTGAAAACCAAACCTGATTCTATTAGAATTTGTTTTATAATAAAAACCTTTTTTGGTGGTAAAATGCTCCTGTCTAATTGCTTTTTTTCCCCCTTGGGCGGTTGGTGAGAACCAGACTGGACATCTGACTGATGGCTGAAGACTGCATCTGGCCTCCAGCCTCACCTACTTGCTCCAAGAGAAGGAAAGGATTTTTTTTTTTTTCTTCTGGAAATTCCCCTTCTTGGTAAAACCCTAGCTTTTCTCTTCATCAGAGACAGAGGTTAGAAAGGAAGAATTATTGAATACTTACTGCTAAGGCTGTTCTAAGTACTTCTATGTTTCTTCTTCAGTCTTCACAATGACTCAGTAGTAGGTACCTTTGTTCTCACTTTATAGTTTGAGGAAATGGGTGCAAATTTGCCCAAAACCACTCAGCTAGAGAGTGAAAGGGTTAAAGAACAGTAACAACTACGCTGTATATGGACATTTGTATGCTTTTTTTTTTTGGTGGTGCTGGAGTTCGAACTCTTATCTCCCTGTCTGGGTCTCTCAGCCACTCTGCCAGCCCTTTTTTGTGTTGGCATTTTTGAGATAGGGTCTTGCTTTTTGCCAAGGCTGGCTTATACTGAGATACTCCTATTTATGCTTCCCATGATCGCTAATGACAGGTGCGTTTTTTCTGCTGAAAACTTAATTTTTGCCAGTTCTCCCAATCTCAGCCTCCTAAGTAGATAAGATTACAGGCATGGCTTACTTATTATTTTTTGGTGGTACTGGGGTTTGAACTCAGGGCCTCATGCTTACTAGGCTGGCACTCTACTACTTGAGCCATGCCTCCAACCCTTATTTACTTATTTATTTATGACTCTAGGCTGGGTTTATTTTAAATTCACAGCTGAGGTACAAATGGCTGACACACTAGACACAACGAGCCACTGAACTATGATTTTTTTTTTTACAAAAGTTGTTTATTCTTAAGTATACAATAGACTCCAGTGCAACACTTCATTCTGGCCACAGGTGGCAAAAGATGTTATGGCAGGAAATCCAGATATTTAAATAGGAATGGAATCAGGGTTACCATCATCTCAAGCACAAGAACAGTTTACTTTTTGCCAGATTTCTTAATTCCACCTGTGGCCAGGGTCCCCTTCCCCTTGGCCTTTGCTTTTAGCTCCTCAAGTTTCTTCTGCTCCTCTTTTTGTTTCTGCTTGAAAGCCTTATCTTCCTCATCCATCTCCTTGGCCTGCTTCTTGGGTTGTTTCAGGGGTTTCTTGCCACCTTTGAGGCCAGACATGGCTCCTGCCGCCCCTTCCCCCATTTATTTTTAAAAGAAATTTATTCTGGCTCATGGTTCTAGTCCAAGGTCCAGGGGCTACATCTGGTGATGGTCTTCTTGTTGGCAGAGTCTCCAGGCAATACAGATATCACATGGCCAGAGATGGACAAGTGAGAGACATAGCCAAACTGGCCTTTGCAGCATGCTCACTTTTTTTTTTTTTTTTTTTTGCAATTGAACCCAGAGCCTTGTACCTGCTAGGCAAGTGCTCTAAGTGCTCTACCACTGAGCTATCCAGTCCTTCAGCTGAATATTTGCTTGGGTATTTTTCTGTGGAATATACCTTACAATTTAAAAAGAAAATGTTAAAGAGCTGGTGATGTACCTCTGGCAGAGCACTTGCCTAGGTATGGTCAAGGACCTGAATTTATTACCCAGCTCTGCAACCAAACAAAACAACCCCCCAAATATAAAGCTCCAACCAACACAAAGCCAGCATCAGAAATCCACCATTCAATGATGAAATTGATCATTGTCAACACTCCAAAGCCTCTTTTACATCCCCAATCACCACTTCTTCATTTTTTCCTACAGGTAACTGTCATTCTGACTTCTCACAGTGTAGTTTAATTTTGCCTAAATTTGAACTTTATATAGATGGGATCATATTACTTTTATGTCTTGCCTCTCTTAACATTGTGAAATCGATCAATATTCAGTATAGCTGTGGTTTTCATTGCTGTATAATGCTCATTATATGAATATATCATAATTTATTCATTTTTCTATTGGGCTTTTGTCCTGTTTCCACTTTGGGGGTATTATGACTCATGCTGCTATAGATATTCTTGTACATGCAGTAAATGTGCCTTAATTCAGAGACCAGCAGATAACCAAAATGAATTAAAAGATGTACACACTGAAGAAGGAAAAGCACATAATGGCTGCCTTTAATGTCCCAAAGTGCCCTAGAAGGAAAAGTGAAGAGAATCCATTGGTGGCCCCAGAAGTTAGAATTAAAGGGTGGCAGCAGTGATGATTCTCAAAGGTACCATCTGGGGAGCCTTAAAAGGATTTAATACCTGGGCTGATTTAAATTGGCATGAGGTGCTGCCTGGGCATCAGGATTTCTCAGCTTTCCAGTTGATACTAGCGCACATAGTTTGAGAAACACTGCTCTTTAAATATGCTGTGGATGAAACCCAGGACCTTGTGCAAGCTCCATAAGAGCTCTACCACTGAGCTACACTCCCAGCCCAGGGTAACATGTTTTAGACTTTTTACAGGAATCTTTTTTGAGCTACTGTTAGATAAATCAGCAACTTCAGTTTACCAGAAGACACTATCCTAACCCCCAAAATGAGATCTTGCTATTTTTAAAAAACATTTTTGGAAAATATTTCAAAACAGTAAGAGAATAACCTCATGTATACTTTTCACCTAGATTCTCTCCCTCCCTCCCTCCCTCCCTCTTTCTCTCTCTCTCCTCTCTCTCTCATACATATCTGGAGTTTGAACTCAGGGCTTTGTGCTTGTAAAGCAAGTGCCCTATCACTTAAGCCACACCTCCAGCCCATTTTGCTCTGGTTTATTTATTTTTTTGCGGTTCTGGGGTTTGAACTCGGCCTACACCTTGAGCCACTCCATCAGCCCTTTTTTTTGAGATAGGCTCTCACAAACTATTTGCCCAGGCAGACTCTGAACTGTGATCCTGGGGTTTGAACTCGTCCTACACCTTCAGCCACTCCATCAGCCCTTTATTTCAAGATAGGCTTTCACAAACTATTTGCCCAGGCTGACTCTGAACTGGGATCCTCTTGATCTCTGCCTCCTGAGTACCTAGGATTACAGGAGTGAGCCACTGGTGCCCACCAAGACATTTTTGAAGGAAAGCCCCAACCATTAGAAGACAGTGATAGAGCACTTGCCTAGCACTGCAGGGCCCTATGCTCCATGCCCAGACTGGGAAAAACAAAAAAACAAAGTCTCATTTGTTTACATTATTAAGGAGCCATATGGTCTCACATTGATTTTATATTTATTACTGTCATTGTCCTTAAAATATGTTCTGTTGAGGTATAATTTACAAACAGTAAAATGCACAGATCTTGTGTGTAGTTTAATGTGTCTATATCAATGTACTTGGATAATCATCACTTAGTTTAACAGAACAGGCTCCCTCATGACCCTCATTTTTGTACATGATTTTGACCTATAGAAAACCCCTTGAACCTGGTTCCTGTTCCTTTTAAGACCTCATCATTCTTTAGTTACTATCTGGCATCAATTTTTCCATACTTGTTTTGAACATTCCCTGCTGCTGCCTGGAAAGTGGCCATTTCTTCCAAGGACCCCTGGTTCCTTCTGTTGGGGACTATTATTTAGAAATCAGTATCTAGACACTTAGATATGCTTATTTTACTAGGTTGTTAACTGTTTCTGGGCTCTTTTAGAGTCAGAGCTAGAAAACATCAAATGTTAAATATTTTTAAATCATTGCTTCCCTTTCAGTCATAGGGTTCTTCCTCTCCTTTCCCCATTCCATATTCCCACTGAACCTTGGCTCCAAACTACATTAATATGTGATGGACACAGTAAAACGGATATGGCTAGTTCAGGACTAATTGGCACAGGGTAGCAGGAATGCGAATAGGAAGACTTCTGGAGAAATAATACCCTGTTAATCTCCTAATATCTCTGTATTGTCTTCCATGAGTGATGAGCAAACCATTCAACCTGATCAGTTTCAGAATAATTATTCCATTATACTGCCAAACAACAAACCTACTTAGTAAAGTTCAAAATTTTGCAATGCTTCTGTCTTTGGATTGATATTCAGCTAAAGTACTTAAACAGTTACTTGGATCCATTTTTCTCCCTTTCTGTGGTTTTGATACCAAAGTGCTGGAAAAAGTTGTTGAAATACTGCCTTCCACAAGGGACTTTTTTTTTTTCATTGTTGTTAATCTAGAGCCTCGGTCTTAGACACTCAGCAAATATTTGTTGAATGAGTAAGTGAATGCCAGGGCTGAGCTGGCGAAGTAATTCCTGGTCGAATCTCACAACCTGGTGGGTTTAGAGCCGAGTTTGATACACTCTTACCACTTTTGGGAAGGGGTGAAGATAAAGTGTATAATCCCAGATGGTAAACACTAGGGCTTGGGAGATCTTCAAGAGGAGTCAGCTACCACTGGATGAGGAGGCGTTTATATCCATCTAAATTCGCATCAAATGGTCCGAAGCTGCGTGCGTCTGAGCGTTTTGACCGCTGAAGTATGACCCACAAAGCGGGCTTTTTGGACTAGGCTATTGATGTTAAAAAGAACCAAATTCAAATAAGGATGCTGGGAGGAGACTGAGGGAGGTCTACCCAAATTCAGGAATTGAAGGTACCACAAAGTCCAGTGCTCTGACCTCCTGGAATCCGAGCCTACAAGTAAACCTAACTTCCGTGTCTTATTCCGGCCGCCCTCTGCAGTAGATACCATACACCGATTGGCTGTATCTGAAGGCTCCCTTCCTATGATCACTGCCTTAGGTAACTTAAGCTCCAATGCTCGCTCCAGCCCCGGAATTCCTGGCTTCTTATTGGACTACCAATTTCCAATCGTAAAGGTTGCTAACCCTCAGTTTTCAGTCAGCCCAGGTCATTGGCTGTAACGATTGGAGCGGAGCCTTACGCCTTCTCCGTCGCCGCCGTGCGGAAGCCAAAGGACTAAACGCGACCTGGCGGTAGAGCAGCTTCTGGTCCACCCTAGCCAGTCTGTTACCCCCGCGGGTGAGCCTGCGCGAGACTCGACGCCCCCCTCCCAGCCATCGCCAAGTGCGCCTGCGCGGCAACAGCCACCTGCCCTTGGGCCATTTGTCCCTTCTTCCTGCCGCCTTTTCCCTTCCCCTTCCCTGTCCCCTTCCCCACCCTATCACCTCTCCCGCCCCCTAGGCCCTTCAGTGGGGTCTCCCCAGCCCCGCTCCTCCCCCTACCCCACCCCCATCCCCTAGGACCCTGGCGCCCCAGCCGCAGGGGCTGCGCCTCCGGGAGCCGCGATGTGCGTCGTCTCAGAATCCGTGGGTCTCATTACCTTCACTGCCCTCTGTTTCCTCCGCGCAGGCCCCCACCACATCCCTCCGAATGACGCTGGACGTGGGGCTGGAGGATGAGTTGCCCGACTGGGCTGCGGCCAAGGAGTTTTACCAAAAGTACGATCCGAAGGATGTCATTGGCAGGTGAGCCGGAGCCAGAAAAACGGAGATCCTCAGTGGTCAGGTACTAGCTGTGATGCACGGCTCTATCTGAGCGCTGGATAAATGGAAAGTCAGTGGTCGGTGGAGAACAGTTGGTGACTAGACTCCTATTTTGGGTTACCCCCATTTTTTTCAGAATTCATTTATGTGTTGAGCAAATGTGGTTGAAGCCACAGTGCCAGGCATAAAGCTAAGCTCAGGAAGGATAGTAATAAAGATGTCCACTTCTCCAGGTGAAGTGGCCGAAAGAGGCACATGCACACTGAAAAGATATCAGGTAAGACTCCGTATAAAGTGCTATGATATCCCAAAAAACATAGCTTCTCAGAAGGAGATCTTTGGGCTGAGTCTTGAAGTAGAAATAGGAGTCCAGTAGGCAGAGATTAGATGGAAGACGTCACCTGTAGAGACAGTGGCAAATACATTTATTCATCAAAGGTTTCCTAAGCACACAGTGCACTAGGTATGGCAGGTTAGGCATTTGTGTATATCGGATGAGGGTCGGGGTTTACACTCTTTTAACAGTAGAGACAGACAAACACAAAAATAAGACAGATCAATTTAAGTGCTAGGGAGAAAATAAATAGGGGGTGGAATGATAATAATTAACAAATGCCATTACAGATACGGAGGTCTGAAAAATGGAATGGTTTTTTAATTTATTTATTTTGGTGGTGGTATTGGGGTTTGAACTCAGTCCTAGAGAAGCACTCTACCACTCGAGCCACACTTTTTTGTTTTATTTTGTTTTGTTTGTTTTCCTTTTGTGCTGCTGGGATCAAACCCAGGGTCTCACATGTAATAGATAAGCACTTTCCACTGAACTACACACCCTACACCATAAAAATGAGGTTGGTTTTTGTTGTTATTTTATTATTTGTTTGTTTTTTGGTACTGGGGTTTGAACTCAAGGCCTCACTCTTGCTAAGCAGGTGCTGTACTGCTTGAGCCGTTCTGTCAGCCCTTTTTCGTTGGGTATTTTTGAGATAAGGTCTCCGTGATCCTCTTGATCTGTATCTCCTGAGTAGCTAGAATTATAAGCATGAGCCACTAACACCCAGCTAGAAATGAGTTTTGAGCCGAGACCTGAAGGATAAGAATGGGTCAATCATGAGCTGAGGTAGGATACATTCACAGAAGAGGGAACAGTAAGTGGAAAGGCTCACAGCAAAGGTGAGAAAGTAGTAAGAGTAGGAAAAGGAGGAAGAAATTGGAGTGATGAATAGAAATTAGATTATGTAAGATCTAATCTAACATAAGGCCATGATCAGGAGCTTACATATTCATGTGGTGAACCTGGATGGTTTCAAACAGGGTAGTGATATGAAGTGGCATTTGGGAGCAAGAAACTTAATCTTTTTGCACCATAGTTAATTGAGAATAAGAACCTTATAGGTTTCTGTGAGATTGGAATGAATTAGTGTACTTTTAGAACACTTCTTAACCCATAGTAAGCACTCAATACATGGGTATCATTATAACATAAAAAAAAAAAAAGATCTTGTCAGGCATGGTGGCTCATGCCTATAATCCTAGCTCCTTGAATTGGGGAGTGGGGTGAACAAATCAGGAGCTCCTTTTTGGAAAGTGTGTACATGCATCTGGAACTCAAGGAAAAGAGCTGGTACTGTCAAGTGTGTACATGCATCTGGAACTCAAGGAAAAGAGCTGGACAAGAGCTGTGGCTTAAGGAGGCATCAGCATGTAATTGGCGGAGAGAGGACAGATAGACTTGTAAGGGGCCAAGACTCAGATCCTGGGACACATCACCATTTAGGGGTCAGTTAGAGAAGGGGGAGCCAGCATGGGAGACTGAGGAGATGCTGTCTGTGAACTAGAAGGAAAAAATACAAGAATATGCTTCTAGAAGGTTGTTAGCAGGCCTGCTATGTCAAATACTGCTGAGGCCAAGAAAGCACACAGGTGTGTGAACATTATATTTGGCCAGGCACTATTTCAATGTCACATGGAGATGTCAAAGAGGCCATGGAAGTCAGGCTTCTAGAGAGACATCAAGGCTTGAGACAGGTGTAGTGGGAGTCATTTGTGCATAGTAGATGCTGAAAGCCTCTAGAACTGAATATAGATTACCAGGGGAGAGAGTACTGGGAAAGGAAGAGAGCCCAGATCCATGTTCTGAGGTGCTGCCAAATTTGGGGGCTAGGTATAGGATAATACACCAAGCTGGAAAAAAGCTCATAGGGAAGAAATGAACAGTGACTCCACTTACATGAGGAGCAGAAAGACTGACTTTGGATGAGCAGATCAGAGGGTAGGGTTCATCCCATGATTACTATAGTAGCATCATCCCTTGTTTTTCTTCTCTTTTTCTGTTGTTGTCTTTCCTGTACTCTAAAGTACTTGCATACTCTCACTAAATTATTTTCCCAAGAGCACCAGTTTCTTTATGGATAAAGTCTTGAAGCTTTAAAAGAACTTGACACATTCTGGGCATTGGTGAAAAGTTATAAGTCACTGGAGCAAAGATATAATGGGTCTTTAGCCAGAGATGAGGCCGAAAAAGAACTGAGGTCATTTGGTGAAGTTCTTGAATGACTGGTAGAGGAATTGGGATTTGATTTTTATCTTGTATGTAATAGGGAGGCAGCATGGAAAGAAGAATGTTGAATGTATCCCACAATTAACTGTACGATTTAAAGTATTAGATAGTATCACAGGGGGGAAAAAAAAGGACATTACTCTTGGGGGTCCTGCTGAGGAATAAGGAAGCATTTTGAATCTGGCATAGAAGTTAAGGTTGGAAGTTTTTAAACAGCAAATGACACTGTTGGGTCTGTGTTTTAAAAAGCCAATTCTAGAAGCACTGTAGCAGATGGATTGTAGGGGCTACAACTGGGATCTAGATGAGCCATGGCACTGTTACAGTTGCCCACATGAGGATAGTGGCCCAAGCCAAGGCAGCACATTAGGGTTGGAGCCCTAGGACAAGGATTTGAGAGCCAGCCATGCAGAATGGACCTGAGTGCTTAGATGGAGACTGTGAGGGAAAGGGAAAAGCTAACTTAGGAATCTGATTGAATAGCAATGCATTTAAGTAAGATCAGGAATATGGAGAGAGGAGCTGGTTTGAGGAGAAGATAAAGTGTTCAGCAGTAATGATGTATATGAAATGTGCCTAGGACCCATTAGAAGAAGTGTCCAGGAAAAATGTTGGACTGACATATTAGAGAAACATGTGGGCATAGATGTTGTAGTCAAGGAAGTACAGAGAATCACTGAGGGAGAGTGTACAAGGCCAAGGGTGGGACTCTGGGCAAGCCTAAATCATTTATCTATTTGTTTAACATTTTTGTTTGTTTTTCTTTTTCTTTTGGTGGTGGTGGGACTTGAACTCGGGACTTCATACTTGCTAGGCAGGCACTATACCACTTGAGCCACTCTACTAGCCTGTTGTTTGTTTTTGAGACAGGGTCTTGCTATATAGTCCAGGCTGGCCTTGAAGGAGCAGTCCTTCTGCCTCAACCTCCTGAAGTACTGGGTTCAAATCCTAGTACTTCAGAAAAAAAACCAAAAAACCCAGAACACACATGTGGGCTACATTCGTCCTGAAGAGTAATAGTTTTTAATTCTTTGATTTCATCAGAGATAGGATGACAGATTTTCAAAGAAAGAGGTGAATAAGGCTAAGAAAGCCCAAGAGAATATGAAAGGCCACGTGAAGGGCAACCCAGGAAGCCAGCATAAGAAATGTAGTTTGAGGTCAGATCCTGGAAGGATTTGCACCTGAACCTGCAGTAGTTGGTCACAGGTAGTTGGTGACAGAGCCCAAGCAAGGAAATCTCTGTCCCTCTTAGGAAAGCCAAATGAGTTTTCCTATCTCTTCCTCATTAATGCTTTTCAACAATTCCTTCAAACTATTGTGGGTCACATTTCAGAGCAGCAGAAGCTGAAGCTCAGAGACTATATGTCATTAGGTTACTTAGAGGTTAATTGGTGGCAAATTTGGGGTCTGAACTAAGATCTAATACTCAACCTTGGTCTTCCAGCCAAAGGCTCCATATCTACTTGGTACATTCTACACTGGGATATTATAGGGGAACTTTGGGAAGTATGAATGAAGTATGGATGGAGACTTATCTGATTTCTTCCCCCTTCTTGTAAGGAGCAGGTTCTGGGGTTCAGTGTGAAAAGGCCTTGCCTAGGTTTACCTGTGGAGAGAGTGACAGAGCCTGGATTAAACCCAGGCTGCCTTTCTGTGGGCTCTGTATTGTACCACACCTTCCTGAGGCTGCCATAAAGCTACTGTATGCCAGGGTGAGTCCCTGTGGTGGTTCCCTGTTGTCCAGATGAGTCTTCAGTGTCTGGCGCAGTCAGTAAACGTGAGGGTGCTGAGGTTCCATTCTGTGTGGAAATGAGCATATAGAAGGCCCTGACTTGTGCTGTTATCTGACTCTTGCAGAGGAGTGAGCTCTGTGGTTCGCCGTTGTGTTCATCGAGCCACTGGTGATGAGTTTGCCGTGAAGATCATGGAAGTAACAGCTGAGCGACTGAGTCCCGAGCAACTGGAGGAGGTGCGGGAAGCCACACGGCGAGAGACGCACATCCTTCGCCAGGTCGCTGGCCACCCCCACATCAGTGAGGCTGCATCCCCTGTTTCTGCTAGCTGACAGCCCCACCACCTACTGGCCCTTCCCCCAGCCCATACCCTGCACATTGCCTGCAGGCCTCTCCCCACTTCCTCCTGGCTCTGCTCCACCTCTGAGTGTGGCCACCCTTTGAGTCCCTACTGCCTTCTCAGTTCTCCTTCCCAGTAATAGCCTGCTGCTGCCTCAGCATAGAAAAGCCCCTGTAATGTGTAGCTGCTCTTTTCCATCTGTCTCTCTGCCTTTCTGCCTCTTTCCCCAGTCACTCTCATCGATTCCTACGAGTCTTCTAGCTTCATGTTCCTGGTGTTTGACCTGTGAGTATCTCCCTGACCTATCTGAGAAGCCTCCTTCCCGCCTCCGTGTGTGGCCCCAGCCTTACAGCTCAGTGAGCTGGAGGCCACCCTGCTCATACCCTCCTCTGCTCCACCTAGGGCTCTCTGTTGCCCTGCCTGCCTGCCAGCCCGCCCATGGGCTCTGGCTCTGTTTCAAGGTGCCTTGGTTGAGGCAAGTTTTTCAAGATTATTAGTCATTAGTCAAATGCAATGAGTTCTCCTGATCCAAAAGGTCCATGTCTCAGTCCTCCTTGGTTATAAAATGACCAGGGAGGGAAAAAAAAGCCATTTTAAAAGAAGAGTGTTCAACAGTGAACTGACCACTTAGAAAACAGATCCTCACTTACCAGTCTCTTGTTGCTTAACACACTGCACTGCTCTCTCTACCCACTGGTTCTTTTTGTGGTCAGTTTGAATCTGACTGTCAAAAGTTTATACAATGTAAGGTAAGCCCAATTGCAAAGAATTTTCAGAATGATTTAGCCAGGTGTGGTGGTGGATGCCTGTAGTACCAGCAGTCAGGAGGCTGAGTCAAGAGGATGGTGAGTTTGAGGCCAGCCTGGGCTACATAGTGAAACTTTGTTTCAAAAATAGTCATAATTTGAGCTGGGTACCAGTGGCCCACACCTGTAATCCTAGCTACTCAGGAAGCAGAGATCAGGAGGATTGTGGTTCGAAGCCAGTCCAGGCAACAAGTTCACAAGACCATATCTCAAAAAACCCTTCACAAAAATAGGGCTGGTGGAGTGGCTCAAGGTGAAGGCCCTAAGTTCAAGCCCCAGTACCACAAAAAAAAATAGTAATAATTTGAATACCAAAGATTTAATAGCAGTCCTTGGAAAAAAATTCATGAAGCAGAAGTAGTCTTCTTCAAAAGTCTAAGGGGAAGTAGGGAAAATGTCTGTTAAGCCGTGAGATAATGACACTCTGTTTTTAGGATTGGTTCAAAGTTGCAATTATAATCTCAATAATAAGCAAATAAGCAATAATAAAATAAGCAAATAAGCAATAATAAAATAAGCAAAATTTCAAAATAAAGTCCTATTCCCTTTTTTGCACGTTAACTGAAATTTTACTCTATGCTCTAAATAGATCAACTTTAACAGCCTTTTTTAGGTATAGTTATTTGCAGATAACAAGAGACCCCTGAGAATTGTCACAAGAAGTCACTTACTCTGCTGGGGGCCGATGTCTAAAGCCTGTAATACTAGCTACTCAGGAGGCAGAGATCAGGGCAGTCATGGTTCAAAGCCAACCCAGGCAAATATTTTGCGAGACCCTATCTTGAAAAAAACCCATCACAAAAAAAGGGCTGCTTGAGTGGCTCAAGGTGTAGGTCCTGAGTTCAAACCCCAGTACCACACACAAGAAGGTCACTTATTCTTGCTAAAATAAAATTGCCCCATCATGGTACAGTACCAGTATTTCAGCCACCAATCCACTGAGCCAAGCTTCTTGTGGCATCCATTTCACTCTTGGAGTGCTATCTCAAGACCCTTTGGCTTGTCCATTGGCCTCTTCTGTGATGTTTATGTGAGCACTAGCTTACTTTCTCAGCCCCTATTGTGGGTGCATTTCTACCTCCTCTACCCCTCCTGTCCCTTAGGATGCGGAAGGGAGAGCTGTTTGACTATCTCACAGAGAAGGTGGCCCTCTCAGAAAAGGAAACCAGGTAATGGCAGGACTTGAAGCTCCTGGGGTATGTGGGAGAGGGGATGGGATAGGGAGAAGCAGAAGAGACTGTGCTTCCCCCAGGTCCATCATGAGGTCTCTGCTGGAAGCAGTGAGCTTTCTCCATGCCAACAACATTGTGCATCGAGACCTGAAGCCAGAGAATATTCTCCTAGATGACAATATGCAGATCCGACTTTCAGATTTTGGATTCTCCTGTCACTTGGAACCTGGCGAGAAGCTTCGAGGTGAGGGGAACTGGTGCGCTAAGAGGCTGAGGAAGGAAGGAGACCTAGGCTGGAGGTTATTTGGCTGGGTCTGAGTACTGAGTCCCAGGTGTTTAGGAAAAGGAAGTCAGTGAACATTTGACAAGTAGTTGCCTTTTTTTTTTTGGTCTTTTTTGTTTTGCTTTTTTTTTTTTTCTATATTTTCCTTTTTTTTTTTTTCGGTGCTGGGGTCCAAACTCAGGGCCTTGCACTTGCCAGGCAAGCGCTCTTCCACTGAGCTAAATCTCAACCCCAACATTTGACAAGTAAACAAGGCCTTTTGTGCCACTCGTTGGGCTTCCTGACCTGGGAAGATGGAGACAGATGAGTGAGCAGATGGATGCATAGCTGGTAAAGTGTCGCATCGGGAAAGCTAGAAGCAAAGAGCACTGATTTGAGCATAAGGGATCCACAGAGGAATGGCCTGGGGTTGGGCCTTGTCCCAGGAGAAAAGGATTGTGGGCTATCAGGGCTTAGCAGTGTGTTTGGGGTCTGGATAAGACAGTATGCTGCTTCAGTCTCACTCAGTGGTAATATATTTGTTGTCACAAATATTTCTGGTGCAAGTGGGAAATTTAAAGCCTCAACCATGGGAATCCTCAAAGCTTTATTTTTTTGGTGGGACTGGGGTTTGAATTTAGGGCTTTGTGCTCGGAAAGCAGATGCTCTCCTGGTTGAGCCACACCTTTAGTCCATTTTGCTCTGATTATTTTGGAGATGGAGGTCTCACAGGTTATTTGCCTGGGCTGGCCTCAAACCATGATCCTCCAGATCTCAGCCTCCCAAGTAGTTAGATTGCACGTGTGAGCCTCTAGCTCCTTAAGAGCTTTTAATATGCTATTTCCCCTCCATGACTTTATATTAGTTTAATAGCTAAGAGACACTGGGCACTTACTATGAGGCAGACATCACACTAAGCCTTCACATGGCTTATTTCTCTAAATCTTCTCAACAACCTTGGAGATAGAATTTATGTCTTCTTTTTGTAGATGGGCTTAAAGATATGAGATGACTCTCTCCACCCCACCAAGGCCATTCAGCTAGAATTTGAATTTGAGCAGTCTGACTTAAGCATATGCTCCAACCTATGGATTTACACATCTTGTGGATGCTATACTTTTTATTTTCCTCTGGGCTCCACAACATTTTTCTGTTTCTGGAATCATCTTTGTATTTGCCTACTCCACCCTTCTCCCTTAGTGTGAGTGATTCCAGTCCCTCTCCTTTATATATTCTCCTTTCATGACACATATCTTCATGGTTATTATTTTTGTGGGACTGGGGTTTGAACTCAGGGCTTCATACTTGCAACACAGGCACTTGCCTGCTTGAGCCACATCTCCAGCCCATTTTGCTTTGGTTATTTTGGAGATGGGGGTCTCATGAACTTTGCCCAGGCTGGCCTCAAACTGTGATCCTTCTGATCTCAGCCTCCCAAGTAGCTAGGATTACAAACATGAGCCACCAGCACCTGGCTACTCTGTTATTTCTTGTTTGTTTTCTGGAAACTTAGTAAGGGCACATCTAATTCACAGCTGTGTCTGATAGGGTGCTTAGTACGTTCGAGACCTTCAATAAATACTAGGTGTAAAAATGAATTTCCCAAAAATGTAATTTTTAATTTAGGCCTATAAAGTGTGCCATGGAACAGTTTGGAAATTGCTGGAATGGAAGAATTGGTGACTGAAGAAACTAAAAATACAGACTGGGATCAAGTCATGAAGGGCTTTGGGCTATCTGAGTCTAGGCATGATCCTAATGCCTTGATGGGGAATCAGGGAAAGGTTTTAAACAAAGGACTTACCCCATATATACTTTAAGAAATCTCATTACCAGTTCTCCTTTAGTTGGGTGGTTTTCCACCTGATTATAGGAGGAAGAATGGGTTTGGCAGAAAGGAATGCAGAAAATTGAAACTTTGCTTTCCATATATTTTATGTATTCAATAATATGGTAACAAGTTATATGAGTAAGTAGGTTGGCTTGACTGGAGGGTTGGAAGAGGTAAATTATATGGTTAGGTAAGACCATGTTTTTGTAGAAAGTCTACCAGGAGCCTTGGGGAGTAAAGAGTTGTCAACAGGGACAGTGTATAGTTCTGAGGCTAGCAAAACACAGGCGGGAGCTGAAAGGGAACACTGGGATGGCAGTGTTTAGGAGGCTCTAGCAGAGATCTGGTGTTAAGGGCCCTGCAGGGGGCTTGTCGCATCCCTTCAGTCTCTGCCCTCTCTCCCCAGAGTTATGTGGGACACCAGGGTATCTGGCACCAGAGATCCTTAAATGCTCCATGGATGAAACCCACCCAGGCTATGGCAAGGAAGTTGACCTGTGAGTTTCTGGTCTTCTCTTCACTTCTCCTGTGTGTACTATGCTTCACATTTGCATTAACTAGGCCTGCCTGACTCTGGTCTCTTTTCTCAGCTGGGCCTGTGGGGTGATCTTGTTCACACTCCTGGCGGGCTCACCACCATTCTGGCACCGGCGCCAGATCCTGATGTTACGCATGATTATGGAGGGCCAATACCAGTTTAGTTCACCTGAGTGGGATGACCGTTCAAACACCGTCAAAGACCTGGTGAGCTGGGGCCATGAGAGGACAATGGGGAAGGCCCAAGATCTGCCCCTCATGCTCTGGGGTTTCCCCTAGATCTCTAGGTTGTTGCAGGTGGATCCTGAGGAACGCCTGACAGCTGAGCAGGCCCTGCAGCACCCTTTCTTTGAGCGCTGTGAAGGCAGTCAACCCTGGAACCTCACTCCCCGCCAGCGGTTCCGGGTAAGCCTAAGAGTGGCAGGGTCTATACCTGCCTGTCCTATGACCTTTTTCCTGAGGTGAAAACTCAACTGGAGCTCACAATACCTCCCTTCCCAGGTGGCAGTGTGGACAGTGCTAGCTGCTGGACGAGTGGCCTTAAGCACCCACCGTATAAGGACGCTGACCAAGAGTGCACTGTTGAGGGACCCCTATGCACTGCGCCCGGTGCGGCGCCTCATTGACAACTGTGCCTTCCGGCTGTACGGTCACTGGGTGAAGAAGGGCGAGCAGCAGAACCGGGCAGCCCTCTTCCAGCACCGGCCTCCCAGACCTTTTCCCCTCATGGGAACTGAAGAGGAGGGGGACTCCACTGCTGTTGCTGAGGATGAGGCTGCGCTGGTGCTGGGCTAGGACCACAGCCATGGACAGTTCCAGGACTCAAGTCTTCACGAGGAGATTTTTTTATCATTCCAGCCTTTCAGGGTGTCTGACGTCAGGCCCTCCTGCCTAGCCAGGACCCCCCACTGATCATGCTACTGTCATAGAGACCCACCTCATACACCTACCCCCACTGGCCAGGGCTTGCAGATGGAGACAGGGTAAAGGGGAGACACTCTTGAGTGCTATGCCTGGCCTTGTCAGTGCTGCCTGTGCTGCATCTGAAATAAAATCTGCACCAGGGAGAGTGAATGCTCCGGGTATGCTGTCTGGCTTCAACGGAGAAGCCCAGAAGGTGCTCAGGAGGGGGACTGGGGATGGGGCACTCTGGCCCAGGCCTTTATTGGGGAAAATGCAGAGGATCACTTAGTCTTGTTTTTGCCTTTGCTTTTGCTGGGAGGTAGCTGGTTAGGTCGCTCTAGTGCAGTCAACTTGCTGCTCAGCCTCTCCTCGCTGGCCTTGAGCCGTTCCTCCACCAGCTGCTGGAGCTGCTCCAACTCCTTGTTCAGCTGGGTCTTGATGTAGGTTCGGAGGATACAGACCTGGCCTGCAGAGGCAGGGAAAACGGGGCAGGTAGGAGAGATGTTGTCTGGGGATAAGGGACTGTCCATAGCTGGGAAAACACAACCCCAGGGGCTACATGGATTGCAACGTTGCTTCAATTTAGGAAATGTCAGTCACCCCCTCTGTAAGAGACAGTTGGACACAGTAGCTATACTTGACTTTTGAATTCAAGTTCTTACTGCACTTTAGTAGCTGGATGGTCTTAGGCAGGTTATTTAACCTCTCCGTGCCTCAGTTTCCACAAGTAAAATGTGGATAGTAATGACACTAGTACATATGATTTGGTGCACAAATATGTGCAGGCTATTGTCATTGGTTCCCCCCCTTTTTTTTTTTTTTTGTGGTACTGGGGTTTGAGCTCAGGACTTCGCCTTGCTAGGTGCTATGCCACTTGAACCACACACCTGGCCCTTTTTGCTTAGGTTATTTTTCAATTAGGATCTCCTGTTTATATCCAGGCCAACCTGGACCAAGATCCTCCTATTTATGCTTCCTGTCCATCTTTTTTTTTTTTAATTTCTTGAGATGGGGTCCTGAACTTTTTGCCCAGGTTGATCTTGAACTGCATTCCTCCTCCATCTCTGCCACCCAAACAGCTAGGATTACAGGTTTGAGCCACCGTGCCTGGCTTCATTGAGTTTCTAATTATCATTTTTCTGGAGCCACCTCTTTTGCCCCCACCCCATCCCTCTACTCCCCCCGCTCTATCGCTGTGTTCTTATCTTCTTGTCATCATGGACTTCCATATCAGGAATCATTTAGAGAAAAAGGACACTGGGACTAAAACTAAAAGTCTAAAGTCCTGAGGTGGCCAAACCTTTCCTTTCACACAGGCCCAGAATCACTCTAGTCCCTCTAGGTGCTCACTTGATTCTTGCTCTGGCTGGACCTCTACCTCTAGTTCTTCCTTCGGTGGAGTAACTGCCTGCTCCTCCGCCTCCTCGCTGCTTGCTTTCTCTGCAAACCAGAACAGGAAGAGGCTTTGGCCCTAGTCCTGGCCTGGCCTTGCTATGGCCTTCCATATCCATCTTACCCTCTAGCCAGGCCTTAGGTGGCTGCAGCCCTGTGTAAGTCAATGATAGATCCAGCTGCACCTGGAAAGAGACAGGCTAAGAGGAAGGCACCTGCCCTGGGAGAAAGTGAGGGGAACGGGAAGGTCTGTTGCAGACCATATCCAGTACCTGAGGTGTGAAGACATATTTATAGAGCTTGAAGTGGCGGAAGTAGGTGTTGACCACGTAGTCTGCCAGGGCAAGCAGCTGTTCCTCCTTAAAAAGGTCAATGCTGAAGGGGGGCCGCTGTGATGATGATGAAGAGTTAGAACACTAATGGCCTGAAGCCTGGCCCTTCCTCCAAGAGCCCAGCTATCTAGGAGCAGGGTAAGCCTACTGTGGCCTTCAAAGGAAGAGGATGGTGATTAGAAAAGAGGGCAGAAGATTGGGCTAGACCTTGTCTGGTTGGGTTAGGGGGAGTGTGACAGTTGCACTGCAGTGTACTGACCCTGACTCCATGGCAAAAAAGAACACTGGTAAAGTAGCGGTAGCATTCCTCCACATTGCCCAAGGGGGTTGCTGGTAGGGAAAGCAAGGTGCAGCAATCAGTTCCTCCCTGCTCTCCAGCCCTTCATCTTCAGTGGTGGATAAATCTAGGTTTAAGGCCTGGCTTGTTCTCTTTCATTCAGAGAGCACTCCATTGAGGAGTCCTACATACTGTTCTAGGCAATGAACAAGGCAAAAAATCTTGCTCCCCAGCAGCTTACATTCTAGGGAAAGCGATAGACAATAAACCAAGAAATCATTTCAGCTATAATTAAACATTCTGGAGAAAGTCAGTGGGGGAACACAAGCTATTTTATTGAATATGGTGCATACATTTACATGTTCCTCAGAATAGTCCCATAAAGTTAGCACTGTGTCTTTAACTTACTGATAAGGGAACAGGATTTCAAAGGCAATAATTGGTGTGGGATAATACTACTAGGCATGGCAGAGCAAACATTCCAGGTTGCGATCCCCCTACTTCTTCCCATGATCACTGTACCAGTCCAGCCTGCTTTGCTCCCTGGGGCTCAAACCTTCTAGTAGCCACCTCCCTCTCACCAGCACAGGCCTTATGAAGATCTTGGAGCAGTGCACAAGCTGCTGACATCTGCTCCAGTGAGAAGCCTTGCTGGCGGCAGAAGATGAGTGCATAGGAGAAGAGGTCCAAGGTGATGGCATCCTGTGGGCTCTGCTCAGGACAGCTGATTTCCAAGAGCTCAGCCAGCACCCTTGGGAGAGCACAGAGCGACAAAGGGAACCTCCTTTTATCCATACACTTACCCCATAATGTCTGCCCTCCCCAAGAGCTCTCCCCCTCCCTGCCGGGCCCATACTCCCTCATCTCGTCCACAGTGGCTGCCTTCTCTAGCCGGTGCATAGAATGGATGTCCAGGTATTTCCTGTCACAGGGAAGGGACAACAAAGCATTGATGGCGGTACACATTAGCTTGATGACAGGGCTATGACTGATACAGCATTGAATTAGGCATCAGGAGACCTGAGTTTGAGGCTTGGCTCTTTCATAACTTTCTGTATAACTTCTGGCAAGTCACCTGTGTGGGCCTTACTTTCTCTGTAAATGAGGGATGTGGCCTAGAGGCACCCTTAGAATTCTCTCCATTTATAAAACCTACAATTAGAACTTGAGTTCTTGCCTCTGTTCTGCCACTGCCTTGTTGTATGACTGGTAGAGTCCGTGTTATGGGCTGCAGTATCCCCATATGTACAGTGCTCCATGACCACTATATTTCATTTACATCCTCAGTCCTTGGCTGTCTGCCACTCCGGACTAAAGCCTGGGAAGCTGGCGTCTAATCACGTTGAGTAATTGCGTGTGTAAGTCGCAGTCTCATCATCTGTAAATCGGGGTACCCTGGCTATTGGACAAGAGTGTTGGGGAGACAGTAAAGTAACAATGTACACTCACCACATGCAGATCCGGGGCTGGGGCAGCGGCGGCTGCAGAGAGAAAGTGGATTGGGGAAGGAAGAGCTGTGTGGTATCCGGCCCTAGTCCCTGGTGACTAGTGAATCTCCAGTGGTCTGGAGAAAGCGCTATAAGGTGCTTTCTCATCTCTGGGACTATATAGAGCAAGGAGGGCGGGACCGGGCTTCAGCAGGCCCTAAATACTATTTGTTAGCATATTAACAATTGGGGTCACACACATCCCTACCTCTCTTCACCAAGACAGCCCGGGAAAAGTCCTGAACGTTAGTAAACGTAAAGAGGGGTGACGCCTTGGCGGGGAAACCTTTTCTAAGTATTCATGAGCGGACCACCCTAACCCACTCTCACCGGGAACAAGTTGACTCCAAGGTCTTCATCCACTTCCACAGAAGCTGAGGCTGCTGTGGCAGACTCGGTCCGCATACCTGTGTCCGATTCACCCACTGAGCTGAAACCCTTTTCTAGTTCCCACTGCAGTTCGGAGGGCTGCTCAAGCTCCGACTGCCCCCTACACGCCAGGAATTGGCTGGACTTCGGGCTGATCATCTTGTCCTCCACGGTGCCGCGAGTCACCACAGATCTCTCCCGCGTGAGTTCTGGGACAGCCAGGACTCCCGCAGCGACTGCCCAGGCCTAGCTCTAGCTACTCTTCAGCCAATCTACGAGGCCGCGAGTCTGGGGGCAGCCAATCCACGGTAGGGGCGTCTGCCCGCCTCCACGGTAACCGTTGCTAAGGGGGCTTGTGAAGAAAGTTAGTGCAGACACAAGCCAATCAGTGAGGAGAGAATGCGCATGCGTAATAACACGTGTTCACCTGGGCGCTCCCGCATTAAAGTTGTTAATAGCAAAGGCTGGAGCGTCCTCAAAGCAGGAAAGTGGGATTGCGGTGGCAGTTACTATGGAAACCAACTGTTCGCCAATCACTGAGCGAAAGAGGAGGTGTTCAGGAAGAAACTACACACCTCGAGGGGCGGGGCCAAGCGCGACCAATAGGAACAGGAAACGAAGACTTGTCACATCCGGTGCCGCCTTTGGCGCCTGCGCCCTGTGCCAGGGAGGCCGGTGACGTCCGGTGAAATCCAAGATGGTGGCATTAGGCTGACCCTGCTGTCGGTGAGTTGCCCCGAGTAGGCGGGGGCTGGATCCAGTAGACGTGTGCAGCGGAGTGTCCCGGGACTGTGGAACCCCGGCCGCTTCCACATATCTGCTCTCTGTTTTCTACAGGTTGCGGAAGTGTCTCCTCCGCCCGCCTGACGCTCCTTAGGGGACCTTGCGCCGCTCCTCGCCGTCGCAGCTATGTCCGGGCCCGGCAACAAACGCGCTGCCGGCGACGGGGGCTTAGGGCCCCCTGAAAAGAAGCTGAGCCGCGAAGAGAAGACCACAACCACTCTAATAGAGCCCATTCGTCTTGGGGGCATCTCTTCCACGGTTCGTGGGCTTTTGCTAAACTCCTTTCTCTGGTCTCCACCAAAACCATCCAGAATCTTACTGCCAGTTCCCCAAGCTTAGAAGATCCACTTAGAGCACATTCTGTAGAAGGAAACCGAAAACACGGTATCTGCCTTCCCTTTGCAACTAGATGAACAGGTTCGCAGAGGGCATGTGATTTGTCAAAAACTAAGGCCGAACTTGAGCTTCTCTGCGTGTGTCGGGGGGTGGGGGGGGGGGGCGGAGTGTCAGAGCATGTTTAAGCCCTGTTAGCAGGTAGTCGAGGGAGTACCGCCTCTCCCACTCTTTCCAGTTGGTCTCCTCGCTTAGCGATTTTGAGCCATGCTTTGATACTCTCCTCCACTCCCCTTTGCTTTATTAGGAGGAGATGGACTTGAAGGTACTGCAGTTTAAGAACAAGAAACTGGCAGAGCGGTTGGAACAGCGACAAGCTTGTGAAGATGAACTCCGAGAACGAATCGAAAAGTTGGAGAAGCGGCAGGCCACAGATGATGCCACACTCCTCATTGTCAATCGCTACTGGGCCCAGGTGAGTAACTTCAGTGTTCCAAGACTAGGCCTGAGTCAGCTGCCGATTCTCAGATTGTTTTGCTGGGAAAGGAGTATCATGCTGGAAAAAGCACTGAGGGATTTATAACTTTTTTGGTGCTTTCTCCCTTCAGCTGGATGAAACTGTGGAAGCTCTTCTCCGATGCCATGAGAATCAGGGGGAGCTGTCTGCAGGCACAGAGGCACCTGGGACCCAGGAGGTGCCAGGGCGTGATGTGATCCCTCTCACAGACCCAGGGACATCAGAGCTGAGAGGTAAAGCTAGAGCCCTAGAATCTAGGGAGCTTTAGTTCTGGGAAAGGTCCTGGAGAGGAGGGGACTTTGAGGTTGGGCTCCTGAATTCCCTCCTCACCATCCCTGAAAAATTGATTTCATGTTTGGGGAGTAAAGTGTAGTGGGTAAGAACAAGGCTTTGGAATCGTAACTTGATTCAGAATGCTGTTTGTGTTGAGATCCATTTAATTAAAAAAGTATTAAATGTTGACTATGTTTCCAACACTGTTCTAGACTTGGAGGAATCAGAGACTAACAAAAAGAAATATTGTTTCTGCCATTGGGGAGAAAATTATTATAAACCATAGTAAGAAAAAAGTTTTGAGGCCCTTGAAAGGGAATGAATGTGGTACATGTATGTGATTCTAGTTTAGACATTCCTAAGGAAGTGATTTGACACCTCTGTAGCCTTGAGAAAAGTACTTCATCTTCCTAAACTTTGTCTTATTGTCAACATGGAGATAACTGTATTACAGGTTGTGTTAAGTGAACCATGTAGTATTGAAGGGCTTCTTCTGGAACTTGAAACAGATTGGTGGTCACTGCTGCTGTTATTTTCATGAGGGTCTCTGTCTCTCCCAGAAGCCCTGCCAGTACAGATGCGACCCCCTCTCAGTGAACCAGCCTTGGCTTTCGTGGTGGCACTGGGTGCCAGCAGCAATGAAGAAGTGGAGCTGCAGCTGCAGGGACGGATGGAGTTCTCCAAGGCAGCCGTGTCACGGGTGGTAGAAGCCTCAGACCGCTTACAGCGCCGGGTAGAGGAACTCTGTCAGCGAGTATACAGTCGAGGTTAGTTCATTGTACCTCTACCCTAGAGGTGTCTGTCCCCATCTGCATCTTTTATGTCCACTCCCCCAAATCCCATGAGCCCAGATGCCGAAAGAATAAATCAGCCATATTGGGGGAAGAGGATGAGTTTATAGTTGGAGATTCTAGCTTTGGTTTCTGGAACTGAACTCTTAAAGAGGTGAGGAGAGTTGTTGATGCTGGTAGGGTCACCTCTTCTAGCCACAGGCCTCTCTGGAGAACTTTCTGCAAAGCTTAGTGGCATCTGTTGATCCACAAGGCAGAGCAGCAAGTGCTCAGGATTTTCAAGTTGATAGGCTTCTCCCAGCCTTAGTTCTTTCTCCCTAGTCTTGTCTTTCTGGGCAGATGGTTCCCCTTCTCTGAGCTGGTTTTCTCTGTATATTGGGGTAAAGTCACCCAGGTTTGTCCTGAGAAATTGTCATGGTAGCTGGCAGATCACACTGCATAGAACAGACTCCAGAATGAGTTAGTGCTTTACCCTCATTGCCTGGGGCTTGGCTCTTAACTGGGCCCTGCCTTCTCAGGGGACAATGAACCCCCCGGTGAGGTGGCTCGGGCACGCACCCGGGAGCTGGGCCGTGAGAACCGGCGGCTGCAGGACTTGGCTACTCAGCTGCAGGAGAAGCACCACCGCATCTCATTGGAGGTGGGAGTCGGGCATTTGGGGTGGAATTAGAACCAGGGCAATTTGGGTTACATGGGCACTCAAGGATCTCAGGAAACCAAGTCCTTTATCCATGCATCTGTCCCTTCATTGTCTGTAGTACTCTGAGCTCCAGGATAAAGTGACATCAGCAGAGACTAAGGTGCTAGAGATGGAGACAACGGTGGAGGACCTGAAGTGGGACATTGAGAAACTGCGCAAACGAGAACAAAAACTCAATAAGCACCTGGCAGAAGCCTTGGAGCAGGTGAGGCTGTGGTGCTGAGGAAGATGAAACTAGGGCTGCCTACTGGAGGCCCTCGCTTCTGCCTCTCATCCATCATCTGTCTCTCTCCATAGCTCAACTCCGGCTACTATGTGTCTGGGAGCTCTTCAGGCTTCCAGGGGGGCCAGATCACACTCAGCATGCAGAAGGTGAGCCTCATCATTCCTCCCAGCCCATCCTAGCTTTTTCTCTGTCATGCCCCAGAGCAGGGCAAACACCCACATCTGCGCCCACTCCTTGTCACTCTTTCTTTCACTTACTAAGTTTCTCTGAATAGTTAAGTGCTAGGCACTGGACAGATAGGAGAGGATATGGCAGATAAAAGTCAAAGTTTCCATAGAGCTAAGGTTCCGGTAGTGGGAACAGATGAGAAATAAATAAAATAGTGTATCAACTGTAAGTAGCACAATGAAAAAGTACAGAAAAAAAGATAAGTGGGGAGTACACTGGAGCCCTTTGGCATTCTGGGGCCCCTGTGCCCGTTTTTTTCCTTTACTTTAGCTGGGGTTTTTTTGTTTAGTTTGGTTTGATTTTGTTTGGTGGTAATGGAGTTTGAACTCGGGGTCTTACAGTTGCTAAAGCAGGCACTCTACCAATTGCACCATGCTTCCTGGTTCTTCAGTCTTCCAAGAATGCTTCTCTGACTTCCTATCAGTTAAGAATCATCATTCTCAGTTCAGTACTCCTGTGCAGTATTTTTCTCCCACTTGCCTGGGAACTCTTGGGAAAGTCTTGGATTTGGAGCTTTGGAATCTATCAGTGCTCTGCACTGGGGAGCTTGGGGGTGGAGTGCATGATGGGAGTATGAGGGGAGCATGTTGCCCATCCTGGCCCTGCCTACCACAGCCCCTCCCACTCCTTAGTTTGAGATGTTGAATGCAGAGTTGGAAGAAAACCAGGAATTGGCCAATAGCCGCATGGCAGAGCTGGAGAAGCTGCAGGCTGAGCTTCAGGGGGCTGTGCGGACCAATGAACGCCTTAAGGTGGGCTGTGATTGTGGCTGAGAGTCTGGCCTACAAGGTAGGGGCTAAACCCTGAACTCTTTTGCTGATTTTTTGGGCATCCCTGCCTCCAGGTGGCCCTGCGGAGTCTTCCTGAGGAGGTGGTACGTGAGACAGGGGAGTACCGAATGCTGCAGGCCCAGTTCTCACTGCTCTACAATGAATCTCTGCAAGTAAAGACCCAGCTGGATGAGGCCCGGGGGCTGCTTCTAGCCACCAAGAACTCCCACTTGAGACACATTGAGCACATGGAGGTGTGATCCTGGGATGGGTTGGGGCAAGGGGGTAAGAGCCAGACTCTTAGGGCTGGGACATTCCTGGGATTCTGAGACCCTGTTCACCTGCCAAAAGTCCCTTGGGCATAGTTTTTCTAAAGCCTGAAGTGGGACTGAGGGTTTGTGAGGGTCTTTAATGCCTCAACCCACAGAGTGATGAGCTAGGACTGCAGAAAAAGCTGCGTACAGAGGTGATCCAGTTGGAAGACACACTGGCCCAGGTACGCAAGGAATATGAGATGCTGCGCATCGAGTTTGAACAGAATCTGGCAGCCAATGAGCAGGCAGGTATGTGGTGGGATTTTGTGGAGGTGGGGCACCTTAACTAGGGGTGCTAGGCCCTTCTGGGCTGCTGCTTGTCCAGATGTGTGAAGTTGAAATCCTCCCTTTTTTTTTTTTTTGCAGTACTTGTGTACTCAGGGCCTACACCTTGAGCCACTCCACCAACCGCCACCTTCCCCATCCCCCCTTTTTTTTTTCCTTGTAATAGGTTTTTTCAAGATAGGCTCTTGAGAACTATTTGCCTGGGCTACCCTTGAACTGCAGTCTTCCTGATCTCTGCCTCCTGAGTAGCTAGGATTTCAGGCGTTTTTCTTTTTCTTTCTTTCTTTTTTTTTTTGTTTGTTTGTTTGTTTGTTTGTTGGACTAAGGGTCTTATAATTGCTAGCCAGGTACTCTACCACTTGAGCTGCTCCACCAGCAAGTCCCTCCCTTTTGCGGAGCCTGAAGGTCACAACAGCTGAGGAGGCTAATGGAGTAGGCACATCCAGAATGTGAACTCTCAGCCCTTGTCTGTAGTTCTTTGACCTCTGCTGTTTCTGAAATACTTGTTTCAAAGATATATTGAATACCACCTACAAGCCTAGTTTGTTTTAAGCGTTGGAGTTATGCCAGTGAACAAAACACAAAGAATCCCTGTCACTGTGGGACATTTTAGTAGAGGGAAGACAGACAAAAAAAAGAAATAAAATGCATATGTTAGTGATAAAGTTCCCAAAGAAGTGAAGCAAGAAAAGAAGACAGGACATATCAGGAGAAGGTGTTGCAGTTTGGGATAAGATGGGGAGGCCAGGCAAATGTAACCAAGAAGGTGACATTTGTTTAAGGATCTAAAAGAAGTTGATTAACTTGTGAATATTAGTTAACTAGTCCATTAAAGGAAATTTGGAGGTCTTGAAACCACCACCTTAACAAAAATAACACAAACAGGCAATGTCAAATTACTTTTGAGTTTACTTAAAGTCTGCATTATTTACTTTCAAAAAAAAAATCTCAGTTTTTCCCTTCCTGCACATTCAGAGTGTTGGCTCTGGCTCAGGCTCTTCGCCTGCTGAAGGCCCTCACCTAGGGACCAGTCTGATACATTTACCTCTCTGCTCTTCCCTAGGGCCCATCAACCGTGAGATGCGTCACCTGATTAGCAGCCTCCAGAATCATAACCACCAACTCAAAGGGGATGCTCAGCGATATAAGCGGAAGCTTAGAGAAGTACAGGCTGAGATTGGCAAAGTAAGGAGGAGGCTGCATGGGAAAAGCTTCAGCTAGACGCCATTAAGCACTGGCTCACCTCATCCCTGTTCCTCTCTGTCTCCCTTTCACAGCTCCGGGCCCAAGCCAGTGGCTCTACCCACTCCATATCCAACCTGGGCCACCCAGAGGACACTGGCCTCAGTGCCCCAGCTCCAGGGAAAGAAGAGGGTGGACCAGGCTCTGTCAGTACCCCTGACAGCAGAAAGGAGATGGCTTCAGTGCCTGGTGCCACAACTACTACCTCCTCAGTGAAGAAAGAGGAGCTGGTCCCCTCTGAAGAGGATGTCCAAGCCCTAACTCCTGGAACCCAGGGCCCCTCTTCCCGGGGCCGGGAACCTGAAGCCAAGCCCAAACGGGAACTTCGGGAAAGAGAAGGGCCTGGCTTGGGACCCCAATCTGTGACCTCAGCTCTCTCAAGGGCTGATCGAGAGAAGGCCAAGGTGGAGGAAGCCAAGAGGAAGGAGTCAGAACTGCTCAAAAGTCTCCGAGCAGAGCTCAAGTAAGATCATATAACTATCTCCTTTCAGCCCTGTCAAGGGGCCTCCAGTGCTGCTTATTGAGCCTTCCTCATATGCCATCCCCAGGAAGGCCCAGGAGAGCCAGAAGGAGATGAAGTTGCTGCTGGACATGTATAAGTCAGCACCCAAGGAGCAGCGGGATAAGGTGCAGCTCATGGCAGCTGAACGCAAGGCCAAGGCTGAGGTGAGGGTGGCTAGAACTGGTGGGGCATGCAGAGAGGCTGGCCACAAGCCTCTGACCAGAATAGGCTTAGGTCAGCAGGAAGCAGTGACAGAGAGTTCCTTCTTATGTCTGTAGGTCGATGAGCTACGGAGCCGCATCCGGGAACTGGAGGAGAGGGATCGAAGGGAGAGCAAGAAGATTGCAGATGAGGATGCCCTGCGGCGTATCCGGCAGGCAGAAGAGCAGATTGAACACCTGCAGCGCAAGTTGGGTGCCACCAAGCAGGTGTGCACCCCCTTGTGGTGTGGTTCCCTTATGTCAAAATGCTAGTATTCTCCTAGCCCTCTGTCAGGTGCCTTCAACAGATGTGATACCTTGATGGCCTGGTATTCTCTGGCACTTTGCTTTGCCGCATTTCCATGTGGTTCTTTCACAACCTCTTGCCCAATAGTACTTTTCTCTTATTCACTTACAGGAAGAGGAGGCTCTTCTGTCAGAGATGGATGTGACGGGGCAGGCTTTTGAGGACATGCAGGAGCAGAATGGGCGGCTACTCCAGCAGCTGCGGGAAAAGGATGATGCCAACTTTAAGCTGATGTCAGAGCGGATCAAGGCCAACCAGATTCACAAATTGCTACGGGAAGAAAAGGACGAATTGGGCGAGCAGGTTCTTGGCCTCAAGTCCCAGGTATAACTGCCCAGAGTGTAGCTTGAGAGTAGAACTGGAGAGTCAGGGCTGCCATCACTGAGACCCCCCTATCCTCAGGTGGATGCCCAGCTGCTGACCGTGCAGAAGCTGGAGGAAAAGGAGCGGGCCTTGCAGGGCAGCCTTGGTGGTGTGGAGAAGGAGCTGACACTGCGCAGCCAGGCCCTGGAGCTCAACAAGAGGAAGGTGAGGCTGGGCCTGTGGGGAAAGTGACCTGGGCCAATGGCTCCCATCCTCCCCTCTGGATCCTGCTTAGAGAATCTGACATGGGTAGCCTAGCATGAAGCCTGGCACTGCCTCTTTTCCTGGGACAGCTCCACAAGTATCAAATGTTTCCTATATGCCAGAACTGAACATAGGTTCAGTACTGGACATGCTCTAGTCAATTTCAGTCCACAGTAATCCTACCAGGATGGTTTTTGTTACAACCCCCGTTTGTTTTATTTATTTATTTATTTATTTTATTTTATTTTATTTTATTTATTTATTTAAGCAGGCTGTATTGGGGTTTAAAATCAGGGCCTTGTGCTTGCTAAGCAGGTGTTCTACCACCTGAGCCATACCCCCAGCCCTGCCACCCCCATTAAATAAAAGAGGAAACAGACTCAGAAAGGTCAGTTGACTTGCTCAAGAAAGAACAGAGTGCTGGGGATGTGGCTGAAGTGGTAGAGCGCCTGTCTAGCAGGGCAAGACACTAAGTTCAAACCCCAGTAGCAAGCACAAGTCCCTGAGATCAATACCCAGTACTGCCAAAAAATAAATAAGTAATACCTAGTTTATGGTAAAATCTTCAGATTAACATTGACTTTCATCTTTTTTCCCTTATTAGACTATTTTCTTCTCAATTAATACATTCACTTAAACAATTTTTTTTTATGCTCCTGCTACATCCTAGGTCTTGTGCTGACTACTAGTCCCTGCCTCCAGTCAAGACTAGAACTTCCAGTCTTGGGCAGGCAGCAAGCCAGAGACCCCACAAATAATGCTGTGACAAAATAATGCTGTGCCAAATCCCAGACAGTCTTAAGAAGGAAGCTACAGTGGTGTGAAAGAGCAATTAGGGGACGCTCTCAGGAGGTGAAGTTTGAACTGAGTCCTGAAGGAGTGTGCACTTTTTAGGGGTGTTGAGGGGAATAGAGAAAGGAGCCTGGTGGAGGTTCAAAGACCAGAGGGAGCCCCACACAGATAAGGAACAGTGTTGGGAAGAAGGCGGGATATGAGGCTGAGGGTCATGAAGCAGGACCAGCTCCAATACAGATGTCACCAGAATATTTGACACAGCATCAGTGGACCATTGCTTCCCAGACTCAGGCAAATGTGCTCCTCCTTTCTGTCTCCCCACCTTAGGCTGTGGAAGCAGCCCAGCTGGCTGAAGATCTAAAGGTGCAGTTGGAGCATGTGCAGACTCGGCTCCGGGAGATCCAGCCCTGCCTGGCAGAGAGCCGGGCTGCCCGGGAGAAAGAGAGCTTCAACCTCAAAAGGGCTCAGGTGTGTGCTTCAGGGAGTGTAGGTGGGTTAGGATCTCTGGTGGATGTGGCAAGGAAGCACAGTGCTTCAGAGTGAGGCCCCTCACCCTTAGCTTTGCTCTGGTGCTGCTCCAGGAGGACATCTCGCGGTTGCGGCGCAAACTGGAGAAGCAGAAGAAAGTGGAGGTTTATGCAGATGCTGACGAAATCCTGCAGGAGGAGATCAAGGAGTATAAGGTGAGGAGACCATGGTCTGAGTTGTGTCCCATCAGTCCAGGAAGAGGTGAGGGGTTGGGTGGGAGCATGAATAGTCTGGGGACCCTGGAAATAAGTTAGGACAGCAAAAAGCACTGATTATTGAGTCAGACAACTGGCCATAACCAACTGGTATGTTGGATACATACCATGTGCCAGGCATAATCCCTACCCAGATGTGGGGTGAGAGGGCTCAGACCTTGAGACTGATAGTCAGGGGAGGCAACCAAGTAATTTTCCTGTCCCAGTGATGAGTAATGCAGTGTCAGAGGCCAGAGGGCGTATGGGAACTCAAGGGAAGCCCTAAATGACCTGGAGGGTCAGCAAGCTTCCTGGAAGGAATGTCACACAAGGCAGACCTGAAGTATGAGTTAGGATTGGCCAGGAACACTGAGGACGAGAGGGTTCAGGCAAAGAAAAAGGCAGATGTGGAGGCTCTGAGTTGAGAGAGGTGCTGGGCAGACAGAGCTGGCCAGTGGGATTGGAGGAGGGAAGGTAGTGGTAGGAAATGGCAGATGGGGTGGGGGTGCGCTAGACTGAGCTACTTGGTTTCTTCTGTAGTCAGGGTGGAGATGTTGAAATAGTTTGTTGGGAGTCTTGGTAGGCGGGGGAGGAGGGAACTAGGGATTAAACCTAAGGTCTTATGTATGCTTAAGCACATGTTTATCACTGAGCTATACCTCAGCCCCACCAATGGGTTTTAGACAGGAATGATAAGTCAGGTGTGTGACTGGATTTGGGCTAGAGGAAGCAAAGGCTAGAGGCAGGGAAATTGTTAAGCTGTTGTTAAGCTGTTGCAAGGCGCTGAGGTGAAGGCCAGTATTCAGCTAGCTGAAGGTACTGGAGACAGTAGCTGGACTCAGGAGATACTTAGGAGAAAGAATTACTTGGACTCGGGTGGATCTAATGCCTAGAGGGGAGGGCAAGGCTGGGGAGGACTCCTGGGTTGAAAAATGAGGTGGATGACAAGGACCTTTTAGTGAGTTAGGAAGACTGAGCAGGCTGTGACGCTGAGACTGAGGTGGCTGGAGCACTGTCAGGAGGCTGGGAAGACACTTGAGGCAAAGAGCTAGGCTGGGAGAGCAAGGGCCTAAATGGGGCTGGCAGAAGCAGAGTTGAAAGCCACACATGACTGGTCATCCAGGGAGGATTTATGGCATGAGAAGGGATAGGGGTCATTCTCCCCTTAGGAAACTTAAAGCTTAAGTGACAGGCAGAGAAAGAGAAGCCTGGAGGCTAGAAGGAAGGGGAGTGATGTGGAGGGCACAGATGAATCAAGCCACAAGAGATGCCTATGGGACTTGGCGGTCTTGGTAGGAATGGCTCCTGAGCAGGCTGAGGATGGAGGTCAGATTCCCTGTGCTCTGAGCCACTGGAGTGAAGAGAGGGTGGTGGGAAGCAGTAGTAAGTTAAGCCTTTGGGCCCTAGAGGGGCATTGGCAACCCTGGGGTAAAGAGAAAACAGACTTGGGAGGCTGTACTATGCTGATGGCAGGGTCCCAAGGAATTGAGAAGAGTGACGCTGGGGAGACTACCAAGGTGGCTGGCTGGGGCAAGATTCCAAGCAGGCCAGAAGAGTGCTGGAAATGCAGACACCAGGTAGTGCTTATCTGGAGTCAAAGCCAAGACTTTCCTGATGGCAGATGGGAGGTGTCAGGCTAAGAGTAGGGCCATAGTGCACCATAGTAAGGTCTCTGGGTCGCACCAGTTGAGGACAGAGTACATTTCTGGTGGCACTGCCATAGCCAGCTGTGACCTAGCAGACACAAGAGAAAAGAAGATACATATGATTGGGATTTTGCCAGAGACAGCCAATGGGACAAGGGATGAACCTCCAGGATGGAAGAGTTCAGGCTGGGGCTAGGATACTTGTCCTTGAGAAAATCCAGACACTGCTATATTCTAGAGCCTCAGTTTCCTCCTTCACAGAGTGCTGACTCCCACCTTCAAAGGTTATGGTGAGGATTAGATACATTCACCATGTGGTGGGCTTTGCCTGGACCACCTCTTGCTGTCAGCTTAGGGTCTGAGCACTGTCACAGTTGCTCCAAAGCTCATGCCTTTACTTATCCAGGCACGGTTGACTTGCCCCTGCTGTAATACCCGCAAGAAGGATGCGGTCCTTACGAAGTGCTTCCATGTGTTCTGCTTTGAGTGTGTGCGGGGCCGCTATGAGGCCCGCCAGAGGAAGTGCCCTAAGTGCAACGCAGCCTTCGGTGCCCACGACTTCCATCGTGTCTACATCAGCTGAACCTGAAACTCAGGGGACTTTGGAACATGCATGGACCCAGGGGACTATGTCCCAGCCCCTTCTCACTCCAGGTGCCGTGGCTCCACCTCCATTCCAGAAACCGTGGGCCTATCCCTGCCCTCCTACTTGGTTTCGGGGCACTGGTGCATGCTACAGGGAGTGGGATGAGCCAGGCTCAGTTCCATCTTTTCTTCAAGGTCAGAGCTGCAGCCTAGGGGACTCTCCCATGGGACCCAGAGCACTCAGCTTAGCTTCCTAAGAAGCTGATCCTAACCCAGCTCCCACTGTCTCCACAGACCTATCCTACCCCCTAAGGGGGGATTCCTCACCCACAAGGAGGGCTCCCTACCTGCCTACACACCTACAGTGAGGACCAGGGATGGGCCAGGACCTCAGCCTCTTTCCTGGGCCCCCGGAAGACTTTATAAACCCACTTTCCCCCAGGCCTGGGCAAGACCCTGTAGAGTTCCCTAGACACTGGACTATTGTGCTAAGAGCTGAAAGAGCTACTCCCTGGGAAAACTACCCTCTTCCTCTAGGAAGCTCTGCAGTTGCTTGTGGTTACTACCTTCCTCTTGAGAGTGCTGAACCATGATCATCAAGTTTCTCTTCTGATCAGTCCCACCCAACCTCTACTTCTCTTCCAAGCCTACCTAATCCCATCCAGTGTATCCCAAGGTTCCGGCCCTAACCCTGCTTTCATCCTGGTGGCCTTAACTGCAGTGCAGGTGAAACTTTCCAGGAGGAGAAGGGACAGACCAGCCCTAGTCGCTGGGCCAACTTCCAATCATTCCAGGTAGAAGAGCTTTGCCTAGCACCCTGTGACTGAGACTGACATCCTGGATGCTTCAATGTTCCTGCCCATGGGCTGTGAAGGCAGCACCGAGAGGGGCTGACAAAAGGAGCTGATAGTTGCAGTGACCCATTTGGACTCTCAGCCTCTGCTCTAGAGATGTCTTGTATAGGCTGTTAATTGTTAAGAATAAACATCCAGCCCTCTGCCTACAGAATAGCCAGACCTTTTCCTAACAACCCCAGTTCTTAGCTGCTACACCTGGCCAGCACTTTCTGGGACTGGGAAGGGAGGTGCTGTGCATGTATGAAAGCCCAACAGCTTCCCAAACTTAGCTCCCCAGCAGCTAAGTTTCATGCTTAGGTCTCAAAGTGCTCAGGTCCCCAGCTGGGCCAGCAGGGGAAACACATGTGCAGAGAAGCATCTTCCCTCCGCACGCGGAGGGGTGTGTCCCTAGGGCCGGGTTGGTCACGCCTCCGTACAGTCATTGGCCATTGGGATTCTGGGAAGCCTCGCGCAGCATTCCGGGAAATGTGGTCCCTTATTCGCACCTGGTGAGAAGGGCGCGGGGTGAACCCATTGCAGGAGCTCCTCCCTTACCGTGGGCCGCCGCTCCACGGCTTTATCCGCCCTACCCTACGGAAACAGCGGTACACCTCAGCGGGGTGACGTCCTTCATTGAACCTGTGTAGCCCAGGTCCTCCAAAGCCATACGCCATGTACTGAGAGGAGCCTCCGGACTCAGTGCGCGGTCGGCTCTGCGGGCGGAGCTTTCGCGCGAGCTGTGCTGGGACTGGCGCCAGGACCAACGCTGAGGGGTGTCGGGGTGGGTCTCGGAGCAACGGTCACGGCCATGGCAGCGGTCTCTAGTTTGTCAACAGTCGCGTCCTTGCAGGGCCCTGTATCCTTGTCGGTGGTTGTGCCTTCTCGGGGATTCGCGGCCTAATCCGCTTTCGGAATCCATTTGCCACCCGGGATTTCAACAGGGCTGCAGCAGATGGGCCATGTCGGACTAGAGATGGAGATGCGGGCCACAGTGACCTCGGGCGCCGGGCGGGAGGCGATGGGGACGCTCGCGGAGGCACGGGCTGCACGGGGGATGACATCTAGCGAGCAAGCAAGTGTCCGTGGCTGGAGCTCTGCGCTGGCAAGGGTGGGAAAAACTCAGGGTATTGCATCATAGAGACACGGTCATCTGCACCCTGGAGAGGACTGGTGTCTGAGAGGAGCCCTGTGCGCTGGACGAGCGGAGGTCAGCCAAGCCTCTGCAAGCACCATCCTCTAAGGAGCCGCCTCTGCATGGGCTCCTTAAGTGAATTCAAGTAACTCCCTACGTATCTTCCCTAGAGCCAATCTTCACATGGGTGGGAGGGGCTAAAAACTCAGTAAGGATCCCCACAGCTAATAGAAAGGTAGGTCTCAGCATTTTTTTTTTTTTTTTTTTTTGGTGGTACTGGGGCTTGAACTTGGCCTACACCTTGAGCCACTCCATCAGCCCTTTTTTCTGATGCGTTTTTTCGAGATAGGGTCTTGAGAACTATTTGCCCAGGCTGGCCTCTGCCTCCTGAGTAGCTAGGATTACAGGCGTGAGCCACTGACATCCGGTGTCCTCAGCCTCTTTCTCAAGGTCTAACCCATGAGGTGAAGGTCCCAGAATCTTGGTGCCTGAAGCAAGCATTGATGCGATGGCAGGAAGAGGAAACTCAATAAACTTTGTTAACTATGATCTAGCAGGACCTGTCTTCTGTGCTAGCAGGACATCTCTTAATGACTGGTCAGGCTCTCCACCCAGGTGGTTTGACCCTTTAGTAGCCCCAGTGATCTCAGTAGCTGTGATACCCCAGAGCCACAGGGATAAGCAGGCAAGAGCTCCTCCTTGGCCAATGCTGACTTTGGCCATCCTCTTGGCAGTGAGCAGATGGCATCAATGATGGATGGGCCTAGTGTCTATTTCAGTCAGAACTGAGCTACTGCTTCTGATTGGCCAGTAGAGCATTTGACAGGGACCACTCCCAAAACTCCTTGGGTCCTGTGAGGCTTCACTCATCTGGTTTACCTCATGCTCACTGCCTTCTGCTGATCCTCTTCCTCCAACCCTATCCTTGACCCCTGCTTTCTACTTGCCCCTGTCCCCTTTTGGCTAGCCAAGACTCAACTCCTCCAGTCCATTTCTCTTTCTCAACCTCCAGACTCAGAAAGCCATCACTGTTCATGGGTGGGAAGGATCGTGGTACCCTCAATCTCTCAGTGACAGCTCTTCCCTGCTCCCTGGCTTTAACTCTCAAGTCCCTCTGCTCTAAGCCCATACCTGGCTGTGTACGCCATCTTTCCCCACCCCACTCCTGACCCCTCCACAGATGATCCCCTCCCTCACTTCCTCCAGTGTTACCTGTCCTGCTTAGGCAGACATCATCTCTGTGTCCATGGCTCCTTTACCTTACTGAGGACTCCTCCAGTGCTGAGACTAGTTCTGATGTACCTCCATGTCTCCAGGACTGGGGACCCAGGAAATGCAGAGAAGGCTTCATTACTAGCTTCTCCATGAAAGGAAAATCCCTCCTCCTATCTTCCTCCCATTTCCAGATGGGGAAAGGGAAAGAGACAGCCTGTCCTGGGGATCTGGGTCAGAGAAGCTTGGGAAAGGCAGGAGACAGGGCAGAGCCAAGTGACAGGTTAGAACAAATGCTGATCTTAGGCAGCCACTTGGGGGCCACAGTGAGGCTCAGGATGCACAGCACTGAAGCACACACAGCATTAAGGACTCTTTGGAGCAGCTCCAAGTGGCCCAGACAGTGAGGAGCCCAGGCCAGGTCCAAGCAGGTCCAGCCACCAGAAGGAAAGGCTTGACAGGTGCAGCGCCTGCTTACAGAACACCTGGCTAAGCTGGCTTCCCTCACTCACTTGCTGTGAATCTTGGGCAAGCAGCTGCCCTTCCCCAAGCCTTAACCTCTCCACACAGTGAGGGCCTGTGGGTTGACGTCTGGGAGTGGGACCACAGCCAGGGCTCTACTTACCTCTCCTCAGGGTCTAGGAGGCCCTGGACTAGAAGGGGCTGAGCCAGGCCCACCACCCTGGGAACAAGGAGAGGTAGCTGCCACCTTTGGAAACTGATCCTGACAGCTTTCCCCTGTGGCATCAGGTGGGTATCACAGCCAGTGAGGCCACCCTGCTACACAACTGAGCCTAAGTTGGCCCGTGCAAGTTACCAGGCAGCCACTCAGCAGTCTACCCATTGTGCTGGTATCAAACCAGGAACTGTCAAGAGCTGTTGGGCTCTGCTGCCAGCTCATGAGATTTCTCCCCTCTCCTGCAAAGGTGTGGATTTGAAAATGCCATAAACTCGTCAGCTTTCCACAAGCAAGCGCTGGACAGGGAGCTTAAGGCCCCAGGGAAAAGGGCCCAGGCTCATGGAGAGGACACACACTCTAAACTTGCTGGAGGCTGAACGAAAAAACAAAAAACAACTGGGAAATCGTATTCCCTTTATTCTCTTCAACTAATCAATATGACCACCGGTGACACAACACTTATTGACACACAACACTCAAAAGTGGGGCCTCTCTTCCCTCCCCAGGGACAAATCAGGTGAGTGGGGCTTCCCTTACAGGGGCAAAGGAGACTGGGAGCTACTCCAGAGTGAGGTCACGGAACCCCACCTCTTGGTTGTGATAGTTTCAAGTTTCCACCATTCAGGATTCAAGACCAGTTCCCATCTGACCTCCACATCCACAGCAGTTTCAAGTTTTACCCTAAACTGAGATCAGTTTCTCCCCCTCCCTTTTGCTTTCACTAATAGCTCAGGCCCTTGGCTGTTGAGCTCCTCTAAGGAGCTGGGCTGGGGGCCCAGCATGGAGATGTGAAGGCTTTGAGTACATTGTGCCTTCAAGACTTAGTTCTGGTGGGCCTATGCCTGAGCTGGCCAGACACTCTGGGCACGGCCACCTCCCTGTGCTGTTCCTCCCAAGATACAGCTGGCTCTGGGAGGGAGGTGACCAAGAGAGACCAGGAAACACCCAGGGTCTGTGACTTTGCCCCTTTCCTACTAGGAAGCCCCAGACTCCACAAGTCTTGTCCCTTGGTCCTACTGGGGTCAAGACCCTCAGCCCTCACCTGTCCCAACAACATGCGAGCAGCCTACTACATATGCTACACCCTAGTCCTCAACAGGCTACAGTTGCTCTGACTACACTGACCACCTCCCCCTAGACTGGCCTCTTCAGCTCCCAAAACTGCTCCCCAGCAATCTTCTGGGGGTAGATTCTCAGACCTACATCTGAGGGAACCTGCTAGCTCTACAACTTAGTTTCTGCTACCACGTTAGAAGGGGGATCAGCTTAGACTTGGAGGACTTTTCTCCTCATCTTATAGAGATTGTCCCCCTTTGCCAACATTTGTAAGAGATTCACAGGCAGGCTCTTCAGTAGTAGGCTCCGACCTGGCACTTGGGTGAGTGGGGCTTTATGGGGATGTTAGCAAGGCTCCCCTCTCCCCACAATCATATAAAGCCTGTCTTTTTGTCTCCCCAGCAGGCCTAGGGGGTTCTCCCACAATGTTCTCAGATTTTGATCCTTTTAAATTTGAGGGTCATCCCTTTGGGGCAGGATAGATGAAGGGTGAAGGGTTTTCACCTTTTGAACTTATAGGTAATGGAATTAAGAGGTCTCTTCCACAGCTTTGCAGGAATCCAGGTCACCCCTTTGATCACCTCACTTCTGAAGGACACCTCACCTGGCATCTTAGTCCTATTACTCCAGGATGGGTGTCACTGGTGCCAGCACTTGGTCAGGGAGCACTTCCTTTCCAACCCATCTTTAAGGGCCTCCAGGGTTAGGGGGATCCTTGTTGCAGATGTTTCTCTTAAAAGTTTTCTTTGCATTTCTCCCCTATCACACAGCCCCAGTCACATGAGCATGCATGGCTGGGTTTATGAAAAGTATGTAGTGCTGTGTGGGATGACAGAAGATGGGCCTGACAGGAGAGCGTTTCTTATCCATTTCTCTCGGAAGATTTCTGGCTAAGGAGGAGAGAGGATCCAAGGGTATGGAATCTGTCCCTTCCCAAGGCCAAGACCCAGCTGGATCATCCCACCTCAGGGAAGCTCCAGATACCAGGTGGGGAAGACGGTTGGGCTTCCATCAACTCTTCAGGGGCTCTGGTCCAGTCTGTGGGGTGTTGGGACACCCACCACTGCTTGCAGCTGGCTCATCCTGTGGGCATCCTTGCCACCAGCTCACACGAAAGGCTGAGGTTTAAAATCAGGTTGCTGGTTAATCAAAGCTTTCTAGTCTGTAGTCTTGCTGTCCCTTGTTGCCACAGAGAACCCACAGTGGCTCTTGTGAGAAGAGCCAGAGAAGTCTAGGGAGGACAACCACATACAAGCCTAGAGTCTCTGAAGGAATTTATTCTTTGGAGGTCGACTAGCAGCGGTTCTCCCTTTCCACTGAGGACAGAATTTGAGGAATTGGACTGCCACTGCAGCAAGACTGTGGCAGTTAGATTTCAGGAAAACCCTGACCGTGAGACCTGAGAATGTGGTGGAGGCCCCCTCCATGTTGGAGGCCCCTTGGAGAAGACGTCTCCAGGTGGGCTGGGGAAAGGGTGGCTCTGCCTGGCTCAGAAGAGCCCTGGCAGCCTAGGCTGGAACCTGCTTGCACTTGAAGTTTAACAAGCTCTGGGGAAGGGGAAAAACAGGCCTGGGCTTTGCTTGATTCCATCAGAACAGTTTCTCCACCTCTGATTCACTCCAACCAATCTAACAGAAATTCCCCCTATTTTTTGTGGTGGTTTCTCAGTATTCCTACACTTGATTTTTTATGTGCCCCAAGCTTCAGCCTTTAAAAAGACTTGACATAACTTTTTTTCTTCCCCATTTGGGGTTCCTAATGATACAGGATTCTATATGGGTCTCTTCCCCTGACATGCACAACTCACCAAATAACACCCAGTACAAGGAGCCAGACTTTCCCTTCCTGGTCTCTGCATCTTATCTCCTCTGTGGAATCAAAAGCTCCTTATAATTTATTTCTCTCCTCTCTTGGTTTTCTTCCTTTTCTAGTTCCACCTGGGTCCCACACTACTCCCCAGTTCACTGAGTTCTGTCTTCAGTGTAACTGTCCAAGGGTGCTGGGAAAGGCGCTTCCCTCCCATACTTGATGGCAGAGGACACTGGAGTCAGTGTAGGGAGGGATTCCTACACCTACTGGAGGTCACCCTCCCGTCAGTCCCAGGCTGTATTCCTGGCACTTCCCCAACCCTACAGGATTTTGATACAGTTTTATGGGGTTGTCTAGAGACATATTAAGACCTCTTCCTACAATTAATAGGGCTTTTATCCACTATGGTTTATAGGGTTTTTCTGCTACAGACTTAAAAGGGCTTTTTTTTCTCCTATATATTTATAGGGTTTCTAACCCAACAGTTTTTCTTTACTGCCTTATAAGTGATTCCCACCAACAATTTTATAGGGTTTCTCATCACTGTTGTAAAAGCACTATTTTTCCCAGGGTTTTCTTCCCTCCACTTCTCTACAATCTGATAGGGTGTCCTCCTTTCCCCACGTGAGTTTTTGGGGATCCAGTGTTCCTCTCCAGGGAGAGAGAGGCCCCCGGTCTCCAGACCCATTCATAGGGAAACACCTGGGTGGCAGCTCCTATGGAGGAGGAGGGCTGCGACTTCTGCAAAGCCATCTCCACACTCAGGGCACAAGTAGGGTTTTTCTTCCAAGAGGGCTTTGGGGCTCTCCCCCTCCCTGGGACTGCTGCTCTCAGTAGGGATGGAGGCCTCTCCTTCGCCAGCCTGGTTTGTAGACAGGGTGGCTGGCTCTAGAAGGGGGTCCTCGGACCTGGGAGACTTTTCTTGGGTGTGGGTTTCCTGGTGCCTGACGAGGGCCAAGCGATCAAGGAAAGAGGCCCCACAGTCGGAGCAACTGTAGGGTCTTGCCCCTAAGGGGCTTCTGAGATGCTCCAGGAGGACTGAAGAGCTCTTCCCCACCTCAGGGCTCTTCTGGGACTTCCCGCCCGCATGGACTTTCTGGTGTTGCAGCAACTCGGAGCTGAGGCCAAAGCTTTTTTTGCACTCTGGACATTTAAAGGGTTTTCCACTGAGCAAGGGACTGGGCCCCGCCCCTTCCCCGAGGCCAATCTTGCCCTCGGGAAGGAGAAAGGGCTTTTCGCTGCCATGGGTGAACTGATGTTGGAGGAGCACCGTGCGATCCAGGAAGCTTTCTCCACAGTGGGAACAAATGTAGGATTTGGAAGAGGACAGTATCCCCAGCCTCTGGCTGAGACCCTCCTGACCCTCGGACACTTTAAAGGGCTGCCCTTGGGGGTCGACTCTGCTCTCTGCAGCCCCTGGGTAGGAATTCCCTCCAAAAGGGAGCCTTGGAGAGCGGAATTGAGGAGGTTTGGGCGCTGGGTGTGCAGTGAGACCGTCTGCGTTTTTGTAGGGGTTTTCTCCAATATGGATCCGCTGATGCTGCATGAAGATGCCCTCATCATTGAAGCCTTTGCCGCAGACAAGACACTTGTGGGGTTTGGCCCCAGGCGGTGGAGTCAGCAAGGCCGGATCTCCCAGTCCCAGCAGGGTGTCGCCCTGTGCCCTTCGGGCCGGGGTCTTGCCCCTCTCGTGGATCACCCGGTGCTGCTCCAGCTCGTGTGCCTCCAGGAAGGCCTTGCCGCAGTCGGAACACACAAAGAGGTTCTCGTCCATGTGAGTGCGCACATGCGTGATGAGGTTGGAGCTCTGGCTGAAGCTCTTGCCGCACTCGGGACACTTGTAGGGCTTCTCACCTGTGTGCGTGCGCCGGTGCTGGATGAGGTGCGAGCTGCGGATGAAGCTCTTGCCACAGTCGGAGCACTTGTAGGGCTTCTCGCCCGTGTGGATGCGCTGGTGGCGGATGAGGGTGGAGCTCATGATGAAGCTCTTGCCGCAGTCCGCACAGATGTAGGGCCGCTCCCCGCGGTGGATGCGCTGGTGGTTGATGAGGTTGGAGCTCACGCTGAAGCTCTTGCCACACTCGGGGCATTTGTAGGGCCGCTCGCCTGTGTGTGTGCGCTGGTGGCGCAGCAGCGTGGCACTCAGGGTGAAGGTCTTGCCACACACTGGGCACTTGAAGGGGTCCTCGCGCAGGTGAGTCCGTTGGTGTTTGATGAGCGTGGAGCTGTGGCCGAAGCTCTTGCCGCACTCGAGGCACTCGTAGGGCTTCTCACCCGTGTGCGTGCGCTGGTGCTGCGTCAGCTCGGAGCTCTGGATGAAGCTCTTGCCGCACTCGGTGCAGCGGTACGGCTTCTCCCCAGCATGGATCTTCTGGTGCTTGAGCAGGTTGTGGTTCTGGCCAAAGCGCTTGCCGCACTCGGGGCACTTGTAGGGCTTCTCGCCCGTGTGGGTGGCCTGGTGCTGGATGAGGTCCGAGCTGCGGTAGAAGGCGCGCCGGCACTCGCCACATTTGTAGGGCTTCTCGCCGGTGTGGGACCGCTGGTGCTTGATGAGGTTGGTGCTCTGTGTAAAGGCCTTCTCGCACTCGGTGCACTTGTAGGGCTTCTCCCCTGTGTGCGTGCGCTGGTGCTGCACCAGGTTCGAGCTCCAGCTGAAGCACTTGCCACAGTCGGGGCACTTGTAGGGCTTCTCCCCCGTGTGTGTGCGCTGGTGCTGCACCAGGTGTGAGCTCTGCGTGAAGCTCTTGCCACACTCCGAGCACGTGTTGGGCCGCTCACCTGTGTGGATGCGCTGGTGCCGCAGCAACTTGGACCACTGGCTGAAGCTCTTGCCACATTCATTGCATATGTAGGGCTTCTCAGCCCCTGAGGGGCGACCCTGCACCAGCTCCCGCAGGCTGGGCTCACCGGAGGGGACCACTGTGGGGCTATTCCATGTGGTGAGCGTCCCCCACTGCCAATTGGCCTCACAGGTCTTGGTCCACTCAGACGGGGTAGGGACTACCTCTGGACCTGGGGGGTCAAGAGGGGTCTGGTGGTCCAAGGGGTTGGAGGGACCCAGTGGAATTGGGGAGTCCTGGGGGGCTGAGGGGTCCTGGGAGGGGCTCTCCATGGGAATCTCTGGTGGGTCCTTGGATTCTGGACTCTGAGCTGGATCTCCCAAGATGATCTCCTCCCCAGAACTTTCCTGCCGAGGGCTCTCCTCTTCGTTCCCACTCTCAGCACCTACAGACAGAAAGGGAGTCTCCAGCCCCCATCTCCTTTAAGAACAGGGTCTGCTCTTTCTTCCCTCCCCTGCCTTTCCCCCAGAGTCTAGGCCCCTCCCTGAACCAGGGCCACTGTCTATCCCCTTCTTGTGCCCCTCACCTCTGTGAGCGTCATTCAGGCTCTCTTCAGGACCCTGCAGATCTGGGCCCCACAGCACTGTCTCAGGCTCCATCCCAGAGCTCAGGACCGTGAAGGTTCCAGGGACCCTGGGGAAAGAGACCAGGCACACAGTGAGAGCTGATTTTGTGCTTCTCTTTACTGCTCTGAACCTCACTCCTCCCTCTTCCTACCTGTGTGAACTTTAGAAAAATGAACCACCTCATTTTTTCTGGGCACCGGTTTTCACTGTGGCCCCCTTCACCCCGGAGGCCTGCTGCCTGCTCCAGATCTTAACATCACAACTGAGCAAGTCAGTGAGTTTAAGAGCGCAATTAAAAACTCATCAGTCATAACCCTTTGAACCTAGGCAGGGGGGCTGGAGAATATCTGACACCCATAAGGGAGGGAGGTTCTCATCCCAAACCTTGGATGCCCAGAGGCTGGAAACCTGTTACTTTGCGAATTAGAGGAAGCTCATTAAGACTCCAATTTTCCTCCTTAATGGGGCTGCTAATTGAGACTAATAAACTTCTCCCTGAAGAGCTCCAGAGAGAACTGAGGCTGACAAAGGGTTAAAAAAAGAAACCACTCCAATTTTCCAGGGGGGACAGGAATGCTTCAGAAGGACTGGGGACTTTCTCATTATCCAAGCACAGGAAGAGGGTCAGGCTAAAGGGGGGAAGGGAGGTGTAAAGTCAGGGGTTTCTGCAGGAGCTTCAAGATGAAAGCAGAAAAGAAAGTGGAGTGTGGAGAACACTTGCAAAGGACCCAGTGCCCACCAGGGTGTCCTCATTTCTCTCACTTCATCCTCCCAGGAGCAATCCTGTGAGGAGACTCAGGAATCAGTTTGTCCATTTTCCAGATTAGTAAATCAGCACTGGGGGGACTTCTCCAAGGTCCCAGGCTGGGAAGCAGCAGAACTAAGACCACAAATGCAGGGTTCTGTATTTGGCTTGCTCCTGTTTCTGAGAGCATGAGGTGACCTTGGCAGTCATGTGAGACTCATACTCTTGGGCTGCTGGCAGTTGACTGAGGACGGGGAAAGCTCTGAGAGGGGAGCGCCTGCTGGCCGTGAGAATGAATTGGAGAAATTCCTTGGTTATAAAAGAGGGGTTGCACCCAGTGATGAGGCCTAACATCTGTGGCTGTGAGCTAGAGACAGTCCTATCCACTGAAGCCACCCTTACCAAACCCACCCTGGGGCCCTGCCTTTACTCTTTTGTCCTGTTTGACACCATTATCACATGCCTGAGACAGTGCCTAGGACATAATAGATGCTTGGTGAACATTTCGTTAGGTGAATGAATGTGCTACATGTCCTTGCTTTTGGGGGGAAAAAAAAAACAAACTTTGATTGAATGCAAAGGATGGCAACAAAGGAACCCAAGTTCAGAGTGATCTGGAGCAAACACAGTGAGCTGTCATTCCTAAAGCAGTAAGATGATTCCAAGACGAGGGCACAGGGTCACAGAAGCAAAGGGCTTGGAGGAGGGCTTCACACAAGACTTAGACCCAAGCGAATCCTTGAAAAGGGCCTGGGTTCTCCTGGGCTGCGTGGATGGGCACTGGCTGCACAGGGACAATGGTGTAAAGGAGACAGGGCCCTGGGAGGTGAGGAAGGTGAAGGAGCCGGCTGGACTCTGCCAAAGAGCAGCAGGAGACTAAGATGTGAGATTTTAGGAAGTAAATCAATTTCTTCATGTCTGCGAGCTGCTTAAGACTCTGAGAAGCCCCCTCCCCCACCGAGGGTGTCTTTGGGGAGGTGGAGGCAGGGAGCTGTGCCTGCCTGCTTTAGGGAGGCCAGGAAGGGTGGAAGGTGCTCTGCTGCGCTTACAGAGGACAGGTAAGAGCTTCTGTACCTTGACTGAGAAATTCAAACTCGGTGGTCCAGAGTAGAAGGCAAAGGGTTAATGACAAGGCCACATGGAATATGGATGTGGGAACACCGAGGGAGCCAAGAAGTGCAGGCCCAAGACTGGCAGCCTGGGCCCTCGCGACGGCCCCACGGCGGGCGGAGGCGGCGGCGGCGGCCTCCGGGAGAGGTGTGGGAGCGGCCCAGGGTGACCCTGGCCGGAGCGGCGGGAACGCGTCTCCCCCGCCCCCTCCCCCGGAGCGAGTGGGACCCCGGACTTGGGTCCGTGAGCAGCGACCCAGCTCCAGGCTCTCAGCTCCGGGCCGGGGCCTTCGCCGCGCCGCGTCCGCCCTCCCGGCTCCCGGATTCCCGGTGTCCGCAGCGCCGGCCCCGCGCCGCCCGCCGGTCGCTCTTCCCAGAATGCTCGCGCCCCTCCCCCACGGACCCCCGCGCTCCCAGAATCCTCCGCCGCCCGGGCCGTTCCCCCCCCCCACACCCACTGCCCGGCAGCGGGAGGGGGGGGGCGGGGGGTACCCGCCCCCCCCCTCCCCGCCCATTGTTCCCCGCGGTCGCCCGGGGCTCTCGGGGCCACCCCACCCCCCCACCCCCGGGACCCAGGCGTCCCGGACTCACGGCTCTGGGGTCTGGGAACAGCCGGAGGGCGGATCCAGCCCCGGGGGACTTAACCCCTGAGTGCCCTGCCTCGGGGGGCGCGGCCAGACGCCCAGGGCTCTGGGGTCCTGCTCACGGGGTGATTCCAGGCTGAGGACCCGGGGACCAGTTCAGGGTGACTGGGACGGAGCAGGAAGTGACCCCAGCTTCCCGGGCCCCTCTAGCCTGGAGTCAGCATCAGCTCTATGGGATTTAACCCTTTGCCTCCCACAGCCTGGGAAAAAAGGGGCCGAGGGAGCAGGGAGGTGGCAGAGAAGACGCCCCTCGCCCTGTGTCCAGCGGGAGTCCGCGGGAAGAGAAGGCCAGTGAGGGTCTCCGGGTTTCTGGCCGTTGTCCATCCCGCAAGGGCTCCGCCAACCGTGCCACTCAAGCCCCATCTCAGATCTGGTGGCTGCGGCGGGTCCCCTGGGGCCAGCCTTTGTCTGGACTCACCCTGGGATGGGGCTGGGATGCCTGGGTTCTGCCTTGAGAGCCAGAGGCTGGCAGGGTGGAAGGGGGAAAGAACCTGCTATAGACTGAAAAGGACTTAAATTTAAAAAGTTATAGCAAAAAGAGTGGGGGCTGAGGGCCAGGAAGAATTTGTGGCAGCCTGTGCTCCTGCACCTCTTCCCCAAAAGCTCTCCTTAAAGGAGGAAACTGAGGCCCTGGATGGCAGCACAGAAACCAGTGGGGGGATTGCCCTGGCAAAGGAGGGTAAGCTTCATGCCAGCAGCTCAGGGGCTCTTAGCTCACAGCAGGAAAAACCTTCAGAGATGGCCTTCTAAGCCCTGGGTTATTTCTTTCTCACTACAGTTTCATGAAGCAGGACACATTGTATTTATTATCCCCATTTACAAGTGAGGAAATCAAGGTATGAGAAGTAAGGTAACATGCTTAAGGCTACCTTTTTGGTGAACATAAGGGTTGGGAGACCTCAGTGTTGAACAAAAATTGGATTTTCCATCAAGAAGTTTGGTAAGAAGCCAGGTGTCATGGTACATGCCTGAAATCCCAGCCCTTGGGAGGCGTAGACAGGAGAATGGAGGGTTCAAGGGTGGCTTAGACTACACAGTAAAACCCTGTCTTAAAAATAAATAAATAATTAAAAAATAGGCTTGTGTATGTATGTTTGTAGACACAAAAGAATTACAGAATGTGGAAAGGGCTATCGGTCCAGGGATGTGAGGAAGCTACGAGGAGAACAAACCAGAGAAACCTGACCTGGCCCTGTAGCTGGGACAGCACAGAGAATCGCACCCTGGAGGCTCACAGAAGAGGTTAATTAGGCCTACAAAGTTTTTGTTTATTTGCTTGCTGTTTTAACTCAATTAATTCCCACACTTAAAAATCAGTACATAATATGCACATATGAATATAATAAAAAAAGAAGAAGAAATCAGTACATAAAAGCCAGCCCCAAGGGCACACACCTGCAGTCCCAGCTCCTAGGGAAGCTTGAGACAGGAGATTGCTTGAACCCAGGAACGTAAGGCCAGTCTGAATAGGATTTAAGATTCTATCTCAATTTTTTTTTCTCAGTACAGTTCACTTAAAAATATGAATGTCCTGCCTCTTTGGAAAATCCAAAGATGTGGCAATATGACCCAAATATTCACAAGTCAGAAATCGGCTATAGCAGGACAGCAGCATCCTTCTTTCCAAGGGCACTGACATGTCAGGGTGTCTAGATTCCATCATTCCTCTTGTGTCCTGACCTTAAAGCTTGGCCTTCTGTATTCATGTTCCAATACCCATTTGCAAAGCAGGCATTTTAGTGCTTGAACCACACTTCCAGTCCATTTTGCTCTGGTTATTTTGGAGATGGGGTCTTTCGAACTATTTTCTCCTGGCTGGCTTGGAACCTCTATCCTCTCCATTTCAGCTTCCAAGTAGCTAGGATTACAGGTGTGAGCAACTGGCACCCAGCTGGATGATGTCTTCTAATATAGTTCATTAGCTGAGTACTTACAATGTGCAGGCACTGTCCCACATATTCACACATGGTGACACCTAGAACCTTCACAAGTCATGACAGCAATATCTCCATCAGCCCAAGGAGACAGGGGGTGAGGCACCTGTACACAGCTAATAGTGGCAGACCTAGACTGAAACCAGGACACCCTGGATTTAGAGCCCCCGTGGCTCCTAACCAAGACTCTGCTGCTCACATGGGCTCGAGTGTGTTTGGGATGGGGTATGGGCCTCTCACCACCTCCATGCTCTCCCTGGTCTTCTCCAGGGGTTGGAGAAAGGAGCTGGGAGGGGCAGGACAGCACTGTGCGGTGTTTGTTTTTGTTTTTTGTGGTACTGGGGCTTACACCTTTGAGAGCTACACCACCAACACTTTTGTGTGTGTGTGTGTGTGTGTGTGTGTGTGAGATCACACGTGTGATGGGTTTTTTCAGGATAGGGTCTCAAGAACTATTTGCCCAGGCTGGCTTCGAACCATAATCCTCCTGATCTCTGCCTCCTGAGCAGTTAGGATTACAGGCATGAGCCACTGTCAATATTAACATCTTCTTTTTATCTGTGAGGACATGGGACTTCAGAGAGGTCAGATAATGTGTTCCAGGTCACAGAGCAACTGTAAGATCTTGGGATCTGGAGGCGTCCCACCTTTAAAATCTAACCAAAGCCAGGCACTGGTGGCTCATGCCTATAATCCTAGCTACTCAGGAGGCAGAGATCAGGCAGACTGAGGTTCGAAGCCAACCAAGGTGGATAGTTCTCAAGACTCTATCTCAAAAGTACAAATACAAAAAAGGGCTGGTGAAGTGGCTCAAGGTGAAGACCCTGAATTCAAACCCCAGTACTGGAAAAAAAAATAGAGCCAAATTCACATCTAGTACCAAGCCTTCCTGAACCACCACCACCATGTAACCCTGCCCTCTCTGCAGGGATGTAGCATCTGGGTACCCTCTGTTCTGTTATTTACTTGGTATTTTTCTTTGATTCACTTTTGTTTCTGATGGTACTGGGGTTTGAACTCAGGGCATCATGCTTGCTGGGCAGGCAGGTGTTCTACCACGTGAGCCACTCCATCAGTCCTTTTTTGTGTTGGGTATTTTTGATACAGGGTCTCAAGAACTATTTGCCCACTCAGGCTTGGAACTGCAATTCTTCTGATCTCTGCCTCCTGAATAGGATAACAGGTGTGAGCCACTGGCACCAGACTTCAACTCATTTTTCTTAACGGAAAGACACATATCTAAGAAGGAGACTCAACATCAGTATGATAATAGAAAATTGCTTGTTATAAATTGTAAAAATAAATATGATGCACAATTAATCTCAAATGGATCAAAGATCTAAATTTAAGAACTAAAACTATAAAACTCTTAAAAAGAAAACACAGGAAGCCAGGCACCAGTGGCTCAGACCTGTAAACCTAGCTACGCAGGAGGCAGAGATCAGGAGGACTGAGGTTCAAAGCCAACCCCTGGGGCAAATAGTTCTTTGAGACCCTATCACGAAAAAACTCATCACAAAAAAGGGCTGGTGGAGTGGCTCAAGGTGAAAGCCCTGAGTTCAAACCCCCATACCTCGAAAAAAGAAAACATAGGAGTAATCTTTGGGTTTGTGCTTTACAAAAGGACAAAGTAATAAAAGAAAAAAATAAACTGGATCATGAAAATTTAAGAATCATGTACATCAAAGGAAATTATCAAGTGAAAAAAGAAAACTCACAGAATGAGAAGAAATGGTAGCAAATCAAACATCTGACATGGTTCTAGTGTCCAGAATATGTACAGCGCACTGCTACTGAACAGTGAGAAGACAGACAACCCAATTAAAAAATGGGCATGTGAGCCGTGTGCCTGTGGCTCACGCCTATAATTCTAGTTACTTGGGAGGCAGAGATTAGGAGGTTTGTGGTTCAAAGCCTGCCAAGGAAATAGTTTTCGAGACCTTATCTTGAAAAAACAAACAAAAACCCCAAACAAAACAGGGCTGGTGGAGTGACTCACGTGGTAGAGCACCTGCTTAGCATGAGGCCCTGTGTTCAAACCCCAGTGCCACCAAAAAAAAAGGCACAGGACTTGAATGGACATTTTTCCAAAGAAGATGTACAAATGGCCAACAAATACATGAAAAAGTATTCATCATCACTGATCACTAGGCAAATGCAAATAAAAACCAAAATAAGACAATCACTTCACACTCTTGAGGTGTTTATAATAAAAATAAGACAGCCAGGCATAGTGGTACATGTCTGTAATCCCAGCACTCAGGAGGCAGAGGCAGGAGTATTGCTAATTCCAGGCCAACCCGGACTATATGCCAAGACCCATTCTCAAAAATAACAAATAAACTGGCTTGGTGGCTCAAGCCTATTATCTATCATAGCTACTTGGGACACAGAGATCAGGAAGATCGTGATTTGAGGCTAGCCCAGGCAAAAAGTTAGCAAGACCCCTATTTCAACCAGTGTGGTGGTACATACCTGTAATCCCAGTTGAATAGAGAAGCACAAATAGGAGGATGTCTGTCCAGGCAGGCCCAAACATAAAGTAAGACCCTATCTCAAAAATAACCAGTGCTGGATATGTCACTCAAGTGGTAGAGTGCCTGCCTAGCAAATGTGAAGTGCTAAGTTTAACCTCTAGTACCACTCAAACAATAATAACAATTAAAAAACTGAAAATAACCAGCTTTGGTGCAGAAATCAGAACCCTCACGCATTGCTGGTAGGAATGTGAAATGGTGTAATAGCTCCAGAAAACAGCTTGGCAGTTCCTTAGTTAAACACAGAATTACCATATAACCTAGCAACTCCATCTAGCCACATACCCAAGAGGAAAGAAGACATGTCCATGCAAACACATGTTCATGAGGCTCAGAACAGCACTGTTCACCATAGCCCAAAGGTTGAAACCAACCTGATGTGTCCATCGGGGGGGCGAATGCATAGACAAATTGTGATATAGCCTCTATTTTTTTTTTTTAGACAAGGTCTCCCTATGCAACTCAGGCTGGCCTGGAACTCACTATGTAGCGCAGACTTGTCTTAAACTCAAAATTTTCCTGCCTCAGCCTCCCAAGTTTGCGATCACAGGCATGGCCACCACACCTGGCTATGTCTTCCAATTTTTTTGGCAGCACTGGGGTTTGAACTCAGGGCTTCATGCTTGCTAGGCAGGCACTCTACCATTTGAGCCACACTCCCAGCCCA